CTAGCCCCCCCCTGCGCTCTGTTATATCATTAGTATATTATTTTAGCTTTATTTTGCATTTATTTTAACCTTTTTTAATGTCCGAAAATACTCCTATTAAATAAGCTATTGGTTTATATTTAGTGGAGGGAGACTTTAATGATGAGTCCTCTTGGGCCTTAACTTAAGTTAACTTTCTCTATAAGCTGTATATAACCTTTTATATTTCCTTTAGTACTTTAATTTACTGTATCTATAGGGCTAGTATCAGTTATACTACCTATTGCAATAAATATTATACTTATATCTAATATAAAGGCCTTTTTGTAATTAACCTACGTTTATATTACGCCCTATATAATCTTTAATTAAAAACAACTGGATCTTATATCCTTATTTTAGCTATACTTAAGTAAGGTTTTACTAAGGGTTTTAAGGTTAAGCTGTTTATGTATTTTATTAAACTTAGATGTATATATAAGGAAGTTTTTACTGCTGCTAAAGCGGCCCCGGTCGCAGCCTAGTCTATATATACTATTATTTTTATTTAAGCTGAAGACGCTTCTGCCTTAACTTAATTTAATACCCTCGTTTTCACTAATTTAGATTTTATTAATCTTAATACTTCTGTATATTAAAACTAACAGTTTTAAAATATATAAATTATATAGGCTTTAGCTAGTACTGTAAATATAAGTATTTTGCAGTAATTATTCCTATACTGTGCTTTATTAACTTTTACAGTAATAATTTTTATAGTTTACTGCTATATTTATATTTTATAATAAAAGTTTTAGCTATATTTTACTTAATATTAGGGATAAGCTGCATTATTATTTTTTAACTTTAACCTAAAGTTGGGATTATTTCTGCAGCTGTTTTTATTATATTTTATCCTACTGTTGTTAATACTGCTGCTATTGCTTTAACTGGTCTTGCTTTTGCTTTTATAGTACCTTGCGCTGGCGATATTATTCCCGCTTTCCTTTAATAGAAAAATTTATTTTAGAGGATAGAGTAGCTTAATTAAGCCTTAAAATAGGGAATGTGTTGGGAGGGTAGTTATCTAGCCCTGTAGTTACCTTCTCTTTTAGCCGCCGCTGTACTTATTATTAATTGCAGTATAATTAGTACTATAATAAATCCCCCTTTTACTAACGCTTACGCTGTTATTATTAACTGTAAGCATCTGTTTTTTTTACTTTTTTACTAAAGTATTTTTTTTATTTTTTTATTCTTTTATTAATATATTTTTTTTTATTTTTATAAATTGTTTTTATATTACCTTTTAGTTAAGGTATTTTACTTTTTAATAAAATTTCTTTTATAATTTAAATAAATAGTTATCTATAAAAAGAATTATTTATTTTTTTTTTTATTTTTTATATTTTTAATAAGATTAGTTTATTGTTATATTTTACGTCTCCTTATTCTTTCTTAAATACGTTTAATATGCTTATATTTTATAGGTTTTCTAAGGGCTTTTATATAGGTATATTATAGTTTATTTATTTTACAAGGGCTTAGCGGTTTTATTTTTACCTTTTTTTATTTTTTATTTAAAGGATTCCCTTAATATTATATTTAGGGTAAACTACTTTATTGCCTTTAAATAGGACTTATATAAGATCTAGTTTAAAGTTAAATAAAGTTTAAGACAGTAGTAAATCGGTAGCTGTATATTTTAATAAGTTTACGTAAAAAATAGGGTATATATATTTTAGTACATTTAGTTTTATATTTAAAGGGTCTTATACTTTTAGTACTTTATATTTTATATACTGCTAATTTAATTTTTTATTTACTTTATTTATTTTTATATTATAGATAGATAGTTAGATTAAGTCTTTAATTTAAAAGCGTTCTGCTAGGTAGTGTTTTTTATCTACGTTTTCCTATTAGTATTGCTGGGTAAAGGTAATAGCTGCTTAAGCTAAGTTTAAGCCTTCCTTAAGTTATTGAAAAAAAGTAACTGCTTTTCCTTTAGGTAAGGTTTAATTATTAAGCTTTAATAATATCTATTATACTAGCTTAATATTAAACCTATTTAATAAAAGGTTTAGGTTTATCCCAGTAACTAAAGAGTTTCTATTATTTAGTATTAATTAATAGGCCGATAGGTATTTAAACCAGTTGTATTAGGAGAATAATATTATTATATAAAGGACGGCTTAAACTTTTTAGTTTATATATTTTATATTACTATTTATTTAAGAGTAGTAGGTAGTAAAGAGTAGTTGTTTAATTTTAATTAGTTTACAGAGCGTTATTTAAAATTATTTAACTTAATTTAACCCTTTATTATTAATAATTTAAAAGGGGAATTTATAAAATCTTTATTAATAGTCTTAAAACTGTATAATATATACTTTAATTAATATAAAGTATATAGCTTTTAGCTATATATATTTAAAAAGGTAGTTAGTAATAATTATAAAATACTTTAGGTTATTTTTAGATTTTACTAAAAGATCTATTATAAAGTTTATTAATATTTATTAATAGTATTTATTTAAAATCAGTAGGGGTTAAAGTAGTTTTTATTTTTATTATTATAAAAAGTAATTACTATAACAGTAGTAGTTTTATATAAACCTTACTATAGACTGAGATATAAATTCTTAGTAATATTATTTATAGAGGAGGTAAAAGGTTATATTATATCCTAAATGTCTTATTATAGTTAAGTTATAGGTTTTTTATATTAGTGTAGTAGTTAATAGTTTTTAATAAAGGACCTAAAGACGGCCCTGGAATATTAACGCCTTTTATATATTTATAATATAATCTACTACCTATTCCCTAGTTTAAGCCTCCGGTAGGAACTTACGTAAACTTTATTTTATAATGTTTAGGTAGTAATAATAGCCTTTATCCTCTACTACTACCTAGTCTTAGAGGGATTATAAATAAAAGTCTATAAAAAGTATATCTCCTTTAAGTATTATATTTAATAGTATTAGGTTAGGTGCCTTTTTTATTTAGGTGGGGAGTATATAAATGGGTTGTAATACTCTGCCTATAATCTAAGAGTTATCCCCCCTATCCTATTCCCTTTTTAATAAAGTATTTAGGCGTACTGCTTAGTATTTAGGGTAGTATTATAGGTTATAGTGGAATTTTAAAAGTAATTTTGCCTAATAAACTTATTTTTTAAATAGTAATTATAGCTTTAGGAAATATATAAAGTTTTTATAGTTTATAAGGATTATAAATAGGTTTATTATACCCTGTAATTTAGCCTTCTATACCTTTAGGCAAAATATAATTGTAAATAGCTCTTTATTATATATTATGTAGTTTTTTTTAGTTAGGCTTAAGACTGCTAAATAGTATATAATAGGGTATAGTATACTTTTATTATTAAACTGTAAGAGATATCCCTTAAAGGCTTGTTTAAAGTAGTCCACTTCTAGGACCATTTCCTTCTTAAGGTTTTATTGCATTAGGATTAGGTATAATATAAATGTGTTTTTTAGTCTCTAGAATACTTTATTTTTTTTAATCCCCTAGGAAAATAGGGTGTTCTTACCTATAAAATAGGTAAAGGGGGCTATTATTTTTATAAAATTTAAAATAAATTCTCTGTAAAAATTTATAAACTTTAAAAAGCTTTAAACTTCTTTTAGTTTTATTAAGGGTTCTTAGTCTTTAATTATAGAGATTTTCTTTAGGTTAAGGTAAACTATAACCTCTGTTTTAATAATATATTTTAGGTATTTTACCTTTTTTATTATAAAAGCGTATTTCTTTATATTAACGTTTAATTTAGTTTTTTATAAGCGACAGAGTATATTATAGACTTTCTTTATATAGTTTTTATAAAAGCCTTTTAAATAAATTAATATATTATTTAAATAAGCTGTAGTAAAGTTACCTAAAGTATTTCCTAAGGCTTTATTAATATATTATTAAAAGGTTGCCGGCGCCTTTATAAGCCTAAAAAGGACTATAAGCTATTTAAAAAGTTTAAACTAAGTGTAAAATGCCGTTAAGTATTTATCCCCTTCTACTATCCAGATTCTATAGAAAGCTAATTTAATATTTAACTTTATAAACCAGTGTATAGCTGTAAGCGACTGGAGGGTCTTTTAGATTAACGGTAGTGGGTAGCAGTCCTATTCTATAACCTTATTTAAGGCCCTGTAGTTTACGTAAAATCTCCAGCCTTTATCCCCTTTTTTTACTAATAGTACTAATACTGCAGCTAATAAAAAGCTAGCTTAGATCTAGCTTTTATTTATTAATTTAGTGATCTATTTCTATAGCTTTAGCAGATAGTCTTGTAATATACTGTATAGTAGGCCCTAAGGAAGATTTAGATAGTTTTTTAATTTATCTAAGTGTAATTTAATATAGTAATTTAGGCTGCCCTAATGTAGGGGTAAGCTAAAAGTTTTATTTTTATTAAATAGTTCTTTAAAATTATAGAGGGATTTAGGAAGTTTTAATAAAAAGTCTTTTTAATCTTAGTCTAAAGGTAGTTTTAAAGCTAATTATAGTATATTTATAATTTTATATAAGCTGGTAAAGGTAAATAAGTATTCTACCTGTTTTTTTTTTAAATAGCAGTAGGCTAATATTATAAAAGTAGACCCTGGGATTAAGGCTGAAGTAGATGTATTTTATTACTCAGTTAGTTTTTTTATTTAAAGGTTATTTATATACCTTATTTTTATCTTCTGGCGTTTTGGGTTTAAGACGACCTTATATTGTCTTATCTATAGTTTCCTAATGATAATATTATGAGTTAATCCTAAAATAATATAAAAAAGAATTAAATAACTTTAGCTATTAATATTTATTATACTTTTTATAAGCTGGGTTATTAAAGATATCTTTTTATTTTCTATAGCTATTTTTATTTTCTATAGTATATAAAGTTTAACTATTTTAAAATTAAGCTTTTAGGCAGTTTATTTATTAATAGCTTTATAATAATTATAACTGCTGTTAACTTAAACATTTATAAATTTTTAATTATTAAAAAGGGCTAAAATAAAAAAGGGTAGTTTATTTAGTTTATATAGTATTTTTTTTATTTTATATTTAGTTATTTTTTAGGTTTTACTATAGTATTACTATAGTATTTATTTCTACCCTTTAGCGGGATTTAGCTTAAAGGTAAGTTTTTTCCCTTTTTATTTAGGTTAGATTTATCTTTAATTAAGTCCTTCTGTAATTCTTTTAGAAATATAGTTTAAACTAACGTTAAATAGGCTGCTGGATAGAATAGGTATTATTTAATCTTATATAATAATTATCTATAGTAGATATATTACTTTTTCTCCTACTTATTCTTAAGGGTTTCTTCTGTAACTTATTTAGTATAAGGTGTATTTTAGTTTATTTTTAGGCTGGGTTTTAGTATAATTAAGCCCTATACCCTTATAGTATAGGTTAAGTTTACCTTAATTATTAATGTATTTCCTTCCTAGTCCTTATATACTTATTAGTGGTAATAAGTATAATTAAACTTAGCCTAATACTTTTCCTTTAATATATACGTTTTAATTTCTACTATAATACTTTAGTATATTTTGATAGCTTTAGGGTAGTTAAAATAAGGTATTCTATGTCTTAGGCTGCAGTCCTTTAACTTAGGTGTAAAGGTGTAATAGAGGCGTTTTAGTTTAATTTTATTTAATTACTGAAGCCCCCTGGCTAGCATTAACTTCTGTTTAAAGTATATAAAAAAAGCAGCAAAGGATTTATTCTATTGTTATATAAAATAATCTAACTTTATTTAGGCTATTTCCTAATAATAAAGGTCTGTAAATATTAAGGTTAGGTAAGCTAGGAATACCTTTAGGCTAAAGGTATTTAATTTCAGGGTGGCTTTATAGTAAGCAGAGATCTAGGCCTATACCTTCCCTATTAAGTTCTGCTAAATAAATATAAATTAGTTTTTTTTTAAACTAATAAAATCTTAGTCTACGTCTAGCTTATATACTATTATATATTTCTAAGCTAAGAATATTTATTAATTACTATTATATAGGTCCCCTATTAGTAGTAGCTTACGTTTATATAATATAGGGGCTGACTGTAGACTGGGGTTAGCTGTAATTAATACCTAGTTTATCTAACCTAATATATATATAGTAACAGTAGGTATATTAATTAATAGCTGCTGTTAGTTATTTAAGCAATTGCACAGGGAGGTAATAGTTAGTAATAGTAATTTTAATATATTTATAATATATAGTATACTTACTTTAGGCTTTTTATAGTAGGAGTTTAATTTTATAATCAATATATTATCTATAATAAAAAATAATAACTGTAATAAACTAGCTTTATAGCAACTGTAGATAAATATTTAAATAATTTAAATTATTATTTTTAATAAAAAAAATAGAAATAATAATAGTATATAGCTGTACTTTAGTTAATATACATTTAGGTAATCTTTAGCTATTTTTTAGGCCTGGGCTGGGTTTAAGTTAAACCCAGTATAGGCCTGTAAAAGGCTTAGATTAATATTTACCCAGGCGCAGCCTAAGTCCATAATATATATAGTTTTTAAAATAAAATCTTTATTTAATTAAATTTTTAATAATAGTTTTTAAAGCTTATTATTATATAAAGTAAATAATATAGTTATTAATATTATAAAAGGTAAATTTTTATTAATTATATATTAAAAGGTTATAAAAATTATATTATTTTATAATTTTTAAAATAATATATATTTTATAATTTTTAAAATAATATATATTTTATAATAAAATATTTTATAAAACGTTAGGTTTATTTATTTATATTTAAAGCTAAATAAAATATTATTTATTTTTTAGTAATTTTATAAAAGATTATTAAGTTCTTTAATTATTTAATATTTATTTTTATAGTTTAAATTTATTATTTTATAAGAATAATATAGTTTATATAATTTAAGTAATTTATAGTTTTTATAGGGCTTTTTTAATATTAATTTTTAATATTTTTTAAAGTTAATTTTTAGAATATTTTTTTATAAAGTATTTATAGATTTTTAAAGCTTAAAGGTTTTATAGTTTTTTATTAAGTCTTTTACTAAAGATTTTTTATTTTTTTTAATAATTCTTTTAATTTTATAATATTATTTAAAATCTTTATTTATTATATTATAAATATAATATAGTCTTTTAGGTTTTTATAATTTATATTTATAGTATAAATTATATATATTTTTTTTTAAAAAGTTTATATTTTTTTTAATTTTTTTATAATATAATATTTAAAAAACTATTATTATTTCCTTTAAGTATAATAATAGCTTTTATATTATTTAATATTAAATATACTTTTATAAAAGTAATTAAAATATTATTAATATTATTTTATTTTTTATATTTTTTAATTTATTTTTTTAACTTAGTTAAGTTTTTAAGTTTATTAAAGAGTTTTTTTAAATTTTAGTTAATAATTTTATTATTTTTATATTTATTAATTTATTAAATAATATTTAAGGTTTTTCTTTTTTTTAATATTTTAAAAAACTATTTTATATTTTATTTTTTATTAAAATAGATTTTATATTTATTATTATAATATTCTATTTAATTAAAGGATTTATATAAAATAATATTAATAATATTAACTATTTTATCCTTAAGTTTAAATATTAAAGTTTATTTATTATTATTTTTTTTTTTTAATATTTTATAATATTTTTTTATATAGCTTTTTTTTTATAGTTAAAATATTTAATATTTTTATATTATTTTTTAATAATACTTAAGTTTATAGGTTTTAATTATTTATTATTAAAAGATATAAGGTTTTATTTTTTACTTTAGTTTATATTATTATATTATATATAAAAGTTTTTTAATTTTTTTTTTTTTTTTATTTATATTTTTAAATTTAATTATTTATAATAATAGTTTATTATATATAATTAAAAAAGTTTATTTTTTTATAGTTAATTTTATATAGTTTATTTTTAATTTTAGGTTTTACTATATAATAATAAGTTTTTTTTTATTTTCTTTAGTTTAATTAACTTTTATTAAAAAGTAAATAAAAGTAGTAGTGTTTTTTAAAAAAGGTTTTTTTTAATATATATTTTAAAAAAGTTTTTTAGCTTTTTATTTTTTATTAATAGTTTTAAATAATTTTTTTAGTTATTTATAGAAATTTTAGTATATTTTAAAAACTTCTTAGGTTTATAGTTTTTAGTTATTTAAAGTATTAGCCTTAAAGTCTTTTATAATAAATTAAGCTTATTTTTCTACTATTTTTATTAAATAAATAATAATAAAAATAGTTTTATTTTTATTTTTTTTTAATATAAATAAAAAATATTTAAAATAAATATTAAATTTTATAAAATATTTATTTATTTTTTAAAAATTTTTATTATATAAGTTAAGTCTTTTTAATTATAAAACTTTATTATATTTTTTTTTTTTATTTTAAAAATATTAATTTTTTTTTAAAGTATTTTAATTATAACTACAGTTTATTTTAAGGTTAAAGTTTTTTTATTAACTATTATTTTATTACTTTTTTTAAAATTATTTTTAATTTTAATATTATTATTTAAATAATTACTTTAAGCTTTATTTTTATAATTAGTTTTAATATTTAAGACTTAAAATTTAATTATTTAATATTTTATTTTTTATTACCTATAGGTTTAAAGTAATTATTTAAATAAAAGTTATTAATATATAATAAACTGGGTTTTATATATTAATATAGGTTAATTATTTTTAAAGAATAAACCTTTAAGTTTTAGGTTTATATTAGTAAAGCGGTTAAGTTAGATATAAATGTAGTTTTATTTAGGTTATATAATTAATAAATATAATATTTAAATTTAATTTAATTACTATATTAATAACTAATTATTTAAACTATTTAAATAAATATAAGAATATAAATTTATATATTTAGTTACTTTAAGTTAAATTAATAATTTAAGTATTAATCTATACTTAAATTAATAAATATTTTATTAATTTTTTATTAAATTAAAAAGTTATATTTCAATTCTTTTTTAATTAGTTAAAGGATTAAAGTTAATCCAGTCTGGGCTAACCTATTGGCCCATTGTCGCGACCTTAAGAGTTGGGTCGTGACATTTCCGCTGAATTACACCTATGCTTACAGCCAGGTACACTAAGCAGTTCCTAAAATATCTGCTACTATAGCTACCTATATCTACTACTATAGCTAATATCTGCTACTATAGCTACTATCTGCTACTATCTATATATTCCTTTAATATCTGCTATTACTACTACCCAGGCTGCTTTAAATTTAAGAATGGGATGCTGAATAGTAAACTTGGGGTGCTGAATAGATACTCCCTACATGTAGCTATCCACCATCTCGGAGGCTGAAATATATTCTAGAAATGGGGGCATAAGATACGATTATGTTATTCCAACCTTCAACAGTATTTGCCCACCTGGTTGAGTACAGAGAGGTATACCATCGCGCCAAGTAGATGTGAGCACTAGAGTCAAAAGACAAATGCCAATAAGGCATACACAAAGGTAATTTACGAGCAACTTTGGCAGGAAATGTGGCTCAATATGCACTCTTGATATGTATTCGCTGGCATCTTTTAAGCTGAATTCAGATCTTCCCAATTCCATCCATCCATTCATGCACATTGGACTAACAAATGGTTCATCCATTTCTTATCCGTCCCATCCTTCGTTGTTTGCTCTCTTCTCAAAGGAATAAAGACTCAATAGTTTATTGGGTAAACGCAGGACCCATGCTACCAGCGTTGTTGCCGCAAACGAAGCGCCCGTCCACCAGCTTAACGGCCAGGGGGTTCCCAACTACCACATGTTAGCATCTACGATATTCAACCCGGAAAGGGGGGATGACAGGTTCAAACTTACCGCGGGAACCAATCTCCAGAGCAGTGAACCTTGGCATGCGCTTGCCATCCAGACAGTTGCACTTGAGGTTCATGTTGTCTCCACCGTGGATGTTGTCAATCGTGCAAGGTCTGCAAGTAGCATCGAATCCACCACTTGAAGAAACCCATTGTCAGCATGAATGACTATCTCAAAGACCGGATAGGTAGGACTAAACATACCCCGCTTGGTATACCAAGTTCCCTCCAGCATTTCCAATGCACTCGTTCAAGTTCAAGCTCGTCTTCCACCACTCGCCAGCACTGTTCCTGCAGAGACCATCAAGCGTCGTCATACCGACCTTTCCATGACCTCCAAGCGTAATCTGCACACAGGTGCCGTCAAAAGCAGCACCATCAGGGGCCTTGACAGCTCCCTGGGTAGCATTTCGAGTAAGGTGATTGAAGCCGGGAAGTCCCACCGGAGCAGCCTGGCCATGAACTTGGGTAGCAGACACGACGGGAACCGATTGGCTAACAGATTGGTCTTGAGCAGGAGCCGCAATGCTGGTGCCAGCCAGGGCAAGGAAGAGAACGGCGAGGGACTGCATGATGGAATGAATATGGCGTTCCGCTGTTGGCTTGGCTATCTGTTGTAAGATGAATTCCGGTGATGGTTCATCAGGCAAACGGTGAGAAAAAAGAAACAAAAAGGGAAACTCGAAAAACGAAATAAAATGAGTAGATAAAGGGAACAAAACCCCAATCCAGAGAGGAATCCCAGGGTGGAGCAGTATCCGAGACAGAAGCAGCTGTCCGGCAAACAGACATGCAAGATGGCAGCTGGCAGAACCCGATGCACCTCTCCTGACCCGTGCGCACTGCTCTTTGACCCCCCTGCTTGACGTGCGTCGGCCTCCGTTTGATCGAGGGTAAAATAGAGTGTTGGTGAAACTCTTAGCTTGATTTTAGAAGAGAAAAGGAGTTGGACCTGATCCCCTCGTGGCAGCTCTATTAATGTTGACAGAACAATATCGGCATCATCTTGGTCCCGATGGGGCATGTGGCGTGAGCATTGAGGCGCCGCGACTTCACATTGTTATTCAGCAGGATGTTTGCATCAATCGTCTGGATTATTGTATTATTGAGAGGGAAATAATAGAAAAGCCATCTGAATGAGAATGTTTGAAGAAGCGAGTCTTGGAAAGAGTTGGTAACGTGACCTGCGGTGGATGCGACTTCCTTCAAAACACCACAGACCTCTTCTTGGGTATCCGGCTTGAAATTGCCGGAAGCCATGTACCCACAATCAGTGCTTATAAGAGTTATTGTACCTATCATATCATATTGTTGGTAGCAGGTACCAAGGCTGCTGTTGGCCATTTCAGTCTCAGCAGGGCCAGAACCCGGTTCGTCCGAATCGGCTTCTTTACCAGGCTGTATGTTGGGAACGTGCATTCATCCGGACCAACACCCCATACCTAGTAGGTACCTAGTACGAGCAGATCAACTACTAAGATACAACAACTCTCTCACAAATGCCGGGGCGATCCAACGTAAATCTTAAACATGTCTCTTCATATCAGTAACTAGTGACTATCTTTCTGGCTAACACATAATCGTTCCATAACGTTCTCATTCCCCTCATGGGACATACGAGTATAAACTCTTCCTGCCATCGTAATCTTGAACATGAGTGCTGTCCAACTCTGTAGCTTTATCACATCCCGTAGGATCAAAGTGTAAAAAGAAAAAAAAAAAGGTAAAAGAAGTGAAGTAAAATACAAGCCAGCCATAGGCGGGGCTTATCAAGTCCTGCTTGCAACAGTGTTCACACACGCTATCCAATCATAGGCCTGGTGATGGTTGGTCACCTATCGCCGCAGTCCCAAGTACAAAGGGTCTAGAGCGAGGCCGTCGCCTTCGCGTATGTGAATGATATATACACAGGGTAAATGAAGGTGCTGAGATCAGCTGTATAGAGTAAAGAAGAAAAGAAAAAAGGAAAAGCTTCAAATAAAAAAAAAAGAAACAGACACTAAAACAGAGCACAATTAGACAGCAAAGAGGAGCAAAACAAAATTACGTCCTGGATTGTCGCCGCAGTGCCTTGTTATGTGTGCAGATACCTCTCATAACGCCCAGCGCCACCCTTTTTTACCCAGATGTTGCGCGCAAGGCCAATATGCTTCATCGAAAAATAAACAATGACTTAGCATTGGCTGTCCAATCAGTAAGCCTGGCCGGGGACAGGCTTCCTACCGATGGAACCTGTTTGGGGTCCCGACGCTGGCTCTGTTGGTGATGACGTTGGCGAGGGTGGGTTTGGGTTCAATGGGCTGGAAACAGGGGGGCTTCCGCGTTGGCTCATTGTGCTGGGGCTTTGCGGTCGGCTGCCCTGGTTCTTGGGTCCGGGGCTCATCGGGCGACCCATTGGAGACTGGGGTCGGCCTGCGCCGTTGGCGTTCATCATCGGACCGGCAGGGGATGCGGGGCGCGAGCCGGGACCTGGGCCCATACGGGGAGCACCATTGGGAGGGCCGTTAGGAGCCCGCATGCCCTGAGGTGTCATCGGGCGTTGTTGGCCTTGGGGAGTCATTGGTCGCTGGCCAGAGGGGGAGCCGGGTCCCCTGGGAGGGCCGGCGGGAGGACCTCCCTGTGGCGGCCGAGGCTTCACAGGTCGAGTAGACAGACATGTGCGAGGGACGACACCCTGTCGGGACCTATCCAGACGGATGACAAGCGCCTAAGGATGCAAATGTTAGCAAAAGGCCAGGAAAATGGGGAATGTTAAAAAGCGGGGCTATGGAATCCAAGTATGTACTTACCCAGCCATCGTCATACTCGTGAAGCAGGCGTACCAGGTCACCCGCCTTCAGCTCCAATTCGTCTTCGAGAGAGGGCTTGAAATCCAGTTGCACGCGGTGAACTGTCGAGTTCGCTGGCCCACCAGCTGCAGCGATAGCAGCCGCACCAGCTCCAGATCCAAGAGTGCCCGATGACACGCTAAAGTCGGAGCCGGCGGGGCTGGGGGGAGCAGCACCGAGGGTGTTTACGGTCAGATCAACGTTGTTCTTGTTTCGCATGGATGCGTTGCGAGCCAGCTTGGTAGTTCCGGCCGCGACAACCACTCCGGTGGCGGCAACGGCAGCGGTCACAGCAGCAGTCTCCTCAGCCTTTGACAGCTCCAAATCTGGCGAGTTCTCGGCCATGGACATGACAGAGGGCGTGTAGGGCTTGTAAATCGGAGTCTGGGGGGCTGGCGAATCATTGATAGGAGAGGGAACACGCTCGGCTTGTTGGCCAAAGGGATTAGCGGGATGGCTGCTCTGGCTGGTATTAGGTCGATCCGCAGCATCACCAGTAACTGCGACACCAACGGCGGCAGCGGTGCCAGCAGCGGCGGCTTGCTTCTCGAGATCCCAGCCGGGGAGGAACTGAGTCACGGGTCGGAGGCTAATACGCGGCGCAATCGGGTCTGTGCGGACGGGGAAGTCCTCCATGGGTTCCGGCGATGGAGCTGGTGAGATTTCAAATGACATTGGTGAAACTGAGCGCTCGGCAGGAGCAGCCACAGGTGCAACAGCGGCTGCAGCGACGGGTGCCGCGGCTGGAGTCATGGCTGGTTTCACGACTGGAGCCACAACTGGTGCCACAACTGGTGCCACAACTGGTCGCTGCTGGACGGGAGGTGGAGGAACAGCCTTTTCATCGTCGTCTGGAAGCTCCTCAAGCTGAGCTTGCTGCTTACGACGGCGGATGAGGAAGAAGATAAGCAGTCCTACAACAAAAACACCACCAAGCACTCCGATGGCAATTCCTGCCTTGGCACCAGCGCTGGTTCCGGAGCTGGCCTCGTTGACGCTGTTGGGGGTTGTTGTTGCTGATGCCGCGTCGAGAGTAGGGGCGGCAGAGTGGGCCCGGTTGCCGTCAACAGCCAGTTGTGTTGGCGAGGCTGAGGAGTGCGTGGGCGAACCAGTAGCCTTGGCGATGGTATCGTCGGACTTGGACTGAGTTTGCGCAGGAGGACGAATGACAGTGGGAGTAGAAGAGCTCGCCTTGGGTGTCTGGGATGGCGGCTTCTGCTGCTGACTTGGTGTCTCCTTGGGCGTCTCCTTGGGCGTCTCCTTTGGCGTCGGCGTCGGCTTTGGGGTGTCCTTTGGAGTTTCCTTTGGCGTTGGCATCTCCTCGGGTTTCTTACTTGGAGTGGGCTCAGGCTTCGGTGTCTCCTTCGGGGTAGGAGTGCTGTGCACGGTCATGTAACCCGCAATGGAACCAGAAAAGGTAGCCGACATGGTCTTGTAGACATAAACCACAGACGCCTGTTGATCTAGGAGAGAGTCAGCACATCAAGGCGACAAAATGGATAACCCCAAGGCTGTCCAAGCCAAATATGCAGCATATAAGTACCTTTCTCCGCGTTGTTGACATGCTTGTCATGAGGGTTGACGCCATTGATAATGTCGTCAATGTCGTCGAGGATGTCTCGCCGACGATGGAGGTGCCGGTGTGAGTTGGGCATCTTGTCCAAAGTGATTTCCGGGGTATCAAGGAAAGAAAAAAAAAGTTAAAGATTTGGCGTCACAGAGCAAAGGACGTCCAGTGATTCAGCGCCTTGACCTCGAAATATATTGGCAATTCAATTCCGCAGTCGCAAGAGGCTGGGGAAGTCGTCGTCTGGAACGGGGGACGACAGTAATGGAGGGAGAAAGAATGTAGTGACTATTGAGTCAAGGAGCGTGTTCGTCCACGGCGGGGGGAGAGACAAATGTCTTTGCGATTTTGCTGGGGAAGCAAGGGAGCAACGGTCAGCTGGATTTCGAGACAATGCCAGACCGTGGTTATTTCCAAATGTCCCAAGTGTCCCAAACGTAAATGACGATGCAAACGGCAGTGCAGGAAGCCAGAGGGAGCGGATCGAGACTTTGTGTGCACTCGAGTAATGCGCGCAATATCCGAATGGATGGCTGAGCAGATTGAAAAGAATGACTGCGTCGATAAAATCAATGAATGAATGAATGGACGGACCGGAGCGCAGCTCTTGGACTGACGCAGAGGCCCAGACCGCACGATCGCTCGCTTGAAGAGGCGATGATGTGTCGTCAGCGATGGCAGGACGGTGGTGAGGAGGGAAAAAAAGAAGGGGAGAGGCGAGAAGCAAGCGAGCGACAGCTGGGGAATAACCTAGACAGACGGATGAGCCAGGGTTGGGCGAGCGAGGCTTGCCAGGGTCCAGGGTACGCAGGTACCTATACTTATGACTCTGGGGGCCTGGCAAGCGCCCAACGCTGCGCCGAATCAACAGCTGCTGAGCGCGCTCCACTGGCTGCTACAAGTAAGCTGTTGGCCACTAGCAGGCGCGGTGCAGCACTTGGCCAAGGTACTAGTACCAGTAGCGCATGATGAAGATGCTGTGCAGCACGCAAGCAAGTGGGCAGAGAGAGTTGATGGAGTCTACAGTAGTGGTGGTGGATGCACGCTTGCTGTTGAGAGGCTGCATCGCCACGAGCCAGTCAGTCAGCCACAACGGAGAAGACGCGCTGTCAACTCTCAGATGTCATTCATGGAGCCTCTATTCACCTATTCACATCGACAACGAATGACAGGTACTTTGTTCTGTGCTGTCCTCATACAGTAGTGATGCAGCAGTAGTGGTATGGACTAAAGTACGAGTAGCAGCAGCACCAGTACGAATAAAGACAAACGCCTGTGACACGATGATATGAGGATCAGCACCGCTGCGAAAAGCTCCCAAGCTTAAGATTGCTAGCACCAAAAGCCCTCTGCAGACCACCAGGGATCCGCACAGGGGCCGCTGTCCTTGGCTCAGGCACCGCGGCGCTGCCATTGGCTGCTGGCCCGGCGGCAGGATGCGCTAATCCAGGAACCGTTTCCCAGTCAATCCAGAAGAGGGATGCGGTCATTGGCCCGTGCGAGGCGCTGCTTCGCGTTTTTTAGCTCGTCACCTCACCTTTTCGACCCCCTGCTTGGTTTCTGCACGAATCCTGGCCTCTCCTCTCGCGTTGACTATCTTGTCTAGGCAGAACGAGCTGCGTGCATGCAAGGTGCCAGGACTTGATGCCTTGGTGCCTTGCTAAGGTCTCATCTCCTCTGGTGATGTACGAACTTGTACGAGTATCATCGATACTGTGGCTTCCTCCCTGGGTTCAGCTCCCCTTCAATATCCGCCACAGCCATGGCGGCACCATCGGATCACCCAATATCGTGCTGCTCTTTCAGCAAGGGATCTCGAGGCGCCGTCAGCACCCTACTGTACAGCGCCTAGCCCTGAGTCGCGCTGGTATATTGAATACGGGATTGATGCCAGCTTGCAGGTCCATGGCGAAACCTGTACAAGTAGCCAGGTATACAGGGGAGCTTCGTATGGCCTCACTGGGATCTGTCTGACAGTCCTCAAATCCCAAGAAGCGGTATGTCTGTACTCCGCAGACCACGTGTGTTTATCCTCTGCTCAATCACTTGCGCTATGGCGATACGAAATCTAGAAATTCCACCATCCATCACAACACCAACGCCAACACCACCACATTACTAAGATGCTGTATCCAACATCAGACATTAGTACATACATAGTACTAAACTCCATACATCAGCTTCCCAAGCGTGGCCCCCAAACTCTCCTAAGCCCACACCTCTCCAACATTATCCTCTTGCCCTTATTTCCCTTCCTTTCTGCAATCTTCCCAGATTGTAATTCCCACTCGCCCCAATGTCTCGAGTAAACGCGCTACCCGGCTTTCCTCTCGGTCTACGAGCCACCTAGCCAGGGTTCATGAAACACCCCCCTTTCGCCTTGGCATGCAAACTGGTCATTACCCAGTAGCATTTCCGTCGTCATTGTGCAGGCCAGCCCTGGCAGCGAATCCCAAAGAGCCATTTTTCCCCTTCTACTGTACGGAGTACCACGCACAGTAAGAATGGCTAGACCTGGTTCTGCTTCCCGGGCCTTCCATCGCTCAGATCCAGCTCAAGCAGAAAAAGGAAACCTCTGCGAACGAGATGAAAGAAGCTCGCCAGAACAAGATGCAAATAAAAAAAGAAAAAACATCCCGAGTAATAGTCGTTTCACCTTCCCGTCTCCCCCCACCCCAAGGCTGAATTTGTCGTTTGTCGGAAACCCCAAATCGACGATAAAAGGACAATTTCTTTCATACCCGTCATTATTCCCATTTCGCCTCTCGAGGGAGGAGCAAAACCCTCGTGTCCTGCGGGTCTCGGATCGGACGAGCAGAAATGGGACCGTGCAATCCCAAGTCCAAACGCTCAGAAACATTTCACATCTCGCCCGGTGCTCCAGAGAATCGCGGAGGCGGGACTAGGCCTTTTTTTTTTTTTTGTCCTATCTCTCTCAAGCCCGGAATTCCTTTCGTAGGCGAAAACCCGCCAAGATTCTTGTCCGCCATGTAGCGCTTCGTATCCGGAAACCATCCCCTTCCAATTCCGCAATAATAAAACAAAAACACACCGAAAAAAAGAGCAAGATAAGAAAGGGAAAAAATCTCCTTCGCTCGGCCGAGTCGTCGCACTCGCCTCTTCCCTCAGCCGCGCACCCCGCCCGCAATTAAGGATCAAAAAAGGAAGGGAAAAAAAGGTCCCAGACACCCGGGCCGGGTTGCTGTGGGAAATTTGCTTGTTTGACTCCGTCTCAGCACGGGATTCAGCTCTACGGCACTAATCATCTACCTAGACCGTACTGTAACAGCACTCGGCGCTTGTTTGCAACTCCGATATGACGGGACGCAAACAAAACACGCCCTCATCTAACATCTGTAGTGTAGGGTGTCTAATACAAAACCGAACCCACCAAGAGAATCCTCAAGAAAAGCGCCACCAAGCCAGGCGGCCTCTTTGCATGTACTACCCCATTCGAACTCATTCCCGCTCTATCCGCGGGGGGGGCTTTCAGTTAGCCCCCCCAACTGTATTTAGTCCGCCAGATTGCTGCTCCTCCTATTCTCCTACGGAGAATTTTTGGGAAGATTTTTTTTGTAAGTTTTTTTTTTTTTTTCCTAAGGAGACGCCGGATGCAAGTGGCACTAAAGAGGAGAATGGAGCCAAAAATCGCGGGCCCTTTTGTTTCCTTCGAATCCCCGGCGGGAACCACTTGGACGGCTAAACTGGTCGCCGTACGGAGTATTGCACGGAGTGGTTGTAGTTACGAGTACGCGTACAAACAGTACAATTAGGTTGTTAATTCGTCGTATATCGTATTGTACTTTTTCGCTCTGCTTCTTCTATACCGCTAATATATCCCCGTATATAGTATACATATGCATAGGAAACATGCTTGGACGTATCCGTCATGATGTTTTTCCCATCCGTCCGTCTAGGCAAATAGTATCTAGAAAATCCGCTCAGGGTATTGTAAAGCATAACAATGAACCGCCCAGGATCAAGTCCCGTAATAATAACAAAAGATGTAAACAAGAAAAAACAAATCACATCGAATCCTCCATCTGTCGACTTCTCGTCTTCGTCCAGCTATCCTTGTCCTCTTTGCCTCCCTGGCTTTCCAGCCCAAGCCCTCTCTCAACCCATTCTTTGCTCTCCATGTGACTCAACCGGCTCAGAGCTCTGGCAAACGCAAAGGCTTCTTCTTCGCCTGCAAACAGGTTGGAGTTCTTGAGCTTCTCGACGCTGTGCTCAAGGTTCTCCATCACGGTTTCGGCAGCAGCCTTTGTGGTTGCAGCGGTTGGGTTAGCCTCAAGGAGGCTCTCGGCGATTTCGTCCCGCGAGACAAACAGCTCGGCCAGGGGTTTCTCAGTGGTGAGCACAAGCTTAGCATTACCCTCATAGACGGCGTCGATAAAGGTAATGAAGCGGCGCGCGAGGTCCCGCTCGCGGATCGTCATGCCAGGCACCTCGGTGACGATAAAGGCATCGTACTTTCGCACCAACTCGAGGTAGTCGGCCGCCGACTTTGGCTTCTTGATAAGCTCGTCGAACGTGAACCAGGCGCACCGCCCGCTGACGCGCGGGACAAAAATTTCTCGGCCCCAGACCTTTTGCGTCTCAGACCGCGGTGCAAAGTTCTCCGAGTCGCCCAGGAAGCGGAACCATTTCTCTGCGTGTGACTCGGCATGCTGATCCAGGGCGGTGTGGTATACCCCGGAGGGTGGCCGAGGGATCTTGCGGTAGTCGGTTGGTGAATCGAGATTAATGACATGCAGGCGGTTCTTGAGCAGCTTGATTGCCGGGATGAATGAGTCTCGCTGGATGCCGTTCTTGTAGAGGTCATCAGGGTGTCGGTTCGACGTCGTTACCAGGACTACGCCGTGAGACATGAGGCTTTCTAGTAACCTATTCACCCACGTCAGCCACTCATCTTAGTAACTGCATATGAATTGACATCAAACGACTTCAAGTAAAGGGGAAGCCTTACCTCCGTAGAATCATGGCGTCTGCTACATCTGTGCACTGAAACTCATCGAAGCAAAGCACATTGCCCTGCTCTGCAATGTCCGCCGCAACAAACGGCACGGCATCAACATCGCTGCCATGCTGAATCTTCAGCTTGTGCAGCCGCTTGTGGACATCCTGCATGAAGTTGTGGAAGTGTATTCTCGTCTTCGTCTTGACTGTGGTGGGAAGGGTATCGTAGAACAGGTCCATGAGCATCGTCTTGCCGCTGCCCACGTCGCCGAACAGATACAATCCGCGAGGTAGATTCTCTGGAATGTCTTTAATTGTAGCCTTTGCGGCGCCTCCGTTGCCAAACAGCGATGAAAAGACAGACTTCTTGGCGGGCTTGAGGAGGTCGGAGCTGGGATGGACAACAGGCGGCGCATGATAGTTGCGAAGCTCATTGTGGAGGTGTTGCAAGCTCTCAATGATGCCTGTGGTAGCACATTAGTTAGTTGTGGCTACAAAACACATTGCTTTCGCGCAAGCTCACCTCGCTGGTGCTCGTCATTCCGCAGAATCCCAGCATCTACTCGCCGGTCATACTCCTCCAACGGACCCAGGCCAACTATTGGACGGTCTGAGACGGTCGCCAAAGACCTCGTCGCCGCCAAAGAAGTCTGATATGTGCCACGCTTGACTCCAGCGTCCAGATATCTCTTGATACCACCATTCAATCCCGTTCGCATGACCACTGGTTGTGCCGACTGCACCCGAAACGACCTGGCAAACTGCCGGCTCCTGGCGCAACAGGCCGAGCAGCTCATCCGGCTCAAGGGCCTGCTAGCCGCAACACTGCCTCGCATCTTTTACGTCTCGGGAGCAGTATCTGGTGCGCAGAATTACGGAGAGCACGGCGTTGAAGAAAGGCGAGAGAAACTCATATATGTGCGGAACTAGAACATCTGATGATGTAGTTTTTAGTGGCGGTGCGGCTCAAGCGGAATAACGCCATGCGGGTCGATTCCGAACTGCCGAGCTTCGGAGCTGTCCGGGCATTGCTTTGGCCTTTGTCACAGCATGGCAATCAGCCGAAGTTTAGGCGCTGACTCCGATGCGTGTGACGCAACGATCTGTAGACTGAGTAGCCTGTTTGCAGCTTCTACAATGAGAGTGGATTTTTTTTTTAACCAGATCATGACTCTAGTTTTAATAATTATCCTTCGCATACATCCTTTTTTTTTTTCTATCAGCTTCGTCACGTGTTGCCGATCCTTAACGCGACCATTAGAAAAATCGCACCATTACACGTCGTACAGTAACTAAGAAATGTAAGCCGGCTGTCGTGATACCCTAGAGTGCATCTAGATCGGACATTTTTCATCTCTTCTTCTTCAAAACTCACCGTGCCAGCCACAACAATTGATAACATGTTCCGTCAACAGCCTCGTTTATTTTCTCTGCTCTTACTGTTTCTTTTAGTAATACTAGTGAGGCGTCAGAGGTGGGTTTTCTAGAGCTTGTGGCCGACGCCGCTCTTACAAACTAGGAACAGACGGCATTCCATGGAGCTGCTAATGTTGTTGAGGACGCTCTTGAGCAATAAAGACTGTCAACATTTATTCAGTCGTTCTAGACCTGTCATGTCTCACCCTTTTAGCCGTCTAACCAACAGGTCATTTCATCTGTCAGCGCAACTTTCCCTTCTCAAGTAAAAAGCACTAATTTAGTCAGCCATTTCCCAGCAAGTGGCAGTGCTAAGCATCTGGGCGCATCTTCTAGTCTGCTCCACGCGAGGCAGGCGATCAGCTAGATGGAACGATTTGAAGTGGCTGGAGAAACACTCGGAGTGAGTTATGATCTATCATTTGCAAATGGCTGGGCCAGGTAACGCAGGGCTAAAATGCAGAAGGTTGCCGCCCGGCTGCACATTAACTCAATCGCCTTGGGGGTATATCTAACTAGCCACCTATCATACACCACGCAGGTACACATCTTATTTGTCTTGTCCAAGATAAAAAAAAAAAAAACTCCGGAGTGAAGCCTTGATAGTATAATTGCCCGTAGACAAATCATTTGCCGGCCACTCTACCAGATCATGACCTGTGCTTAACAACTGATACTTGATATCCAACTCAATTCCCTTCTTAATATTGCCAAAGGAGAAAGAGACAAGGTATACACAAAGTTGGTTGCTACATGGTAGGCCGGGTATCTGTTCCTTTGGTCTTTAATGACAAGAACCAGGGGTGGTTCTACCGGGATCCACATATAGACTCAGGCCATCGTTCCGCATTGAGACTCTCCTCAGAAGCTATGCCTGGATCGTGTCCACTGCCGGGATCCTTGACGGCCTCGTGTTATCGGACACAGAGTAGCAGATCGCGTGGCCCCAATTGTTTCTGGAAGCATCAGGATAATGCTGTTGCCACGTTGTTGACTCGGGAGTGCGGCTCCATGTGTCCAAGACGCGCCAATGTACCGCAAAGACAGGCCGGTATCCAGGGACTGATCTGACTTGTCCTTTGCGATTTCGCGATTTCGCGTGTGTCGTGGCTGGGGTCTTGTCGCGTTGCCCACCCCCCGCATGTCCGGTGGTGAATGGCGCACCCAGATTCCACGACATCTCGTGCGATCAACCCAGTAGAGCCCCGTTTGCTCGCTAACCATGCGAGTCTTTGTTTGGGGGAACACATGAAAGCGTCTCGTACACCAGAACGCCAAGCTATGAATGGGTCGTCGTGCGTAAATTCATCTTCGGTTTGCTGCGTCAATAGTAGCCTCCGGGAGGAGGCGGCGGTTGTTGAGGAGGAGGAAAATCGCGGGTTGTAGGGGTATGGTACGGATTCATGGGCATGTAATTCAACGCTGCGGGATTTTCTCCGACGGTTGGCTGAGTGGTTCCGCCGTGCTGAGAGACGTCTTCGAGCAAGGAACTCGAAGGGTTCAGGTGTTGGAAGGAGGATGATCTCAGAGGGGCCGCTGGACCTTCGGTGAAGACTGGCGAAGTGTAAGTATGCGGCCCTGGCGGCACCACCTGCTGAGCAGCAACGTGAGGATGTCCAAACGATGGCATTGCAACCTGCTGAGGATCCCAAGGGGCCGCGCTGACTGATAAGCTCGCTGATGGCATTTCCCTGGTCACCTGGCTGGGCAGGGGAAAAGGCACGCTGGAATCCAGAGCCACGGGCCTTCGAGGAGCAATGATTTGTTGAAGCGCCTGGACCGGATCTGTTGATGAAGATGCCCCGGCTTGCTGTAGGAGGAAGGAGGAAATGTATTCGTCTTGGAAGCCGTGTTTGTGAAGTAGTTCCCGCAGTTGTCTGTTCTCTTCAGCCACTCGCCGAGCTGCGAGCTGCACCTCGGAACTTGCCTCGACGCCAGACAGTTCATAAGCTCTTAATCGCTGCTCAAGTTCCGCGATGTATTCCCTCCTCCGAGCCCGAGATCTTCTCTGGTTGTCTCGGATGCGAGCGAGGTTGGCTTTTTGCTGTAGTGAGGAAAAGAGGAGAGGGGGTAAGTCGGCCACTGATTCCAAGCTAATATGGATTGGAGGGGAGGAGAGGGGAAAAGATGATACACGGGCTGAACCACTTACTGCAGGAGTTGACATTTAGGGCCAGATGTGATTTGGCCGCATAAATAGCGACCTATCGCTCGAATCCGGAAGAAAGTTGTTAAAGATGGCGGTCCGCAAGGGGGAGGGGAGCGCGGAGGCTGGGCGTAAGTATGCAGCGCTGACAGCGGGCGTTTTTTTTTCTCCTCGGTGGCATATAGCGATGGGATAGATATTGGAGGGGTCTGAAGAGCTTGGTTTGTCAAGAAAGATGGTGAAATCCATATACTCAAAGCCACAACAACCATAACCTTGAGTCCGTATGGGATCTTGGGTATACTAGATGAACTGAGGAAGGGCCTGGAGGGAGGGTAAAAAAAAAAAAGAGAAAAGGTGATATGGGTTAAGAAAAATGAGTATTAGAAAAGAAAGGTCAGCAAGATCCACCAAAGAGTCGCGGCCCTGGACGGCGACAACAAAAGACGAAAGAAACGGGTCTGTCTGCTTCTAAGTCCCCCGGAGGGAATGGATTCAGGACATCCGTATCTTCCAAGGACGGAGGTGTGAAAAGTCGGCGGCGGAGGAATAAAAGCGAAGACGGGCATTTGTCCTCCTTGGCCTCTCACTTTTGGTCTCTCAGGCTCTCTCACCCAGAGAGTCGACTCTTTAAAGGCGACAAGAGGAGCTATCCAGCAAGCAATAAGCGGGGAGGAGAAGGAGACACGACGCGACCCAGGCGCACACAAGTCACCTTGCAGAGGCAAACAGAGTCCCTGGCTCTCATATAGGGATGAGAAAGAGGTAATTTGGGGGACCCAGGTAGCTTATTAGGCGGGAAATCGGGAGATGTACTTGGCAAGTCTGGAATACAAGAACTGCTTGCCTTGCGTACCCTAGGTTAGGTCTAATACCGTATGGATGCCATGTTGGACACGGGAAGCGCGCTAAAAGAGAAGCAGCGTGGGCAGCCAGCCCCAGATAGCAAGCAGTTACATGGAGAGGTCCAGCCTCCACAAAGAATTCGTACTAAGTTAGCCCGCCCACGTTTATTCGTGTGTATCCATGGATGTCGGTTTGGAGCTGGGGCGAGATGCGCCACTCACGGGTCGACGATGCCGCCCAAGTCTCTCGAGTGTGCAAGCCACCTCGGCGAGCAATAATATCACCGCCTCGGCCGTCGAGGTATGCAGCCACGCCTCTGATCCACGTGTAGATGGCCCAAGTCCCAGTGTGCTCGTAGTAGTAGCGGCTGCTACTATAGTCTAGGTAGTTGTGGCCCAGCCATGGTAGGGCTGCGAGCACAAAGAGAGACCGAACGGATATCAAAGGGGAGACGTCGCCTAGCCGCTCTGGCACGTCACTTGGAGCCCAGTGCCCGATGGTGGGCGCTTTGGGCGGGTCTTGTCGAGGTCCGGGATTTAATATGTAAAGATGCGTGTTTACATGCACATGTGAGTGCGCAAAGCTTGCTAGTAAGATGGTCTAAAGCAGGCTGGCAGCAAATGCCAAGTTGCCTGTGGCCCCGGCACAGTTGCCTCTTGGTTACCAGCCTCCCCTGCCCGCAATAGACGTGCTGTGGACATGCGAAATACGGCGTAATATCATTGTCTCTTTTCCGGAGGGCGACGAGAGCGAGGCAGCGCCTGGGGGGGTGCGGGCGGGATGCCGTGCCTGCGGTTCGTTCGGACAGACTGACAGGGCCGCCTCTCCCTCACGCGCACAGTACAGTAAGTCAGTTGCAAGCACCAGTCCAGGCCAGAGCAAGCTCCGTAGTTACGCGGACATGCTTTGTTCGGTGTGACAGCATTTGACGGAGCGTGCGCCGCACGCAGAGATGGGCGATCATGAGACAATCCCTTGCTGGAGCCACACTCCCGACAGACTGGATTCTGACATGCCATGGTGGTACGCCAGCGCCGTTATGGCGGGGCAAGAGGCTGCTTAGCCCTAGCGACGCCATCTTGCGTCCTGTGCGAGCACGGCCGTCAGAGGGCAGGATTTTGGGTTTGTGGTGGTTTTGCTTGGTGCCCGCGCGCTTGCAAGCATCTGTGGCCTTTGCTTTGGCCCCCTCCTCCTCCTCCTCACGGGAGCCCTCCGAGCTGGAGCGACACGCAAAACCTAAGCATCATGACGGCCGCGAGGGGGAGTTGAGGCACAGCACAGCGAGCGGAGAAGTCGACCAGTCAAGTCGTCGCCCAGCAAACAAGGCACGGCACATGCGTGTGCCGGAGCGCGTTCCGACAGACAGTGCAGATTCGCCTTCAGACTCTGGCACCCCGGTCGTTGCCATGTGGTTTCTAGTCCCAGGTCCGGGGTGTTAAAATTGAATCGTGTTTGTTGTATGAGAGAAAAGAGATGGCAGCAGATTAGAGGACCTTGATGAAAACGCCACTCATCCGTAGTTACATTGGCAACTGTTTCCGAGGGGAGGAACGCCTGTCTGTGCTGCTGCCACCCCCCTCCCCCAAGCCAGCATCTTGGGTGCTAAGGAATAGTAGAGGTATGGATGGATCAGTGATATTAGTACTCCATACTCCGTAGCAGGCAAGAAAATGACCTATTACTTAGTACCTCGCTCCGGTGGTAGGTACCTGACAAGGCCGTGCAGTAGCAAAATACTCGATTTAGTGGTATTCGGTACTAGTAGTACAAGTAGTAGTTGGTTCGCGGCCGGGTTTCGTGCTCATGGCCCCTCTTCCACGTTGTTTCCACTACTGTGCCGTACCAAGGCATCCCATGATTACCCTGGGGGGAATCAAGGATAGCAAGGATAGCAGGGATAACAAGGGTAACAAGGGTAACAAGGATAACAAGGGTAAATTAACACCGATTATCAAAGACGCAGATGAGGTCATGTATCCCTACACAGCCGCCTTGTATCTCGGCCTCGGATGCCTGACGACTAAAGTTTCCCCCCATCGAAACCTTCTGGCGCTGCAAGTGCCTGGACTCGCAACCCAGCGGTGATCACGAGGCGCTGGATTTCACTTAATCTCCCTAGTCGATACGATGCGGGATGCGCGTTTTCAGCCCTCCATCGCCATCATCGTGTGAGTGAGTTTTAGTGTGTGCGACGTGATTGTAAGTGTGTGTGTTGGCCAATGCTGGTTGAAACTGTTTTCCCTGCATCTCACATTCCTCAGTCGGCTGTCGCTGGCCTGGCTCTCACCCAACCGCAGCGAAGATGATTCCACAGGAGAGGAGAGGAGAGGAAAGCTTCTCACCCTCTTTTTTTCTCATCTGCTGTACCTCTCTTTGTCTCTCGAGGTCGTTGCTCCTGTCATTTCCTTCTCTCGCAGCGATACCTGAAAACGTGCATCGCAAAAAAAAAAAAAGTCTGGCGTGCAGTCCCAGGTAAATTGGCTCCTCATCTCGGCTCACCCCGGCGTCTCCCCACGATGATACGCTGACCCAGCTCGAGCTCAATTTCAGCCGCGACACAATCACATTGCGCGCCATGGGTCTGGTTCCGCGCGCCTCTCGACTGGCACGCTAACTTTGCATGGGTGACTGATCGTGAAACGCAGCAGCGGGTTTTGCAGCTCCCCTCGCAATTGAAGATTGACATGTTATCCGGTGAGTGTTGCGAAGCGCAATTTCGCTGCGCAAGCTTGCATCTACACGTATGGATCCCAGAGCAACACTAATACGCCAATACTAGGCCAGTTCCCCACCGCGACGAACTGGTTGAGCGAAAGTCGGCCATTCAACTCGCGGGGGTGACTGTGCTCCCGAGTTTTCAACTCTAGGAGCTGGCGAGCGTTGAGTTGCAAGCTTTTTTCAGCCCAACGGGTTTTTGCGCTCATCGGAACAACGGCCGTGCTCTGCTGCAGTTAGCTGCCTTGCCCAGCTTGGGTTGAGTCCAAGTGCCGATAGACAACACAGCAAAGACAAACAACCATCTGCACACCCAACGCCTCGTCCTCAGGGCTGAGCCACCACCCCCATCTCTGCTGGAATAAAGTTCCTCTCCCTTCCTTGCGTGTATCCGATGGCTCGTTTGCCTCAGCTCCCCGAGTTGCCAACTACCGTACACGTACTCGTACCCAACGCAATGCCTGGCAGCAGAAAGGCTGACAGCCCAGACAGCGGGACAGTACGAATAGGGAGGCGCCACAGACTGGGCTGGAGGTGTGAGCAGACAGCCAGCAGACAGCCAGAAGGGGAAAACAACGCGACACGATTCGCCTCTCTGTTAGCGGCTGAACTGGCTGATTACGTATGAGCTGAACAAAACGTACAAGCCAAGAAAACTTGAAGCCCTCTGATCTGGAGGGCCGAGAAAGGCAAATCGAGTCTGGCCCGGCAGCCGATCTGGATCCAAAAGCTTAAAAAAGTCTTGCCAAATGGAGCGATAGAGTACCCCTATCCACGTGAATTTGCCCTATGGACGACACTAACGACGAAGCGAATGGACAGCGGTCATTGCCGTAGCTGCGCGAAGCCGATGCTACTGTGCCGTCCGTTACGCAGATGCCTAATGCTAACCTATGCTGCTACCTAGTACTCGTACTATAGTAAAACTCCGTCGACGCTACGTTTGAGCGATCCAGTGCTTCGCTTCCACGGCGCGGCCAACCAATGGTTACACCACATGAAACTAATCACCTCGAGCCATGGCGGCGACCAAGAGCCGGTGGCCAGAGCCGGTGGCCAGAGCCGGTGCCGGTGGCGATGCCAAGCAGGGACCCCGAAAACACGGAGTCCCGCCACTAGATTCCGCGGCCGATACGCGGCCATATTTTCCCGTCGCGTTTCGCTTTTTCCATTGTTTTGCCATCCCGTTCGCCGTCGGTATCCAGCAGAGCTGAACTGTGGCCAAGTTGCCAAGGAGTCGCCGAACCCGTTGAAGAGATTCCCCTAGATTGGGCTCCATCGTACGATTATGATGCAGCCAGCTGTTCGGCGGCGAATCGGCCATCTCTTCGGCACCTGAAGCTGGCCTGGTTGCTGTCTCGGCCCAAGGAGCTTCTTTTTTCCCGACGAGGTCCCCCCTTTTTCCCAACGAGGAATTTTTTTACCTAAGCAGCTGCTTCTTTTTATTTTTTTCTTTATTTACTAAGCACCACAGCCACATCACAGATCCCAGATCCGGGCAAGCTAGCGGCCAACTCGTTCATGCGTACGAGTATAAATAGCGACTCGGACAAAAAAAAAACCACTGGATGCTATATTTGGCAATGCACCGTCTTGCACTATTTGGATGCGGTGAGACGCTGCCTGATGCTTACTGTACAAGCCAGTGCAGTGCCTTATTGATCCTGCTGCTGGTCCGAGCTTTCAGCTGGCTATCCTGTCAGAAGTCAAGTCGTCGTGCTGCCTCTCTCATATGGTCTTTTAAAGACGGCGCTGCTGGTGAAAGAAACGCCACAACTTGCATGACAGAAAATGTGATATTTGCCGCACTCATTCTTAATTTAAAGACAGTCTTCCGCTGCCAAAATGACATCGCATTGCATCGACGATGCTGTTTCAGTGACTGTCAGCTCCATGACAGACCTATGCAAACACGACGGTCTATTCCCAATATGGCGCCAACTTACACAGCTAGACATGCAAGGATGCATGGGGCTTTGCGTGGCGCAGACTGATTTGAGCCAAGATGGCCAGTTGCTTGGCCATTTTCGTGTTTTTCCAAGATCTGCGCCCTTAGACCCTCCCGTTCACGAGATAAACATGGTAATACGAGCGTGAGCTGTCCAAATCCTTCGGGATCAACCGTCTTATTTAAGGAGCTCGTCCCAGCTCTTGTCGTAGGTCTCCTTTTTGTGAAGTAAGCCGCTCTGCATTGGTCTCAAGCATTCTCCTGCTTTCCATCATCCAGCGATTGTTTGTTTACTTTCTTTTTTTTTTATATCGCCGCGCTTGATTATACTTGCATACAAGATGCCTTCTCTCAAGAGCCTTGTTTCGGCCTTGGCCCTCGCGTGTCTGGCCAACGCGGCAACCATCAAGATTACCGCCACGTCCGGCAACGTCTTTGATCCCTCAACCGTCAAGGCAGCTGATGGCGATATCCTGGAGTTCATTTTCGAGCCCAAGAACCATTCCGTTGTTGCTGGTGACTACCGCTATCCTTGCTCTCCCATGGAGCTCGGCACCGGATTCTTCTCTGGCTTCTTCCCGACAGACAGCGGCGAGAATGTACGTCTCTCACTTCTATAGCATGACTAACATGTTCGTATACTAACATGTGCCTCCAGGACAAAGTCTTTCGCGTAGAGGTCAACGGAACCGACCCCATTCCGTTTTACTCTTCTCAGGGCAATGAGTGCGCCGGCGGAATGGTTGGCATCATCAACCCCAAGGGCAACCAGACTCTGGACGACTACAAGAAGCGAGCTTCCGTTCTAGCACGGAGTGTTTCTCCCGGCAAGAAGCCCTTTGGCGGAGAGATTGCAGACAACGACAACAGCTCCAACTCCACCAGCAGCGATGGCGACAACGGAAAGGGAGGCAGCAGTGGAAGTGGTGGAAGCAGCTCCAGCGGAAAGGGTGGCAGCAGCGGAAGCGGCAGCTCAGGAGACAGCTCTTCCGACAAGAACGGCAAGGACTCCGGCAGCGTTTCCTTGTCCGTCTCTATCGGCGCTCTGGGACTCGCTCTGCTCATGGCGATTTAAGAGATTTCTGTATGGTGCTTTTTTGGAAAGCAAATCGTTAGATACCCTATTAGACTGGATTTGCGGCCCTGTCAGAGAAAGTAGTGCTTATGGTTGGATATTATCGGCATTAACTGTGGATACATGAATCGCGTTGGAATTAGCTTGTCATCCCATCAGCGTATAGACATGAGACAAATAATAATAATTTTTGGGGGAGTGACTATTCAGCACCCCAAGTTCGCTATTCAGCATCCATTCTTAAATTTAAAGCAGCCTAGGTAGTAATGATGGTAAATATTAGAGGAATATATGGATAGTAGCAGATACTAGCCATAGTAGCAGATACTTTAGGAACTGTGCAATATCTATTTAAGTAACGGTGGTAAGAAATCTTTATTATAGGTACGTTGTTACTCCATTCGGAACTCCTCTTAGCCGCTGGGGTGTTGGATAGCCAGCTTGGGGTGCTGAATAGCCCTTCCCATTTTTGGTAATGCATGGTTATTTACATCTCTTACGTCCTAACCGTCTTTAGTATGTGCTTGGTTTCCTTATATAACTACACTCTATATCCTGGCGTTTTAGCAAATTTATCGTTTTGAATAGATGTACGACGAGTCAAACAAGTCCTCTATTTTTCATCAGTTTGGATTTTTGCGACAATGGGAACTTGAGAAGCGGGCATGGTCGACTTTGCGCAGAATCCACGAGAACTCCCTCAATGCGCCACCTTTTTCTTAATAAATGATTACTTTACTCATCGACGGCCTAACTAATAAAGTCACATGGAAACACGAGGTTGCTAAAATCGGTAACTTCTGCCCGGCAGTCAACTTTAGTAGAATAGAAAATACGTAGAGGTGAGACCACTGCATATCGGAGAACATCTCTTCGGATAATTGTAGTGAAGCACTATAAACTTGGTAAAATAGTTTAGAGACAAATACAACTGTGATTGAAGTACGGTATGAGGCAACAAATGACCTGCTTAATTATATATTTTGAAGTTACACTTCATTTCACACGTTCCTATCTTAGAGGTTCACTTGCGTTTCCTTTATGATACGCCCCTCGAATCCCAACCGCTCTTTATGCTCTTCTATTATTTCTGTTATCCACGAGGAGAACTGAGTCGCCTTTGAATTTCTAGCCACAGCGAGAAAATAGTTGACTGTGAGAGCTATCTCTCTTCGTATTATATGTGTTCCATTTTCGGCGGCTGTAAAATGAGAGATGATGACTTCTTTTAGCTTGCCTCGCGCCTCGGTTGACATGCCTTGAATACCAAGCATAATGGTCTTAGCCAAACTGTCTAGACGATTGGGTCCTTTACTCCATGCCATGGAAAATAATCTGAAGGCCACCTCGACTAGGGTTTCGTATATGTGTCTGCGGTCTTCAGAAAACTCCCTCTCAAGAACTTGGGGTGGAACTTGGCGTAAACCCTCTGTGCTGCTTTGAAAGCTTTCCATCGTCTGCTCAAAGGCTGTTTCCACTGTGGGCATAAAAGCCTCTATTACTTCGTTGAGTTCCTGCTCAAAAGCTGCCCTAATGAGGCTCAAAGAGGTAATCGCCAGGCTAAGGACTTGGTCGTATTTTTCCTCCTCTAAAGAGATCTTGTACTCTTGCCATCTATCCTGGATTATATCGCGAATAACGTAACCCATGTTTTTTTCAATCACAAGACTCCATTGCCGCACCCATTGGTCGGCATATGCGTTCATCAGGTTCTTCTTCGGGCTCAAAGCGGCTTGCCTTAGGACCTCCAAGCCAGCATTTGCACACACTCGAACTTCAAACTGGTCTCCTGAGTAGAGTACATCTGAAAAGTCCTTTACGATAACTTGCAGCAAATCACGCACGGCTTGGTGGCCACGTTCTCCAAGATCCTCGAGTTCATTGGCTGCTGAGTTGTAGAGTTTGGAGAGGATAAACGATAGCCGCTCAAACTCTCGATTTCTGAAAGTTACTAATAGCATCTCAACAGCAACGCAGCATAGGGCTTGTGCCTTGCTCAATTTTTTGTTGTCTCCTAAGCTTGGGTCAACCACGCGTAATTCGTCAACCACGCTTGCTTTAAACTCGACTATACGGCTGTTCAACACCGTCTTTAGCAGTGACTCGCCGTCGGTGTTGCTTGTCATGAGGTTGTTCATCACATCTACCCAAGTATAAGCGATCGCATTCTTCGCTTCGATGTTGTTGACCTCGATTGCCTTTTGAAGAACGGCGATTCCAGCTCTTGTCATTAAGTCTAATGGACGGGTAAAGTCGTAATTATCTGTGATGAATAGAGGCTTCTTTTTTCGTAGGAAGGAGATCTTTGAAGTGGGTTCTTCATTCGGATTTTGAGATTCTGATGGAGCTGGATATCCATTAAGTCCATCTACGGATGAACTTGATCCAGGAGTGACTTGACTGCTTGTCGATTGGCACCCGACTGCAGTACGTAAACGATCCCGGCGAGGGCCACGGCGCAGTAAGCAAAGAAGAGAAGCACACTCTTCCCATGCTTCTGCCAATATATGCCTCTTTGTCGTCTGCAATTCTCCTCTGTGCGTCTTACTGGTAGCGAGTTTCACAGTCTCAATAAATATTTCCTTAGTGAGCCTAAGCATCATGGAAAACCTGGCGCTTAGTTCATCTTTGGCTATTTCGTCGCACATGCGGGTTTCCGCTTCTTGGAACAGTTTCTCAAAATTGCCTGGGTCAGCTATTGTAAAAACTGCCATGTAAAATTCTTGCCGAAGGTGGGAGGTTCCAGATGATGTGTCCTCGGAGCTGCCTTCAGCAGTAGTATCAAAGCCACGTTCCTGAAGGAGGCGCATAACATCTGTGTGTCCACCTTTACGTGCAGCTTGATAGGCGGTCTCTCTAGCACTCTTATTCGAGCAGTCTTTCGCGCCATTGTCTAAAAGCAGCTGAACGAGGTCTATATGGCCATTTAATGCAGCCGCGCGGAGAGCTGGTCCCTTTGTGCCAGTCTCATCGTTGACATCAACGCCATGGGCGATTAATAGACCAAAGATCTTCTCGTATGGCTCTTTCTTCGTGATGACATTGCACCCAGCAGCTGCCGCTGTGAGGACACTGCCATAGATGTGGTGTGTTGCTCCAACATAGACTTTGCCTGTGTTAAGGAGAAGTTCCACAACATCCTCGCGACCGTGGAATGCTGCTGCATGAAGAGATGTTCCAAAAGTGCCTTTTCCTTCCCCAAAATATGCCATGTAGTATCGAGAAAGAAAAAGTTTGGCGATAGCGCTGGATGCCCCATGAGGATATAATTTGCGGAAACGATCTTTGGCTTCGTATTGGCGGAAGATTAAGTCAACGCATTTGCAACATCCCACTAAGCAGAGAATCTGTAAAGCGGTACCATAGGAGCTCTGAGGCTTAAAATCTGCTCCATATTTCACCAGCATAGCGATGACTTCTTCATGGTGTTCTTTGCATGCAGCAATCAGAGCCGTCTGGCCCTTCTTGTCTGTTATGTTCAGATTGGCTTTCTTGACTTTAAGCAGCTTCACGACTTCCGAAAGCCCATAACGAGCTGCGTAATGGAGAGGAGTGCGACCTTCTTTATCTGACGCATCGACTTTCCCTCCATACTCAATCAGCTTTGCTATAACATTGCAAACATCGCTATTCGCGGAATGTCCGGCAGCAGTCTTCTGTTTGACCCCCTTACGGATGGCCCAATGAATTGCCGACAATCCTTCCTCATCAACCTTCTGTAAGTCGAGCATATTTTCGTCTTTTAAGAAATCTAAAAGGTCGTCGAGGCCGAGGCAGCTGATGATGTGCTCATGGCTAATACCTCCCGGTATATCATCGCGCAGGCTGAGCATATAGATTTGGAAAGACAGGAGAAAATTCTTCTTCTTTTTGCCGAGAAGCCTCCTCAATAACTCAACCACCCTGTCACTTTTGTTCTCTTCTTTATATTTGAAGGCACTTTCTTTATAGCTATTTGCCCAATTGCAAGACGCAAACTCTAAAAATGGATGCTTCTGTATAATGGGTTCAAGCCTGCCATTGTACCATTTTGCATCTCGGTCGTATCCATGGGAAATATCCCGTGAGCATAGATATGCTAGGCAGACTTGTGTAATTAGCTTATGAGCTTGCGTTTGATCATGCTCTCGGAAAAATTCGAAGGCGGACGCGTGACAGAAGCGAAAGACTCCCTGTTTTTCGTCTATTTCGATTAGGTGATTGCATATTTGAACGATACCGTACAGGTCATCGTTGGAATTCTTGATTCCTGTAGAATTTTCTGCTTCTTCCTCGATACAAGTAGCGACATTGAGGGCTTCAAGCAAGAGATTCTTGGGCATTGATCCCGCTGAGTTGGATAGAAATGCCATAGTTCTTAGGGCAACGCGGTTTTTTTCCCCCGAAAGAGCTTCAAATGCAACAGCATACTCTTTATAGACTTGATCCATCTTTAGAGCTTTAATATTTTGCTTAAGAAACTCTTCCGCGGTTTTTTCCAACACCATTTTGGGAAGAGTTTCTGTTTTTAGCTTTGCCCATAAGAATCTGACAAATACTCAATTTAGTACCATGAAGATAGAAATGAGAAGAATATACTTACAACCCATTTGACTTATTTGCTATATCGTTTAGAACCTGGTCCCTTAGCTTTGGATTATTTTTGAAACGGTTCAACGGTAGCTCGTTCTCCAAGTATTTTCGAATATCGTCGCTGTTATCATCACGATTGACTTGGATCTCAAACAGGTTATGATTTTGAAGTTCTTTGCACCCATCGCGATTGCGAGAGCTAATGATAATAGCAAGGTGACGCTTGCGACGATTGTTCTTGCGTTCCTGAAAAATGGTATTCAACTTTCCGATTAACTTAGACTGGGCTATTTCAGGAAGCTGATCCACTGCATCGATAACAATGCACACATGCTTCTGATCCTCATTCAGAATTCTAAAGAGCTTGTTTTCATTCGTATCGTCCTTTTGATTTTGTGGGCGGGAACCTTTTTCGTTGCCTTGTGCTTGCTGAATGAATGTCTCTAGCATAGCATAGTAAGGTTGGTTTTCTTTCTGCTGATAGTCGACATAAAAAAACAGTAGATGGAAGTTCTTGGCGTTAGAATTGTTACCAATATGGTCGATTAACTTGGACCTGATCATAAATACCGGTTAGCTTTTGACTTCGCTCGCTGAATGTTGGATTGGATACTTGCATAAGCGTAGACTTTCCGCATCCCGCTATTTCATGGTTAGAATATTTCATCTTTGTTGTTATACATTAAGGAAGTCTCCTCTTTTAACTTACCGGCTCCATGTATCCAGAGAATCGAATCCGTCTCTGAATTTATAAATGTCTTGAAGTCAGGCTTTTTTAACAACCATTCACATGTACCTGGTGTTCTTAACTTCCGAATATTATTGTGATTATTTTTAGCTAAAGCTTGTGGAGAATTATCGCTCTGTTGGACTGTGAAATGGGTGAGTAATACTTTGGGACACTCTAAACTGGACGATTTAGCTTACTGAATACATCATCACCCACACGAACGCGAGCATTATCCCCAATATTACTGTTTGATATGCTGTAGTGCGAAGACATCTTTGAGTACTATGATTGCTATATTGTTGGACATAGGAGGAAGAACTGCAATGTCAGGTGCAGTATCTCTCATATCGCTCTTTAAAAAGTGAAAGAGGACTATTGGTTGGTCGAGAGTCTTGATAAGATTAATGACATATCTACGTGGCAGCGGCCCATAAATGATGCATCGATACCTAACAATGTACATGAATGCACCCAAGTGCATGCAATTTTATGCATACCCCTGCTCTGGCAGTTACGGAACCATGCCTGGATGATGCCCAAGGGGATAAAATGATCTTTGCAAATCCCCTCTGTGGCAACAAATTACAACTCCTGCTAACAAACAAACGTGCAACACACCACGAGAATGAAGTTTAAAAGAGTAAGTAAATTCGGACTAAGAAGCTTGGATTTCCAAGTGTTAACCACATACAGGCTTCTCCAAGTGGCACCACAGCCTCTGCTGACATCAATCATATCAACCATAAGCTTGACATGATTAATAAGATACGAAATAAAAAACAAAAGATCGAAGGGACTTCTCAAAGTTTAGACAACGTCTTTGCGCAGCTAGCGACAGGCGAAAATCTGCTTACTCTGCTTAAGAATGATGAAATATCACAAACTGCTGTAGGTAAAGAGCACATTAGCACCATTCTTGATACCATCCAAGAATTAAAGACAGTCCTCGATAAGCTCAGTAAAGGGCTATTCGGGAAGTTATCGCGACATAAGCTCAATGACCAAAGCCCTTATAACGAGCAGCTGAGCGATATTAGCAGCTGATTCGACAAGGCGCTGAATCAAGCGTCTTTAAATATTTCGGAGTCCAGAGTTAGTTTTTCAGAGAGAACAGAGGACTGCCATGCTTCGTCAGATGTCCTTAGTGATACTCACACACAGGCAAGCCCAGTGTTTGGGAAGAAACTGGAGAATTTGGTATCGGCGGGTTTCCCACAGGAACGGCAGATGGTAAAATATACAGGTATAGCCGCCGCTGTCTACCAATACAACGTACAAGTTGATATACTTACATAATGTGTTAGAATCCACACAAGCCCAGTCGGTTAGCAGCGTGGAACAGGACCAGAATGACTTGCAGACATCCGAAAACGACGATGCCTGGGAGTCGTCCAGCGCTGGGGAGACTTCGAAAACGTTTACTAGAGAAATATATAAAAACAAAGTAGACAAAAGGGCCCGGATCATGACTGGTAATCTTGGAATCAAGCCTGGTCGGACTATTCGTTCAACAATTCACCATAATACGATAGGCGCAGATGCGAGAATCATGACAGGGGATGCAGGAGGTCTCGCGGCCGTTAAATTGGCGGAGAACTTCTTCCCATAAGCCAGTGAGAGAGATGGAACAACTGATTTCGAGATGGATTTGCAATTGAATAATACTGAATGGATACTTATTGCTTGTGAGGCAGTCAAGGCAGTACGTAGTTTGTTGTTGAAGACGCTGGGGCCATCGCAGTTGAAGCGTTGGTCGCCGCTGAGCATGGTATTATCAGTAATCTTGCCACTATCAATCAAATAAATTCTGTAAAAATCACTAACCCTGGATAGATTGGGACGCAACGGGCTATAGATCTCCTCCGACGTTCTAACAGTGAACTTGCTTTTTTCTCTGCATGTCTTGTCTAGAGCTGTATTTGCCGTGCTGGCAACTATCATCACTTTCCAAAATGTGATGTGGACATTGCCCATTAGCTGTAATTTCCGAGATTACGCCCTGTAACTGCATGCGCGACACTGCTGCAAGTTCGATTGGACCACGTAACAAAAAGAACCTAATCGCCCCCCTATGGGATCAATGTTTGGTGCATGGTTCGGAAAAAGCGCGATCCATGTGTCCGAAGCGTAGCCCAAAGGACAATGTGCCGTACCATTCATTAATGCGTCTCGCCACAATCTGATTCTCATTCTTGTTTCGTTAGGTAGCCTCTGCATTTCTCCCAATGTGGGATAATTCCGTCGAGGGTCCCATCGCGCGAGAGATTGCAAGTTCCTTCATGTCCTTCCGAAACCTTGAATAAAAGAAAGTTGCTACCAAACATTGCGTCTTGGTTGGCTCTGTTTGGTTTGTGTATGCATCGACTACCTAATCGTGAATATCACCATAGGCTCGATGGTTGACTGTCGATGAGTTCATTTCTTGTCGAGTAGGTTGTCTATGGTCGGGTCTCTCTAAAGGAGCGTCTTACTCGTCAGCTCTATTTTACCCAATCTCCAGGCCTAACTTGGAGTAAGGATTCCCCTAAGCTTGGAGTAGTTCTAATGGGGTTTCGCAGGCGTTGATAAAGTCAAAGTCTTCATGATCAAGCTTCATTCTGATCTTCATCTCTCACTCGAGCAATAGTGAAATAAAGGGAGGCAGCTTACTGCTGGATCCAGGGAGTATCGACGAAGATGACAAGACATTCTTAATTTTTGTAGACATATTCATAATCTAGTTCCATGTAGCGGTCAAGTATTGGACTCGTCTGAAGTTCTTTAGCGCAATGGCATGCAGCTTCCTCCACTGACGTTCCCTGACGAGGTTGCTCGTGTAGATTAATTCGGCGCTTTCGAACTCCATCTCTGCGTTGTACACCTTGCTGTAAACTGAGGGCGCGGTCTTGAGGGCAATAAGATTCCTGATGAACCCAGGGAGTGCTGGTTACACATGATTGGCGAAATCCGAATCTTCACCAACGTTAGAGAAGTCTTTAGAACGGACATAGACACTTTGCAGAATGCACTTACCACGCTCCGCGACTCGCCTTCTTCGGCTAAAACATGGGTCTGGACTATTTCTTCTCCAGAACATCACTAGACCCGAACGTGAACTCTCCCGCTGGACGCAGTGGATGGCTCTACTGGATGTGCGCCACGCTCTGGCGCTCAGGTCTTTCCGTTCCCATTGATCTACCTCATCAGCCTTGGTCTTTGGCTTTGTCTCTTATCCGTCAACTCTATCCCGTATCCCAACATTCTGGCGCTGATCTTGGTTGCCCGACTTCATGTATATCAACCTCTGTCTCCTGGCCACTCCCCAATCGGCGGCAGACACGATGGGGACGCAGTCATTACTGAATCAACTGTCGGCGTTGATAACTTGTCTTTCCAATTCACGTGGTTTTTCCTAGCTTCTTTAGCTCTAGGCTTTATTACAGAAAAGTCTGCTCTGGGGACCCGGAGAACCGAAAGATGGCATTTGTGGCTGATCAATATGCTTGTATCTCGTTTGCGTCTCCTGAAACAATGTCAGAGCCTTCTGGCTGCTTGTCTAGTTGATTTTGCGGTGGCCATTGTGAAATAGGTCTCTATTTTCTCTATGAACGAAGCCATCCAGAGGGGAAAAGCCACAACAAACGGGCAGGAAGACGAGGTCTTCGAATGCAAACGGCGACTGGGGCAGCTACGGCTTGACGCAGGGGATTACGTGTAGCCACACGTGATTCTCAACAGTTAGATATGTATGTACTCTTGTTGGTCGTTCGAAGTTGGGGCTGTCGCTTGGTCTCTGTGGTTTGTGTGGTCTCTCATTCACTAGGCCTTCGAGAGCAAGTGTCACCCTCTGGATATGATGCCGTAGGTTTGTATGTCATCCTGCCCGTTGTCCAATCCACGCGGCAATGGCTGGAGTCTTCAGATGAGATTTAAGTTTATCCAACGAGGTAGTGACATGCACCCTCATGGTTGCGATTGAATCAGGGTCACTCATTTCTGCTTTCTAATCGTAACTAGCAGGTGAGAGATCAATGAATGGTCTTCATTGCCATATTGTTGAAAGGGACCTTTGGGGTGAAGTGTTGCTCCCGCAGGGGTTCGGACAGATAACGCAGGTCCTCCTCCAAAAGGACTGTATGAGGCTCAATACTCAGGTATGTTTCATTGATGATGATACCATAGATGCCGACATTCAAGCATCTGCCTGATATCATCATGGCAAATAATTAATGCCCCCTCCTGCAACCATAACTTTCATGGATGAAAGGAGTGCTTCCAAGGATGCTACAGAGGCTGCCCCTTGAGATGTCGGAGAGGCTGTTTCCGAAGCGGCGCCTACGCTCGATGCATGTTTTCGAATCTGAGTTTCTTCCTAGAAAGTGGTTTACCAGCGAAGAAAGCCCCTTAACATTTCTTGACTTAATAGCCAAGGAGAATAACATAACATAACTGTGCTCTTAGTGGGTCGGTATATAGATCGATATCTCGGCGGACCTTGCATAGATTATCTCTTCATGAGAGAAGGTTTTCTGTCAAATATCGAGCTCAAGCTCGTCGTCTCTGCTGTAAGATCCGCAATGCAAAGGCGATGATGCCGTACGGCAGAGTCTTATTTTTGTCAACATGCCTCGTCGGATAGACATCATGTCGAGAATGGAATTGACTCTACCACCGAGACGACTGTCCCCCATTCGTTGGTGGATTCGAAAACTTTGGAAAGCCTAGGCACCGGATATTCAATACTTTGGTTGCCCTTCTCTAGAGCGGCCATTCTTGGTGTAACAAGTAATATCCATCAATATTGCGTAACAGACCTCGGGACTGACGAAAACCTTGAGTTCGGAATGGTAGGAATGGACGAGAATGATCAGTTTGTTTGTTTGGCATATTGCTCGAAGGCGGCGTACAGCGTCATTTACTTGAGTATTCTGTGGCGAGTCGGTGTCCATATGACTGCCTCTACATCGCTTCCTCGTCGATCGCATGGCGACAAGATCCTTGTATTCTGAGAGCTTGTCGATCAGCTAGGCTCGTATGGCCCTCAATTTCTGTTGGGAATGACTATTCAGCACCCCACGTTCGCTATTCAGCATCCCGTTCTTAAATTTAAAGCGGCATAGGTAGTAATAATGGCAGATAGTAGAAGAAAATATGGATAGTAGCAGAAAGTAGCGGTAGTAGCAGAAAGTAGCGGTAGTAGCAGAAAGTAGCGGTAGTAGCAGAAAGTAGCGGTAGTAGCAGAAAGTAGCGGTAGTAGCAGAAAGTAGCGGTAGTAGCAGAAAGTAGCGGTAGTAGCAGACACTCCAGGAACCGTATATTTATTTAAGTAATACTGATAAGAAATATCTTTATTCTGCGTTATCACGATATTCGTTACTCTTCTTTAATCGCTGGGGTGCTGGATAGCCAACTTGGGGCGCTGAATAGCCCTTCCCTTTCTTTTTCATTTCGTCGCACGAGTTCCGGCGACTACATGGGTTATCCCGACAAATTCTTTCATAATCAGTTGGGCCTTCGGTTTGCAATATCTCTTCTCGGTAAATTGTTAGCCACTCTATGGTAGAGGGAGGAACTCCGTGAACAGGAATAATTCCGGTCTCATTTAGGGTAAGGCTGTGTGTATGAGGCAGCGTGGTTGTAGGTTACATATAGTGGAAAGATTGAATAATAGTCATCAGGGTGTTGACAGAAGGCAGGAGTAGAAAGGCCAAGAGGAGGGCTTTCTCGCAGCCAGATGAGACCGTAGATATGACCGCAAGTACTAGTCTGCGGCCACTATAGATCGTGCCACTCTTTATTGGCAAGAATATCCGCGGAGGTTATGCGAAGATCTGTTCGAGTATATAGGCGCTGTGTCTGCCAAGAATGTCCAATTTGGTCAATGCTTTGTCGAGCCCCATTGCAAGGCGAGTTACCGCGGTTCATAATTGTAAAATAGCTTGGTAATTGTGATGACTTGCTGGAACAATGCAGCACCCTATTGGAGGATTCTTCTCTGTGGTTTCTCTCACGCTTCCCTTCATGGCTGTCATCCCATCTCCTCACCGAAAGGCTAGACGGTGGAACAGGTTTCTCCGGTGGTACCGGACATATAATTGCTGGGTTTTCAACAAATTACTCGGCAAGCGTATCTCCAAGTTACATATTCATGGTCCATATGATCCTCGGGGATTGGGACGCTGTGAATTCGTCACGCGATTGTTTTATAGCCGTATTCGTGGCAACTGTCAATCAGCTTGTGTGTGGGAAACAGTGCCCTTTCGGTTTGTTATTATCTTTGAGCTCGAAATAGGGAAAGGTGGCCAATCTTCGAGTGTTCCATGTTAGGGACATGGGGATATCCCCGACATGGTCTGCCGCATGGTTCGAAAAGAGCGCGATTCATGTGTCGGTATGGCGACCCAAGAGACAATGTGGCGTGACATTGATTGTGTCTCGCCATAGTCCAATTCTCATTTCTGGTTCGTCGTGTAGCCACTGGCAATCCAAGTATCGATACAATGATGTCGGTCGTTTTCATTGACCGCTGTCTTTCATTGTGGATGGTTCTCCACGGGAATCAGCAGAGGGAGGAGTATCAGTGGCGTCAGTATCGGTAAGCAGAGCTTCACAAGTTTTCTAAGTAACTGTGTGGTTGATGCCGAAACCTGGTCCTCCATCAATAGAACCCTCGCCAATATTGGTAAACGCTGATAAAGTGTCCTTGCTTAACGAGTGTCTGGATGCTGTGTAACATAACCGTCAGGCCAAATTGGCGAGTTGTCGAAGTATTGTCAAATAATACATGCAGGTGAGCTGTAATTCCACCATTGAGAAGTCAAAGTAGACTTCATTGGGCATGTCTGCTCATAGATAGTGCGGCCCAAACTAGGCCAGGCTGTTCGCCCATGATGTATCCCTAGGGAAACATCTCTCATGAGCACGTAATTCTTGTCTTCTGTGCTCATGCGATGTCTGACAATTTGGCCATGCAACTGGAGCGGTAAGCCGCATGGATTTGGGCCTTCGCGGATCCCTCCGAGAAAATAATCGTAGTAAATGCGATAAAAGTAGAAGAAACCTTGGACAGTTCAAATGAATCGGAATTTCTTATAGAGATACTTGAATGAAGGCAAGATGAGAGAGAAGAGAAATCCATCTTCTTCGTATGTGTACTGATGTCATCAGGTGCATGAATTCTGTGACTCGGAAAGCAATGGCTTGGTGCAGTTGTCTAGGTACATAAGCAGCGGGGCGAGCATTATACTCAACGACCCAAGTCTGTGGAGACGAGCGACGGCTTGTTTTGACAGAGAACTGTAAGCGAGAGAGAGTGAGGGATACGCGCCAAGCATGTGTGTCTGATATGATAAAGTCTCCGTTGTACTCAAAATCAGAGGTTGGTCGAACGGAGCTACGCTGCTGATTTTGTCGAAAGGGATGCCATCGGAAAGTCCAATTGCGGGTCAAGCAGACGCCACCACGTGAGAATCTTTTTTCATTTCTCAGTAGTTTTGCCTCAACCATTGCTATGAGTGTCGAGACTTGGTGTTGCATTTGTCTGCCGTGTCTTCTCTTGCTGTTTTGTATATCATCTCCACCAGAGACTTGGTGTAAAATTCCCCGTCACCATCCTGCCATTAATCGTAGCAGACTCCCTAGACTCCAGATGCACCAGACATAGCTGTAAGGTAGGTATCCTATAACCATCCTTGTAGGTTCAGAGGCCATGGCGAGTTGGACTGGTGCAAGAAATTGGTATGGCTCGATGTTGACCATATTTGGCATTCTACTCCCCGGCATCATGTGAGGTAGAACCAATCTCGAAAATAGAGTCACCACTTCGACCTTGGATGTCACTTGCATCAGCTTTCTCTTGTAGTCCTCTCTGGAAACCCGAATCTCGAAAGCCTGGCCAGCTACGAGGCCACGTAAGCCGCCCATTCGCATATGGGACATCATTGGTTGTATCATTGCGTCGATGGCTTTGTTGTAAGGAGGCGTTAACCAATTAATACGCCTTTACCATGTTCCTTGGCATCCAATAGAATTGTGTCTGGATGGCAGAATGTCTCCCGTTGGAGATAATACCTAGGCACTTGAGGCCGAATGATCACAGCAGCGGTTTCGTATGTGGATTCGTTATTGTAGTGGTAAATTTCGCTTCTTTTCTGATATGAAAGGTAGAGTGGATGGCAGGCATCTCGATCTCGTTGCGTAGTTGTCGACGATCCTGCGGTTGTGGATGCCATGGATGGATACGTTCTATCCGTATCCGTAATATTTCTTTCTAGGGTTTCATATCAATCATAGTCCCACCACCATAAACATGGAGAGGTACTCACATACTTAATGGTGATCCCTTGGTTGACGTAGAAATAGATCTTCTATGTCATCACCATCACCTTCGTCGGCCATATCTCATAAAGTCAAGTGGCTAGTTGTAGATTCTTCAGATAAAGTTGTGGTGGAAACAGACGTATTTAACTACAGCAAACTTGGTCAAATTCGTTGAAGCTTTGTACTAAGAGAATGGACGAGGCAAGTGAAGACGGCGAGTCCACCTCATTCACTGCTTCATCTGAGTTGTCGATGCAGTATCCCATTTAATTTAATGTAACGGCCCGTTGACACGTCATTCACAGCCATTCACTCAACCACTGCTGTCTGTATGATGTGGAATCAAGGCATTTATCCGCCTCTGTCAAGTGAAGATTTAGGAAGAGAGCGGCATCTTGCAGCGTCTCCAGACACATTACTACGAATTCACCTGATAGGTCATCTTGCTATTGCCTGATATCGGCGGTTTCACAAAAAGTTTGGCCGTCAAAAAGCATTAGAAATGGGTGAATTGGCTGTATCTATTATTCCTAACACATCACCTCATGCTAAATTTGCCCAGTCATTGAGAGACTTGAGACGCAAGGTTTTCCCCTCAAACAACAAACTTGCCGCCACACCCTCCACATACTTCTCCCTGAGAATCACCCACCGCATCTACACTCCCAATGTGCTCCTCCGCCAACTTCTCCAGCTCGGAAACCTTGAGGCAGCGCATCTTACAGACGCCGCAGACTCGGGATATTCCCGGTGCTAGGATGGGGATACCGGAAGTGGCGCATATAGCTACTTTAGGTGTTAGTAAGATGACAAAACTAGGGAGGGCATAGGGAGGGTATAGGGAGAATAAGCTGATTTCGTACCAAATGCGTGGCGGTTCTCGCAAGCAGCCACATCATCTTTGATCGATAGTTGAGAGTCACAAAATACACACGGCAGACTCGTAGCCACGCGCTTGAATAGTTCTTTCAGCGGACTGGATTGTTGTCTACCGGAAGAGGTCTTGTACCCCGGGGTCACGCCGGGGACGTCACCTCCCAACCCGTACATCCACTCCCATACTCGACCCTCAGTAGTCAGCGGCTTAAAGATTGGTCTCACGCGGTTTGCTTTGTCGTCGGCATCAGCGGAGACCTGCCAGTCGAAGTGGACGTTCGAGACTCCTCGACGGTCGGGATGCTGGGTGTCGTGTTTTGAGGCAAGGACGGCAGTACATCCATCGCCGGGGGATTTGGCCAAGCCCCAAAGGCGAAATCGGTAAGGGTGGACTTGTAAAACAGGCTCGGCTGGCGCTGGAGGTGCGTCTTGCATCGCCTTATCTTCATCTTCAGAATCCGACTCAAAATCCGAGTCTACTCCATACAGTGCGGCCGTTCGAGAGACGAGGCGGGCATTCTGGTCCCCTATATCTTCAACCCACTGCGGGAGACTTCCTTCGGGCAAATTTGTCTGGTACCAATCGAGATTCGTGGAGGTGGCGGATAACCTAACCAGGGAGTAGTACGGGATCGGGGGTTTATTATTGGGATCAGGATCATGGACAATGAGCCCTAGAGTAAAAGGATGAGAATATGAGAGACCCGCTGATACGATTATTGAACGTTACCTGTGATTGGATTTGTGGACATGTCATCTGAGTCGGCATAGGCTGAAGCGCACTCCCAGATAGAGTGTGGAGGTGATGGTTCACTCAAAACACCATTAAGCATGACTTGGAAAGACTTGACCGTGAACGGAGTCGTAATGATACCTCGGGCAGTATGGGAATCTCCCTCGGTCCATATCTGCCCTCATTAGCGTCAAATTTCATTTGGGTATACAAATAACAACTGCCACTTACCGCGTCTTCCCACTCGATTAATGCGTCACTGGAGAGAGGGAGACACATCGTAGTAGTGTCGCTTCGTTCGGATTCTACGTCGGGCAACTCGCCCCTCTCCCAATCGCCATACAATACGATCCTGCGGAAGCCAACATGGTTTTTCGCGAGATATGCAAGCGTTGCGGTTCTATATCCATTATCGACGAGCCATGGGCTCCATTTAAGGGAGAAGATGCTGCCTTGCGGACTGAAATCCGGATCTTGTGGATCTGTAGCCTAACAAGAAGTAAGTACAAAGCGCGAGCAGGGGATAGCGGGAGGTAGACTCACTTCCTTGTGAGGGCCTCGTCCATCAATTCGAATGTGTTCCGTCAACGTCCAAATCCATTCTTGTTCAGAGCCGCGCTTGGAAGAATCTCGGCGACGGTGATACTGGACACTCATGACAACAATTTGACCCATGTCATTCAGATAGGCGAGCAAGGCTCTTCCTGGCGCAATCTCCCTGGACCACGAAAACGACACGATGCGCTCATTCATGGTCCGGAATCCATCCTTGGATTTCGAATCTGGGATCGGCAGTTTGGCTCCCAAGCCCCAAAGCACCCTCCAATTCTTAAAAGTCCGAGTCCTCATGCTCGACGTGGCGGATGACTGGCTGTCAGCCTGCTCTCCAAACGTGATGAGATTGCCAGTAGTTGTTAGGGCCATCAACACTGGCCGTGAGTTACAGCCCAGTCCATTTGGTGACCACTCTACTCTGATGACTTGTCCCAAGGCCGCGCCAGACCCTGTGACGGTGCCATTGCCAACACCTCTGAAACTGCCCTCTTCGCCTGTCCGAGGGGCAGGTAGTTTGACGCCGACTTGAGCGCACAGCTGGCCATTTATCCTAGTACTTGGATTGATAACGGCAGACGGCTGGAGAGAGAGTGCAAACTGATACTGTGACGCATCTCGTTCATCTGCATCGGCATCGTGGCCGGCCAGATAATCGGGCAGGAAGATGTAGATGCATTCCTGCGTGGCAACGGCCAATTCAGCGTCGCATGACCAGGCAAGGGCATGCGGCGATGGCGGCCGAGAAGTGAGAGATAGCGTCTGGAGGGGACGCGCCTAAGACGATTGGAGGTGGATGTCAGTAAGGAAATTGATGCCGATATGTTGAACTCGTGAGCGAAAGAGGGTGCGAGGCGAAGAAAGAAATCGCCAGCAGGGCTTCGGAATGTGACAAGAAAGTCTAAAGAAGAAAGAGCTAGGCTTTGATGTACACGTGTTGACATATAACAGTCGTATAGGGCCTTGAATAGAAAAGAAAATAATCGAAAGCACAACATTATAACAGAGAGATGCTCATTCAGATATCATGCCCAACCAGTTGAAGTCAAAGCTGCTCTCAACTCACCCTGAATCGGTCCATGCTATGGAGGGCTAGGCGTGGCCAATTTCATCAGAACGCGCAATTGTACAATCTGATTCATTGGTATGTTTCACGTCTGCTTGCGAAAAATGCAACTTTCGCTCGGCAGGGTCATGGAGATGAAAAGTTTATGAACAAGGTTCGATTCTGAAGAACGCTGCATGAGACTGGCACGTCTAATTTGCTGCTGACTAAGACAATCAATATTTCACTTGTGTGGTCCGCCCATGATATCACCCTTATTCTTGCTGATTTGAGCTTGAATAAAATGGTTGATAAAATTCAGTTAACAATATTTTTTCTAATAAATTTCTGCTCTTTTGAGTGCTGCACTCCCGCTGAAAATGACTTACTTCTTTTGCGCGCACGCCCAACAGATCCAACCATGTCATACAGAAGTCTTCCCAGCAGCGCTATGTACCATCGTAAACTCTGAGATTGTTTGCGTACAGACCCGGCAGCCTTTTATTTATCTTACGCTAAGATGATGTATGATCTAGGCTTAAATTCGATGCTTCATAAAAACAAGACAAAAACAGTACAATAGACAGCCGCAATTTATGCTTCCAAAAACGTGCCAACTCCCCACAATAGCGCACATCCAGCGAGTGCTGTGGCCCCAATAACCTTCTTTGTCCACCAATCATCCTCAGTAAGAGCTTTGGCACCCTGAATCTTCCTCGGTGGCGCTGTGGGAACGCTGGCGGGAATGGATGACACGTTGTGGCGAGCTGCATCTTCCGCGGCTTCCCTCTTCCGCAGCATGGCAATGGTCTTGCTCAGCTCGACCAGCTCCTCCTCCAGGGCCAAGTCCTTAGCTCGGTCGACCTCGACGTTTTGGATGTTGCCGAAGAAGTCGGTGATGAGGCGGCTGCGCGCGGCCTGTTCTCCACCAGGGAATAGATCATAGCGGACGCCGGCGGTGGAGTGAATCTTCTCATAGTTGTAGCTATCGAACAGCTCGCCGACGGTCTTTTTGCTGCTGAGATCCTGGACGTGGGCCTCAAGGAATTCTAGGTTGTAGTAGGTGTATCGATCGATGACTGCGACGCCGACATCGTTGTCGGCGTGGTGGGAATATGATGATTGGTCGAGTTCGGATGATCCCGTGGCAATGATGTTGGGGGAGTAAAGTCTGCTGTACATTGTATTTGCTTGGCAAGTATCGATCATGAATAGAATCTCGTGGTATCTGCGCATCGCATCCGAGGTTAGTATAATCCTGTTGCGTCGGAAAGCATAATGCGCACCTCTTCTTTTCCCACATCTGCTCAAAGGCATCGGCAAGATCGAAAGCGCCAATCTCCTCGGCGTCCTGGAACTTGAGAAACTCGTTTCCACCGTGACCCGTCATGTACACAAAGATGTTGCTTCGGTCGTCGGTCAGCAGCCGCTTGCTCCGGGGTGTTTCGTCGCCGACACGGTCCGTCAAGAGACGGATGAAGTTCTCAACAGTGACCTCGTAACCACGGTAGTCGACCTCGATGTTGTCGCCATACAGATCCACTGCACGGTCTGAATTGCTATAGACGGTGCCAGGGAACGCATTTCGAGGGTTGCAGGCCATGTCGTCGGGCAGCATGAGGATGATTTGCGAGTCGGGGATGCCCAGGCGCTTCACCGTTCGGTACATGGACAAGACATTGGCGAGATGACGGTAGTTGAACCAGAAGCGTGATGTGCAGACCAGGACGGCCCAGTTGCTCGTGTGCTCAGCAACGGAGGCCGATGCGAGCAGCAGCGAGGCCACCAGGGCCCGGAAGCTCAGGCCCGAGAGCTTCATCGCGACGGCGGTGATGGTGTTTGTGATGCGATAACGATAACGGCTAGATGCTACTGAATCGTCCTGCCTTGTGGATTAGTAGTATTGCTAGCTTGGCGGAAGTTGTCGCGATGCCATAGCAGTGCGGTTGATTGCGTCGATCAACGAGCTGCAGGTATGTGGTCAACTCAGCTCGGCAATCTAAGGAGCTTACAAATCTGGGCCCCCTTTTTGCTAACAAATTTATTGGCAGAATAGAAAGTATGCAGTACAGGCTAAACTCGTTGCTGCTAGCAGGTGGCAAAAGTACTGTCTACCTCTCTCTGAAGTGTGCCCTGAAACTGACTGCCGCGGGGCGTGTGGAGCGCAAAAGAGGGGTGCATCTTGGATAAAGGAAGTACCCGTGGCTAGCGGCCGCTAAAACATGTGACAGTACAAGCAAAATTACAAATCCGGAGAAGAAGGGATCAGGGGACTCTGGACATTGGCTTCGTGGCTGAAGAGGTCACTTGAGCAGGCAGAGGCTGGTGCAGGCGGAGGATTAGACGGGGATAACCATGGGAGGAGAATCCCCGGGGCGAGTGGCGGAATCCGGCATCTCGGTTGTGATGGAGTAAGCGAGTCATCGCCTTACGATGAGGCTTCAGCAATATACATTCTAGGCAATGTTTCTGTGTTGTTCTACACCTACGCCTTACGTCAGTAGTACAGAATATAGATTTGTGTTGGCAGCAGTACTAAATATCAGCAAGTGACGCACGGATGGACCAACTGAGACGCCATGGATACACGTAAGAGTATGCGCCAAGGCAGGATGAAGTCCAAAACACAGTGGCAGAATTAGTACTAAGAGGGCGATGAATGCGAATACGGCGTGCCCTCATAATGGACACACACAATCTACGCTTCGATAAAGGAGATCCGAAACATGGCGCCGCAAAATGATACGTCACTGGCGCGGCTGCTTGGTTACCCCCGCGTCGCAATCGGGCAAATCTTGGTTGAAATCACACCCAAGATGCGCCCACAATCACAAGCCAAACAAAGGAAGAAAAAGGGCCACCAAAAAAAAAGCCATCATGCATGCCACCAACCAGGGTTGCATGCGCCCCACGTGCCCCAATGACGAAACAGCCTGAAGCAGAAGCGTGAAAAAAAATTGTAACGGCAGTGTGTATAGAAGAAGAAAAAGACCCCAGAGGCATGATCAGGGCCAAGGATGTACTCGTACAAAAAGAGCATAGAGGGGAAGAAGAAGAAGAAGGATAAAATACAAAATAAGACCATGTCACATGGGATCCCTGGGGCGTGTCCTTCCCAAAGGAGCAGCCGAGACGAGACAGCCTTGCCCGATTTAAAAGCACCGGCGTTGAGATTAATTTTGCGGACTCTGTCCTTGCAGATGGCATAGTAAGCGGCTACTACCTAGTAGGCAATAACTGGACTTAATTTCCATAGGTCGTCTTCTGGCCGGCGTGTGATAAATACAGATGGAGCCACAACTCGTGCCAATTCCCTCCGAACCTCAACCCAAACATAACCAAACAAACAAGCAAACAAGCAAGCAAAGCCATCGGGCCTTTTAATACTTGTTAATCCCATCATCCGCCCGCTGCATTCTCCCTTTGCACTGCTGGCAGAGTTGCAATTGCTACAGTATCTCTTCGCGTTGCCTTGCACGGCTCACATACCGCCCTAAGCCTGGCCTCATCATCGCCTCGGCCTATCGAACCACCCGTCTGTCGATTTGACGGCGACACTGCCATTCGCATCCTCAGCTCTGCAGCGTCTCCTCCGCTTCTGCCCAGCTGATCAAACCCCGCTGCAATTCCCTGTTCACGGTCTTCTCCAAGCTTGGTGCCATTCGGCCCCTCATATGCGGAGAAGGCAAGTCTGTGTGTAGCGGCTGAGCCAGCTGGCCAGAGACACGTCAGAAAGCGGCTGATCAGGCGTCGGTGGTCTATAAAGCTATAAGGTCGCCAGGAACCAACATTGGCTTGTTTGCGACAGATTGCTGAACGGAATTTCCCTCTCTCTGCATCTCTTAATCGATTCATCTATCCTTCTATATATCTGCCTTACTATCCATCTATCGATATACGCATCTTGGTCTCGCACTTTCTTTCAGCAAAGCATAATCCATCCTTCGCCACGCGCATCACACCCTTTCTGCCCAAGACGGAGACAGTGAAGAAAAAAACCACCATGGGCCGGTTACCATCGCATATATTCGTCGTAAGGTATGAACAGAACACCATAGTTTCACTCACCGCTGTCCAATTGGCCAGTCACCGCTAACCTTCGCGAGCATCTCAGACACGGCAACCGACTCGATACCGCCAACAAGCAATGGCACCTCACCTCGCCGACTCCCTACGATCCTCCCCTGACATACGGCGGCTTTCTGCAGGCCCGCCAGGTGGGCAACCAGATTGCCACCATTCTAGAGCAGGCAAAGGTAGAGGCCGAGGTCACAAACAACGGCGCCTCCCTGAGTGGCAAGCGCCGACGCTTCAGAGTCGTCATCCACAGCTCTCCCTTTCTGCGGTGTGTCCAGACTTCCGTGGGCATTAGCTCCGGCCTCGCCCAGACAGCCTCCGACTCCATATTCCAGCCGTCCGATGTCATCGTTCCGCGTAAGGCCCCGATCGGGCAGCAGAGCCCGCACAAGTCCGCCCTGCTACGGCTCGACACGTTTCTCGGGGAGTGGCTGTCGCCAGAGTACTTTGAGCAGATCACGCCTCCTCCGGGTCCGGCCCTGATGATGGGCAGCGCAAAGGCTGATTTGCTACGACGCGAGGATTACAGCATCTACGCAGACGTTCCTGCGCCCAGCACCACTCAGCCGACGTCAAATGGCGCTCTCTGGAGCTCGCCGGTGGCGTCTCCCTTGCAACAATCCGCATCTGGACTAGGCCAGGGTAATGTTTTCAGCTCCTCCGCCATGGCTGCAGCTCTGTCCTCAGCTTCCCAGGAGCAGAAGAAGGGCTACGGGCCTCCGCGGCCATTGCATGCCATCTCGAGCAACGGCAAGATACCCGATGGATTTGTTGCCCATGCTAGGGACTCGTGTGTCGTCATTGACTATCAGTGGGACTCGATGAGGGCGCCGCTTGACTTTGGCGACGGCGGGAGACTGCCTGAGGAGTGGAAGTCGATGCACCAGCGCTTTCGCTCAGGGCTGAAGCGAATGGTCAACTGGTATGCGACGACAGCCTCTCCCGACGAGCTGCTGTGTGGGCCTGTCAGCAACGAAAACGACCACAGCTGCAGCGACAGCGGCTACGGCGAAGAGGAGGAGGAGGAAGTTGAGACGGTTGTCATCATCGTGTCTCACGGTGCCGGCTGCAACGCCTTGATCGGCGCCATCACTCACAAGCCCGTTCTCATGGACGTTGGAATCGCCTCCATCACTGCAGCTGTCAGGAGACCGGATGCCGACTATGCCAAGGCCCTTGCTATCGCTTCGGCACAAAACGACAACGCTTCTGCGATCCCCCAGGCTGCTGTTGATGACTTGTACGAGATACGCCTCTCCGCAAGCACAGAGCATCTGCGCTCCAACTCTGGAGCATCCGTCACCGCAAGGCCCGCATCTCCCAGGAATACATGGAGCCCTTCTGGTCTTCGTGGCCGCAACGCAACATTGGCCACCTCGCCTACTGTGGGAGGACCCGTTCAAAACCCATTTACGTTCCTCGACCCGGCCCCGTCGACGAGCACCCGAAGCAATTCCGCAAACCCATCCGTTGGCCCCTTTTCTCGCCGAGATTCAGGCTCCAGCCGGCGATCCCCCAGGGTGGCACCTGTTAGCGCAGGCTATGAGAATGAGGCCAGCAGCTACGTTACAGGACGAGCGCGGGCTCCATCTTCGGGGCTGTGGGCACCTGCACGCTCTTCATTACGTCTGATTGACGACGTTGATGAGGAGGCAGTGGACGACTACGACAGCATGCTCCCTGACTTCGACAACAAGCGGTTCAGACCCATCTCTGACGAAAACATCAAGCCATCGCAGGAAACCAATTCGGCAGAACCGTTCCCTACCCTGGCTCCCGCCATCCAGCTTCCAACTTCTCCCAAGGGACCAGTTTTCGCGGCCCCGATCAAACTCAACACGGATCTTTCGTTTGAAGATTCCGTAGATGAGATGCCGTTGTCGGGACTAGGCGGGCTCTGGACTTTGGCCATGCCGCCTAGCGAGGCAGACAGGCTCAGGGATTTGAGCCAAACAAAGAGGAGGTGGACTGTGAATGAGAGGGCTTGGTGATGGTCTCTCTTCCCTTTTTTTCTCTTTTCTAAGAAAACTTTTCTTTTCATTTTTGTCTTACATCTACCGCTGGAGGCGGTTTGGACTCGCGTTTGGAACGCACTCATGAAAAATTGTGATTTGGGATACGGTTGGCGCAAAACAAAACAGCACTAGGGTCCAAGAAAGAGTTCCATTGGAAATTTCCCCCGCAAAGTCGAATTTGGATTGTACAACATAAGCGCAGGGCGAAACTGGGGCGGCGTGAGCGATGGACCTTTTTCCTTTTTTCTTTTTCTTTTGGCCTTTTTTTTCTGGAATGCGGTTTTATGTCTTTGTTACAATCTTTGGCTTTTCTTTTTTTATATCCTGGTGATGTTTTTTTTTTTCTCTTTTGGAGCGAATAATGGGTGCTTTTGGGTAGTTTGGGGTTCTGAGATGTCTCTTCTTTTTGGCTTTGGTTTGCATACGGCTGGCTATAGATTTCAGACAGAATGATGACAAGCATTTCACCGTCTTACATTCAATCGAATTACTCATTTGAAAGGTGATGAATATATGTAAAAGGCTGCTAGTAATGCCCAGTGTATGTATAGCCCTTGCGTCACCTCTTGATGCAGAAAACCAGACAGCAAGGCATCTAATCTACGGCCGAGTATAAGTAACACCGCCGTCTAAATCCCTTTCCATGACTCCATCATGCAGGAGAGAAAAAAAAATAATCCAAACAATCATGAGGGCATTTGTCTCGACCCCTCTCTCCCCTATTTACTTTTCTTGTGTCCCCCTCCCGAAAATCCAAAAGTTCCTTTTATACGCGAAAACACATTGCCAATGATATCACAAAAAATCAAATCTCGAAAAAAAGACCCAAGCTTCCCATCATTATTTCGATCCAAACATCTTGGTCATGGCCTGGTGCGCCAGCTCAACTCCCAAAAAGGTTGCTGCGTTGGCAGGAACCGCACGAGTGAGCGCCGGGCCGAAGCCAGGGAAGAAGGCCTTGTAACCGCCCTTGCCGTAGAGCTCGCGGATGACGCCTCCGATGGTGACGTTGCCCTCGGCGGTCTGGAGGCGGGACTTGACGGTATCGACGGGGAAGACGGGAATCCACATGGCAACACCAGCACCGGCACCAGCGCACGTAACGGCCGTCAGGCTCAGCTGGCCGGTGGGCTTTCCAGTGACGGGATCCTTGGGGCTCAGGCTCTTCTTGATGACCTCGTAGGCGGCAAAGTACGCCGCGCTTCCGGGACCGTCACGGGCCAGGGTGGCGACGCTGCCGCGGAAGACGGAGCGTATGCCGCCCTCGCGGTAGAGCTGGCGCACGACGTCCAGGCCGCCGCTGTACTTGGGCTTCTCGCCGGGCGCGAGCTGCTTCTGGCCCTGGACCTGCAGAATGACCTTGACGCGCTCGAAGGGGGCGGTGATGGCCGTCATGGGGATGGCGGAGAGGAAGCCGGCGGCGGCGAGCTGGCCGGTGGACAGGCCTTCGGGCCCGACGGTCGAGACGCCGCCGACGATTTGCTTGCCGAGATCGTAGCCCCAGAAGGACACGGCGACTGGATTATTGCATCTCGTCAGCTCACACATGTCTCACACACAAAAAAAAATATACCGAGGTTCGGCAAAAAACACATCCAAGACAAGGTCGAAGCAAGGGAAAAAGAACGTACACATGGGCGTAACACCGACGAGCGGCGCACTGACACCGGCATACAGGCCTCTTCTCAGTCCATCTCGCGCGACCGACTTACGCACCACATCAATGGCGCTCGAGTAGACGCCGCGCTCGGCTGTCTGCAGGCGGACCTTGACCAGATCAAACGGGTGGCCGACGATGACGGCGCAAATGCCTCCAAAGCCGCCCGCCGTGAGGGCGCGCAGCTGGGATAGGAGAGCGGACTGAGCGGCGGGCGCAGCGGCCTGGGCCGTCTCTTTGGCCTCTTGGGGCGAGGGAATCTTGTCGGCGATGTTGGAGACTGCCTCGGCGGGAGAGGAGGTGGAAGAAGACATTATGGCGGGATTGTGAATCTTTTTTTCAGTGAAAAGGAGAAGAGAAAGAAAAAGAGAATGAGGGGAGAGGAGAGAGGAGAGCGACAAGGAGAGGAGAGCAGAGCAGATATTAGAGAGAATGCGAAAAGGAGTAGGAAACGGGCATGGGAGGTTTGGAGGGCAGCAAGATGAATGCAAGCTGCTTAATATGCACATAGCCCGAACATCGATGTACATGTACATGCGAGCGATTAGCGGCTGCAGTTAGCGCGGAGGTACTTGTGGCGGCGCATCTTGACGGCGCGGATGGCATGTAACATTTCAGCTGTCAGGACAAGGGGACTAAAAAAAGGTTGTGGGTGAACGGAGAGAAGGAACGCGTTCGGACGACGGGATGCAATGACAAACCCCAAGTTTGATTGATTCGGGAGACGGGGGGAGCTAGGCGTGCCGTTCTGAGATATAAAACCCTCGTGATGGTGCCATATGATGCGTGTTTTAGATTCCTTTTTTGCCTTCTTGACGTCTGTGGGAGAAGCTTGTGATTATGCTTGGTGCACCAACAGCCTTTGGTAGCAGAAGGAACGTATACATGGTCAGATTTGCACATGTCATTGAAGTATATCGCTCTTTTCTACATTCCTACTACACCAAAAGTATCTATTCAATGCTACAAAACCTGCGATGGTACTTGACGCTTGACGCCGTGGCAGATACAATACACTCTGGTTCATCCACCAACATATACCCTCTTAATGCATATCCCCAAAACCCAGATTCCATACTGCCGTACAGGCATACAAGTCGCCCAAAAGCCGGTCCCGCCTCGAACCTCGGCTCGCTGCTCCGTCCGTCGGCCGGGCCAAAGCGCAAAGCCCATGCCCCCCGCGTGACGGCAGTATCGGTCCTTGCCTGTTTGCGAACACGTAAATATAAGTATTGACAGCCGAAAATTAACACCAAAAAATGGCACTCGCAGGACGTAATTCCATCGACTTGATCCTCCTCTTCAGAATCCGTCTGCAAGTTCTCCCTCCCGATGATGGAGGCGTGACATGACATGTACATGTACCGGTACCCTCGGCCCAACAGCCACCGTCAAAGCCACCGCCCGTGGGGTAAAAAAGTTAAAAGCGGGGATTTTTTCAACCCCACGTTCGTCATTCTCACGGCGCGCAATCACATGTCAGGCCAAAGAAAATACTAATGACGACTCTAATACTTCATTCTTGCCCCCACGAAATACATTGTCGTAGCTCATACTCATATCAAGTTGGAATAAAACAGCTAGTCTCTAATGCACCGCTAATACACACACACATACAGTAATAGAACCTCAGCTATCAACCTCAATCACAGCAAAGGGCGTGTTAATCTCAACCAGCTCCTCTTCCCAGCATTTCTTAACATTCTGCACAATTTCTCCTACAGTCCCCCATATCCTCTTCCTGTTGCGCAGTCCCTTCAGCTTGTCCTCATTCGCCTTAATGTCCGTATACAACTGGTACCAGTTCGTCCTGTCACGCGGCAGTTTCACAGGCGCCATGGCCCGCTTCTTTTCCATAAACAGCTCCGTCTGAGCTTGCAATTCGGGCGACACAGGCGGCAACTTGGGCTCATTCTCTTCCCATATGGGATAAAAGTCGGGCTCATTGGCTTTCAGGATATCCGCTCTCCTGGTTCGTTCTTCAGTGTATTCTTCTTCCCGCTCCCGCACCTGCTTCAGGTAAGAAGCGTCTGCCATGGCCCAGGGATACGGTGTAGGGTCATCACACCAGGCTTCGTACACCCATGGCATTTCCCGCACCATCAATGTATGCCATAAAGTCATGGGGAGGTGGTAAAAGGCTCGAGATGCCATTCGCAGCGCAGCTATATCCCTTGAGTCGAGATGCCAAGCAATCGTATGCTTAAGCTCTGTTGGCAACTTCCAGAATGGATCATCTCTCTCTGCAGAAACATCTTGCTCCTCAGTCCGTTCTGGAAACGGACTGTTTTGGCTATCAAAATCCTCGGCGTCAGAAATAGCAGCATCACAAATCTCTCGAAAGCCGGAGATGAAGACGGGATTGGCAGCGAGGTACTCCGTGCCAAGCAAGCAGCTCCACTTCCAGCCCTTGTTTCTCGCATCCACAATGTCGGGATGCCGTTCACCAAACATGTTCCGGGATCCGGTGCTTTCAAGCTTCATCAGTGAATCGAGGCTGACTCTGCCCATTTGCTGCTTGCTTATCCTGATGAATATTTCAAAGCAGGTAGGGTGGAATGGGAGCACATAGGTTCCCCATCCAAAGAGCTAATCGTCTTTGTTAGCAGAGTGGTAAATCTCTCTCATGTTTCTAGGCATGGCCACGTACATTTTTCCATGTATCGCTAAGGTTGGACGCATGGAACCAGTCTGCTGCACCGCGAATTGGTGCGCATTTCACATCTCCTCCATTCGGAGGCATGCAATCTGAGAGCCCCGTAAGATAGTAATTCTTTGAATCCCTCTCAAAGTCCATGTCGTCATCCATCGGTGTCCAGTCTTTCGTCTTCTTGTAGAGCCCCTGCACGGTATGACAATCTATCATCTCGTCGAGAGTAATCATATCCCCGTGATAGCCTCGAAGATTGCAGCAGCCCGGGCCAGCAATGTGTTCGTATCTGCGGGCTGTTGGGAGCGCCATGATGTGATGATCAACCCCTATATCTTCGTCTTCCGCACCCCCGTCTTCGTCGTAGGGCGCAGATAGTGGCAAGAACTCGGTGTCGTACTCCGGCTGGGGGTCGAGTCCGCTGGCGTTGAAAAACCATTCATACTCGGCCTCTGTATCTGATTCCTGAGATTGAGATGAGCTGGTCTCGCTCTCTTCCCCAGTCGCATCATCACCATCCTCATCATCCGCATTCGAGTCGTACTCCAAAGGCTCGTCATCCTCGTCGCTCTCATACACATACGAAGCATCGTCCGGATCTTCTTCATACAAGCGCAGGCAAAACTTCAGCTCTCCTGGTGGTCTCCCCCGATAAACCGAAGCACAACCGCCATCTGGACACTCCTGTGCATCGCCGCCAGAAAGTGCAACCCATTCCCGGCTCTTGTGCTTGCTGGTGTAAGAATTGCCCCATGCGGAGCTGCGAGGCTCGCTGTGAGTCCTGATGCGATTAATGTTGAAGGTGACGCCGCATAGCTGACAGCCGGTCTATAATTTGCGTCGCCTCATTTAGCCCTGAACGGGCCATCTTTGAATCAAACAGGCGCCATACCTTGTCAATGGAAGCTGGTCAACGTAGTATTAGTCGGGCGCTATTTTTAGAATTGGGATGCATCGCCATACTCATTTGTTCAATACACTCGCCTGATGCACAAGAAGCAGATGTTCGCCTGCGGTTTCGCTGCGGTGGGAGGTGAAGGATTCTAGGCTTGGAATATTGCCTCTCAACAGCCTACCCCTCCTACCCCTCTATGATCACGATTCCTGTGCTTACATCACAGCTTTCACCTGGAGCACTTAGACAGCCGTAGTGTGTTTATTGATACTCCCACCCCAACCGAATTTCTTAATTCAGTCGATATTTATCGCATTCAAGGCCGGATATTATTCCACCTCATGATATTGATTCAAGATGTCTGTCCACTTACTTTGGCGGTGGTTTCAGCGCTGGTCAGTACACGATGTTTTGGTCCAGGCGTCTCATAATCAAGCTCAATCAACGACTTGTATATACGATTCTTCAAGATCCAGTGAAAGAAAACAATAAATCCGTCATGTATCTAGGCAATTCTAGTATATGCTATCAGGAATTAATTATAGACACGAACATATCCTAAAAGCCAAGCAAAACCCGTAACTCGCACCTTACGCCAAGCATCCCACTTCATTCGTTATACATATGAAGCCAATCCCTCTCATCAAACCACCGCTAAGAAGCAGGCAAGTCGCGCGATAGACGCCGTGTCACCGTGTAAGCGTGTACGGCTACGTGACTCGTTATTCATTTTGTCCGCCACTGACACAACCATCGAATTGGCTTTGCTCCCGCCGCCGTGTCCGAGGCACGACTCTCGTCTCCTAAAATTGCTTGGACATCTGCGGCGGGTTGGTTAAAGCTCGTCCTCGAGTACACCAACACCCATTATCTCCGTCTCTTTCCACTTGTATAACGGCATCAATGCCCTCTTTCAACAGGTACTCCCGAACACGGTCCTTGGTCTCCTCCAGGGCAGCGCCGCGGGCCACCGTGACATGAACAATACCCAATAACTGATCGCCTCCGTGATCATCCATCCAAAATTTCGGAGTTGAGTAGCTCACAACGCCTCGCTGCTGTCCAATACCGGCAAGAATGTTCCGCAGGTTATACTCGACACCCTCTGGAACGGTCAAAAGCAAGCGCCTCGCTGATGAAAACACAAGTGGCTGCGCAGACAAAAAGATGAGACCCGCAATGAAGCAGGAAGCCAGCGGATCCCATCCTGCCCAGCCCCAGAAGCTCGTCAAAACTGTAGATACAATGACTGAGACGCTACCCAAAGTGTCTGCCAAAACATGCAGGTAGATACCCCGCATATTTTCGTTGTCATGGCCATGATCATGACCATGGCTGTGGCTGTGGCCTGAGCTGCATCCATGGTCATGCTTTTCACCGTGAGAATGCCCATGGCTGTGTCCATGTCCATGGTCGTGGCCGTGATGGTGGTGTCCAAACGCCATCATGCCAACCAGATTCACAGCCAAGCCAAGGCTACTGACAATGAAGAGCTCGCCAAGTCGTTTTGTTTGTGTCCCTTCCCACAACCGCTCGAACGCCTCGAACGCAATTTCAACACTGAGGAGCCTAAATCAAATAGCTGAGTCAGAATCATACGCTTAGCACGTGGTAGGTGGTGCGATGAATACGTACATTAACAGAATGCCATTGGCGAATCCGCTCAGCGTTTCGACTTTTCCGAAGCCGTATGGGAACCGTTGGCTCTTTGGCCATTTGCTCATGACGGCCGCTAGCAATCCCACGAGCAGGGCAACGCAGTCGAAAAACATGTGAATACTATCACTGAGAAGGCCCAGCGAATCGGTCACGTAGCCATAAAAGGCTTGAATAATCATGAAGCCAAAGTTGAGCCTGTATTGGGGCATTAGTCACCATTTCCTCATGAATCTTTGTAAAATGGGCGTAAACGTACGACATGAAGTAAAAAATCCGCCTTGAATCTTTCTCCGCTACTATAGAATAAAGAATAGGCCATCCAACAGTGTAGGGAAGGATTGCTTTGGTAAAGAGAGACCGCTCGGCACTATGGTTGTGGCCGACCTCATGGCTGTGATCATGGCCATGGTGGTCATGGTCATGTTTATGATTATGACCATGGTCGTGGCTATGATCATGAGAGTGGGAATGGGAGTGAGAGTGGTTGTGGGCATGAGAATGAGAATGGCTGCGGACATGATCATGGCTATGGTCGTGGTCGTGGTCATGGTCATCGTGAACCGATTCGTCAATTACTTCTGGTGTATAGCGGCTCCTCCTTGCCTGAGCCCGGATCCCCGTGCCCCCTATCGACGGCTTCTCTTGTAGCGTGGTGGAGCTTGCATTGGATGTTTGCGAGCCAGTGCGGCCATGGCGTGGGAAGCTGAAGGAGTGCGCGTGCAAGTGCGAGGGAGAGGGTAGCGGCGGCGGTATGGAAAACACCTGCGAGCGCGGTAGAGAGTGGGAATGGGAGTGGCTATGGTCGTAATTGTGGTCGTGATCATGGTCATGGTCATGGTCATGGTCATGGTCGTGATCGTGATCGTGATCGTGATCGTGATCCCGGCCCCGGTGCTCGTCGTCCTCCAGCTGCGAGGGCAGGCTCTCGCTCGACACCGTCATCCGCCAGGTGTTGAGCGATGCCGGCTGAGTGTGAGCCCGGTGAGCGTGCGGCAACGCCGACGACGGCAGGGAATACGAGGCTTCCATTGTGTGGAGGTCGATCGATCGTCGGCAAAACGAAAGGACAGGTCGCTTCGATGTCGTCGAGCCGAGGAACCTGGTTCCTGCTGCGAGGCCCAAGCCGCGGACAATCGCGTCGCTACGAGAGATGCGTCTCGCAGACAGCCAACAACACCCGCATGCAGCGTCTGGAAGATGCCAGACAAGGCAATTGGCGCGACACAGGCGGTCTCGAGGAATCGGCACGAGTGGAGGTGCGAAGTTCGAAGTTGAGAGACGGTCCCCCTCCCCCCAGCCTGGGTTGTCAAGAGAGACAGACAGCGGATGGAGCCAAGCTGGGCAGGCCAAATAGGGGAAACAAGCACAGACGAGAAAAGGCGACCTGGAACTTGGAGAAAAAAAATCAGGTACTCCAGCCGGCGCTGCCAAGGTGCCACAGAGGCGCTATTCGAGCGACTTCAGGAGGGTTGCGGGGGCACGTGGAGGCTTTTTGGGGGTCTCTCCAGCACACAGCCAGTGAGAGATTACCTCTAGTGCTAGATACATGTACCTACCTGTAGTGTGTGTGGACGATTATCAGCGCGGGATTAGCGGCAGGTACCGTCACACCACGGCCGAGGGTGTGAGGGACTCCCGCTGGCTGTTGGTGCTTGATGGTAGTAATATTGATTGATGCGCGCACCAACGACAAGTGAGACAGATGAGATGAGATGAAATTGCCAAGTGCTGCAGGCATAGCAGTGACGCAATGGGGCGGTCTGAAAATGTTTCAAGAAAAGGCATGTGCTAAAGGCGAATCCTGTACAAGTATGTACAGCATCTACAAAGGCATCGGGACGGATCATCGTGCTGCACTTCTGGGTTGGTTGGTTGGTTGGGAAGAAAATCTCCTATAAATTCAAGCAGATCGGCGAGGGAACATGACATCCCGTCTAAGCGATAACGCGGACGTCCAAACGGGAAGGTATCAGCAGCGTCCCTCTAGTAGTCCCGGCCTAACGCAGCGGGTTGAAACCTAATTCATGCCTCGTGATGAGAGCATTAAGTGCAACATGAGTTATCAAATTGTCTAGCGGCAATAGTGGCATAAACCAACCACCTCAATGCCTGTTCGCCTGTTCATACAGGTGCTCAATTCGGCGCAGGTACAACAGCATCAAGGCGAGGCCGGTCCCTACAACTGCCGGACACCGCAAATCTACCAAGATCTCACGGCATTCCCACGTATCGAAAAACACAAGGTAGTATCCAATGTCTTGCATCTCGACGACACTGATTGGCCCTTTGCCCCGTCCCCACGATCTCCATTGCATGTGGCGCTTATCACATTCAGGGACTTGAAATGACGACAGCCCCTCACCAGCCACATCGCATCCACGCGCCACAGCTCAAAAGTCCCAATGGCGTTATCAGAAGCACAGCTTGGCATTGAGCTTGAGGCGGTGCAAACACTGCGAATCGCATATGCCAGCAGCTCATTTGCGACGCCAACCACCAGATATCGCTTGGTAAATGAGCCCAGCTTGCGATTTGCCCTCATGCAGCGTTCTCTGAGGCCTCAGAATCTCTCTTTTTGCATCGAGGCGTCTTCCGAGTAAGGGCAGAGAGAGCTTTATTAGAGATACAGCCCTAGAGACTGGACAGCTGTCACTAGACCTCTAGCTCAAAGCTTTGAACTCGAGCCTGCGCCTCCAAGACCCGGTTTGCCCAAAATGTCCATCTCCTACTACATCTCATTTGCCATATCTACAATCCTCGGTGGCTTGGCCGTCATTTGCCTGTTCCAATTTTGGAGCTTCGTCCTATGGCTGGGCAAGAAATCCCTTGATATCATTCCCACCCGCTATCAACCCGCTGAGAACCCAAAGGATGAGCACATCCAGATTCTAGTCGTGGGCGATATTGGGAGAAGCCCACGCATGCAATACCATGCTCTCAGCGTTGCCAAGCATGGAAAGAAAGTCGACATTATCGGATACAAGGGTAAGCAATTCGAGTCTTTGGCCACTACATAAACACGGGTGCTTATTCTGGGTTCATAGAGACGGCCAGACATCCCGACCTCATCGGCAATCCCAACGTCACTGTCTATCCTCTCGCTCCTCAGCCAGAATGGATTGCCTGGGGAACGCTGCCTTTTTTCCTCAACATCCCCAGCAAGGTCATTCAGCAGTTCTGGACGCTATTCATAACGCTCATGTACACTGCTCCCCCGGCTCAGTGGATCATCATTCAGGTAGCCCCAACTCTTTCTGACCTTACCTACCATCCCCATCAAATTCATTCTAACGAGTTCGCAGAATCCCCCTTCCATCCCTACGTTTCACGTAGCTCTTTTTGTTTCATGGGTTCGTGGTAGCAAAGTCATCGTCGACTGGCACAATTATGGCCACACCATCCTGGCTCAAAAGTCTCTACTCCGCCCTCTTGTACCTTTTTATAGATTTTACGAGATCAATCTGGGGCGACATTTGGGAGATGCAAATCTCGCAGTCACAGATGCCATGACGAAGCAGCTTCAAGCTGGAGGTCGATTTAATCTCAAGAACCCCGTCCACACGCTTCACGACCGGCCAGCCAAGATCTTTCAGCCCATCACCTCCCCCAAAGCCCGATTGGAGTTTCTCTCGCGCCTGGCAGAGACGAAAAGCCATGCCAAGAACATCGTCGACGGCTCTCTTCGCCTAATTGTAAGCAGCACCTCCTGGACAGCAGATGAAGACTTTGGCATGCTCCTAGATGCTTTGGTCGCCTACGCCACGCCAGCCTCGGACCAGGACGACATTCCCCCCATCCTGGCAATCATCACTGGAAAGGGTCCGCAGAGAGAAGCCTACCTCGAAAAGATTAAGGAGCTCCAAAACGGCGGTAAACTTCCCGGCATTCGGGTTCTCAGCGCCTGGCTTTCTAATCGAGACTATGCTTCGCTCCTCGCCTCGGCCGATCTCGGCATCTCTCTCCACAAATCCAGCTCTGGAGTCGACTTGCCGATGAAGGTGGTGGACATGTTTGGAGCGGGCCTTCCCGTGGCCGCCTATGCTGGGTTTGAGAGCATTGGCGAGCTAGTCAAGGAAGGGCATAATGGATGTGGCTTCGAGACAGTACCGCAGCTCACTGAGATTTTGAAGCGGCTGCTGAGCTTGGAGGGCGCACAGGAGCTGGCCCATTTAAAGAAAGGTGCCATTGAGGAAGGCTCACGGCGCTGGGACGAAGAATGGGACAGCGTTGTTGGGCCATTGATTGGGGTAGCTAACAAGTCATAGGGTTGACTTGAATGAAACGGGGACTCTTTAAACTGCCAATGCCGAATGGGCTTGATGTATTTATATGTTTCTGTCACTATTGACAAACCTCCATCTTATCATGCTGCTGCTATCTCGCCATCAATGAGTGAAGCACTGCCCAGGCTCTTAAACGGTACCAGGCATCTCCAAGACGCCAAATAATGCAAAACAATCAGGACGCCGCAGCCCTTAATAAACGCCATCCACACTTTTAATACTAATAAAAGAGGAATAATAACCCACCTCACCAGCGCGTACACGCACACGTTGGCCCATATGTATACTCCCTCCGCCTCTAGTCCTCTCCCAGACTCTCCCTCACGCACTTCCGACACCGTCTCCGATAGTCCTTGTGCTTGCCCTCCTTCTCCTCACGCAGCATCCTCGCTGCCTCGACATTCGCAGGGCTCTCTTCGTTCGGGCTGTAGAACAAGCTGATTACACTGAGGAGGATGGTCTCGGGGGTCTGCACCGGGCTCCATCGCTCAGACGCAGATTCGTACCCATACTGGTCCTCCTCAGGAGGATGCAAGATGGAAATACACAGCTTCCCGTTTTCGTAGATATTGGGATGAAAGGGGATCGGGTCTTGGAACGTGAGCGAGGGCGGCATGTGAGGATAGTTTTCGGGGAAAGCAAGTCGAGCACGAAAGTTGCCTCCTAGAAACCGAGTTACAAATCAGCTTCCCCGATTCACTTTGTCTAAAAAAAAAAAAAAAAAAAAAAAGCTGGGAGGAGAAAGGGAGAGGGAGAGAGGATAAAGTACGCACCGCCGTAGTATTTGCAGTCGTCGTTGATCATGAGCATGACTTCCCACTCGAACATGTTGTTGTCGTTGACGAGGCCGCATGAGATGCCTGGGAGGTCCTTGCCCGTCTGCATTTCCTTGAGCTGCCGCTTCAGCAGCGACGCGGCGGCGGCTCCAGCTGACGCCATGGTTGTGATGAGGAGATTTCTGATGGTAGAATATGTTCGGATGGAATGGGGTTTATGCGATGCTCTCTCGTGGGTGGGAAGACAAGGGAGAAGCTGTCGTATTGCAAGAATGCCCAAGGTCTAAGAGGAGGAGAGACCGGCTTTAGGCGCTCGATACGGGCGGAAGTGGCCTATCATGGATGGGGTCAGCGCTTCCCAGAAGGGCTGCGGGGCTCGAGGTCCGCTATTCCGGCGCCGGCTGGGTGGCACACGACCCCCAGCATTTGAACCTGGATGGCCGGTGGGATTTGGAGATTGTTTCTGATTTTGGCTGCTTCCATGCTTGAATATCTTGAATATTGATCATTACTATGCTTGAATATGTACAGGTATATGCCGCTTATTCAGTGTTCCGTCATTAGTGTTCCGCCTCTCCTCAGGCCATGCTTTGTTCCAGCTACTTCCAATCGTCAAAACGCCTCCCGTCTGGGTATCATAAGCCATCATTCTCTCTCATCCACGATAAATCACTTCTTCGACGATCCAAACCCGGTGAATCCCATCTGCGCCATCATATCGTCCTCGTCATGCTCCCCTTCAATACGCACATCGTCGCCGTACTCCGTCTTCACCTTAGCCGCCTGCTCCTTCTCCTGGCGCTTCTTCTCTGCTTCTTCCTTGCGCTTCTTCCTCTTCTCCTCTGCCTCCTTCTGCATCTCTTCCTCTCTTAGCTGCAGTCTGTCATGTAAGCTAGTGGCCTTTTCTTTCTCAAGATCTTCTTTCCGGCGGATGTAGAACTCGATTCGCTCGTGCACTTCCTCGACAGTCGCTCGTTTGACTTCGGTGGTCTGTCCTGTGTTGAGCAGATGCTGCATCGTATTCAAGTGCTACACGTACTCAATTAGTCCCAAATTACAACCTCGTTCTTCCGTCAAAGATTCATATACATACCTCAACCCATTGCAGGTTGTCCTTGAACGTAAGATCACAGGCCTCGCAGTAGAAACCAGCACCTCTGCCTCGTTTACCAACGCCCGATCCCGCAGGCACTAGCTGCGTCTTTCCAACTTGTGCGCTCACATCGATGATATTTCGCCTTGCTGATGTATACGTCTCGTTGCCCGTCATGGGCTTGTGATACTTCTTGCCGGCGAGTTTGGCCTCGTAACGCGCCTTGCCTTCTTCCCTCTCCTTGGCCTCGCGTTCCTTGGCTTTCGCAGCATATTCGTCCAGATCCCAATTCTTTCGGAAATCAGTATCCGATGCCGCCACACCGTAGGCGCTTTTGCTCTTTGAATCAGACATTGTCGGCTGGTGAATTGCGTCGTTGAAAATAGATGCAGGAATAGGAAACGGCTTAAAAACGGCAGATTTAGACGCGACACCAAGATCGCCGAAGCTTTTGGCAGTAAGCAGCAGACAAGGGTCAACCGGCGCTAAGATAAGAAATTGTCAACCCCACCGCGGGGCAGCTCCGAGAAGGACTTTTCCAATTCATACAACAATCTGCATGTGTTAATCGAGTCAATATGCTGTACCTCGTTGGTCTGGGTCTCTCTGACGAGACGGATATCACCGTCAAGGGTCTCGAGGTGGTCAAAAAGGCCTCTCGCGTCTACCTCGAGGCTTACACAAGCATTCTGCTCGTGGACCAGTCTGTCCTGGTATGCATGCACAATATGGTTTGCTGAGGAAAACAGCTAACGCTGACTCTCAAAGTAGGAAAACTACTATGGACGATCAATAACCATCGCCGACCGCGAGATGGTCGAATCAAACAGCGACGAGATTCTCAGGAATGCGCAAACTGAAGATGTCGCCTTTTGCGTTGTTGGAGACCCCTTTGGGTTGGTTCTACCTCGACCAAGTCTATGGCTTGACTGACAGTATAAATCTAGAGCGACTACACACACTGATCTCGTTATCCGAGCTCGCGAGCTATCCATCCCTGTGCGAACCGTGCCGAATGCTTCTATCATGTCCGGCATTGGTGCTTGCGGTCTTCAGCTGTACAACTTCGGACAGACCGTCTCCATGGTCTTTTTCACCGATACATGGAAACCCTCTTCGTTCTACGACAGGATAAAGGAGAACCGTGACATTGGCTTGCATACATTGGTCCTCGTCGACATCAAAGTCAAGGAGCAGAGCTTGGAGAACATGGCCCGAGGCCGACTCATCTACGAGCCTCCTCGATACATGACCGTCGGGCAGTGCGCGCAACAGATGCTCGAGATCGAAGAGGAACGCAAAGAAGGTGTCTACACCAAGGACAGCTTGGCCATTGGCGCAGCTCGTGTGGGAGGCAAGACGGAAAAGTTCGTTTCAGGAACACTGGAAGAGCTTTGCTCTGCGGATGAGGAGCTGGGTCCGCCTCTGCACAGCCTTGTTCTGTTGGGTCGGAGAGCCCACGAACTTGAACGCGATTACGTCCGTGAATTTGCTGTGGATAAGGAGAAGTGGGACAGAATATGGCAGGAGGAGTACGGAAAGCAGTGAAAGATACGATAAAGGTTATAAATACGAGACGCCATTTTAATTCATGAATAACATTGATGATAAGAATACATGTGAGACTTTTTTTTTCCAGTTTTCAAACTTTTCCAACTGATTCAGACGTTTGAGGCACGCCAATTACCAACCTCCTCAGCCGAGATCTCCCGGAGTTTATTCACTTGAGCAGGCTTTCCCGTAAGAACCCCCTGAGCGACTTCGGCGGCACGGCTAATGAAGTTGCCAGCCTGCAGCGAATATGTCACAGTAGTCGTCTTGACACGGATAATGCCAATGCGAGGATCATTCTCAGACCCATCATGGACTCCGTCGTCAAGATCGCCGAGCCATGCCTTCAGCTCTCTACTATACGTCTTCTTCACCAGCTCACGATCCGTCACAACGCTAGCCTGGCCTGAGATGGACGCCCACTCGCCAGAGCTATTTATGAAAGATACATTGACGTGGGGGTCATTGGACAAATCGTGGGTTTTCCCGGATTCGGTGTTTGTGTGAAAAAGGAGATCAATGCCCCCGGATTCCTATTTATAGAAGTCAGTTCTTAGTTGGGCTATGTAGCGTAAAGGTCGCCTCCACCTACTGTTGCAGCCAGACCCATGCAGCGGGAGACTAGATTGTTCTGTGACGACGCCTCAATGGTGGTCATCATGCCGAATTTGCATTTGGTGATGAAATCGACGAGATCCGTCACCTTGATATCCAGCTCGACTTCATCTTTGTTGACTTTGGTGTACGGGTCGGCGGGCTTATCACCGAAAGTTGCGCCAGCGGTTGCCATTGTTGCGGAAACAGTTGCTATTAATGGTATATACTATGGGGGGAGAGTATAATAATTGAAATGCTGAAGTTTACTGAACTTTCAACTTACTTGGCCGCTTGTTATATAAGATACCGCTGCGGGTGAGCTGCGTGCCATAGGGTCTATGATACACCACATCCATCATATGTACGTAAAATCAGGAGCATGAGGCGATGGCTGCTACAAATGGCCTGGAACATGACGTCAGGAAGATGGTGATTTGGCCACAGCGCTATATGTTGTCCTAGCAGTATTGCAGCTTATGCAAGTTCGAATCAGGTCATCTGATGGTAATCAAGTTTGCAGTTCGAAACCGGGTCGAAGCCAAAATCATGACATATATCATCGTCGATGTCGTCCGAGGTTGGCGCTGCTACCCTAGAGCTTATCGTGTTTGAAACGGGCACCCATCCTCTCGGGATCAAGCCGCCCAGCCGCCATACGGAGTAGTCGCATCGATCAGTAATAATACTGTAGCTTCGGCAACCCTGTTTGTCCGTGATTCAGGCACAGAGCCCAGTCGTGTACTGTGCACGTGCGAACCGAATTCAGGACCTGAGACATTGATGGCTGGAATTGGAGTGACAACGGGCGAATCAAGCACCATCATATATGCATAAATACCCGATCCAGATAGCCGTCTCAACGATAGCAACAATTACTTACTGAGGCTAGTCGAGGCTCTCTAGTCTCCGGCCTGGGTGTAATTGCAATTGCCAGGGCAGTCAATTAATTCCTCTCGACGTTTAATTACAATCGAAGCACTCTCACAGGGGTCACATCGTACGGTCAAAGCAGTATTCGATCCTGCCGTGCTGACGGTCAATCGTCACCTGATATCGCTTCCTCTCTCACCTTCGGCAACAACCAAGCCCGCCGCGGTTGCCGTAATTGACGCCGGTCCTTCCCATTCCCCGCGCCATTCTCCCGCCGTTATTCCCACCAGCGATTTGCGGCAGGCACGACGTGCTGCAATAACTGGCACAGCGGATAAAGTCCAGCTGCCATTCCGAACGCTGGGAAAGTGGCGGCCGCTTATCTCGTGGCAGGAGCCCGTCGAGTCAGTCCCTCTTCGTTGAGAGTTGGGCAGCTCCCAACCTTTTTTCTCCTTCCTCGACGTCCGGGTTGTGCGGCCTGCGTCTTCTCGCCAGCCAAGTGAATTTCTCCTTTCTTTCATTTCCCTTTATCCTCTTTATCCTCTTCACCCTCTGCCTCTCCCGCTTTATCTTCATCTTCTTTGTCCGCTTTGGGCTTCTGTCGTCCGGCGAATTTCCATTTCATCCCCAATCTGCCTATTTATTTCTCCCCAATCGCCCGCCAGCTGGTCCTGGGTGCCCTGCCTGCTGCCAGTTTGCCTGACCCGCGGGTTTCCCTCATCATTGAATCACCGTCAATTGTTTCCCATTTCTCGCCCGCCACCTGTCCAGCAGCTCGCTCCGGGAGCCGGCATCTCTTTTATTCACTGCGCCGGACCGGAGGGTTGAAGTAAAGCTGGCGTTAAGTCGCACAAGGCTGGCTGCTTGTGCCATAATTCCCCCCCTCCATCCCTCCAATTTTCACTTCAACTTCACTCCTCACAAGGCTTTTCCCTTTCTTCTTTTGCCATTGTTTCATTGTGTGTCTTTGTGCCAGCTATCAATCATCAAGAGGACTATTCCCATTCCGGCATATCAGCAGCTTCGTACTACAGTCGACTTGTGTGTCAGGTGCTTTTCCATTGTTGAGATTTGATTTGAGAAAATTGTTGCCGCACTACGTATCTTCGGTTGAACGCCTTCTCCCGTATCGTCATTTCATCATTTCCATCGCAGCAAGATGAGTGGACAGGTAAGGACACGCCGCCCCGCCACATTGGTTTCGCAGATCAAGTATTCACATTCTTTCGCAGCTCGTATTTCCGTGGGAATGCCGCGATAAAGAGGACCAGGCATGGGCTGCCTACAATAATCCCCTCCGCCGGACCAACCAGATTCTCGTCGAGGAGAATATGAGACTCAAGCGAATCCTTCGTGAAAACGGAATCTCTTGGTCGCCTTTGGCGCAGAGTCATATGAATCAAAATGACCCCACGCGGCGCAAGACCCGGTCTTCCGTTGCCGCCGGCCCCGGTGACTCGGCCTCGCCATTCTTACCAACGGAAGTCCTCTTGCGGATTCTCAAGTTTGCCATGAAGAGCAAATATCCAATCATTGACCCGCTCAGTCCTGCCACGGTTGAAAACCTTACGGAAGAAGAGAAGAAGAGAGGCAACCAGATAGCCATCCACTTCCTGGCTACGTGCAAAGCAATGCACGCCGAAGGCACTCGATTCCTCTGGGAGTCCAACCACTTTGTCTTCACCACCCCTCAAGCTCTGCGTAACTTCAGCGAGCTCAGCTTCCACTTTCGGCATAAAATCTTGCATGTCAACCTTCGTGTCATTGCCCGTTACTACGATGACCAGCGTCGCAGGCACAAGCTGGAAAAGTACTATCATCCAGACCTGAAGAAGGACCAACCCCTCAAGATTCACATGCGCCCAAAGGAGTCGCCTCTTGTTCGCGGCGGCTTTCGCTGCTACACCTGGAACCAAGTCATAGATTTCCTCCTGGCTCTTCGTGCGCCGTTTGACCCGGCTTACAAGGACAAGAAGAATCCAAGACCAAGACTTCTTCCGTCTCTGTCATCTCTGCGACTGGATTTGGTCAACTTTTCAGATTCCTTGCTGCCATTTTCCGGATCCGAGCTTCACGAAGTGGCCTCTCACGAGCTGGGATGTACCTTGAATGAACTTCAGGTGACAGGGATGCCTTTTGACGACGTTGGTATGAAGGCCTCTGCCGAACTGAGTGGTCTGGTGAAGGATGAAGGCCTCTATCTTGATGCATCTGCTGCCTTCATCGCCCACCCTAAAGGTTTGCAGAGCCTCTCGGGAGACAACTGGTGCGCTCGTGTGATCAGGGCATACAAGGACCTCAAGGACGAAATGGAAGAAGAAGGCCTTGGACTCGGTGAAGACGACGATGAAGAACAATTCCACCTGCACTCGTTTGAAGGCTACCACAAGGTGGGCGCTCTACCCGCTGCTCCCTCCGAGGAAGGCCATCCTCCATCAACTCGCGACGAGAAGAGAGTCATCTGGAAGAAGGTTCCCGTCACCCGCGAATCGGACAAGCGCATGTGGATCCAATTCTCCCGACTCAACGGATATGAGATTGAAGATTCGGTCTGGGATAGTGACGACGATAGGATCTGTCCATGCTGCGGCGACTCTCACCCCGGCTCATCCATGATAGAGTTCATGAGCGACTATGAGTGAACAGGTCGTTCTGTTTTTGTTTGTGCAGTGCCCACGTTAAGATTTGAGATAATGAAAGAATTTACCGCGGCAGAGAGATGTTGCGCAGTATTATGTGCTTAGATACCCCCACGGTTGGTGGCAAAAAAGGGAGCTCTGTACTTGATGGAAGCAAAATACAAGTGGGTTTAAACAGGTACCAGTCTGAGATTTGAGAAGCTATGCAATTAATTCCATGTTGTCACTGCCTTGGTTGTGCATCAAAGTGATTTGAGATATGTGCAATTGTTTGTAGAATGACGTGGGTTCTGGTGGCCTGTGAACGGCAACAAGCAGAAGAAGCTATGTCATCGCGCTACAGCTTGATTGGCAGAAGCAAGGCAAGTCGTTAGTCAAGAAGAGTCAAGTTTATTTGCTATTATGCTATTGAATGCTAGAGAAACAATGTAGATAAACGCTATAGCCAAAGCTTAGGCCACATTGATCAAAACCACGCTGCGCATACGTGAGGTTGGCGGCTCCACGATTACAAAGATCCGAAGCAGCATTCTTTTCTATGTCTTTCTTTGTCGTCTGGCAATATCCGGCGCTGGATATGCTTCGGTTAACAAAAGTGGCGGCCATTGCAGATGCTTTCAGTCGGCGATCGGGGGTGGAAGTACTGGACCACAGGGCTGGCAGATTCAGCAGGATTAGCAGATGGAGCACAATCATCAGCTTGACCAGTATATGTAATTTTAATAGGACTGGGATGTTTGAGAGGACTGACAAGTTGACCAGGACTTGCTGGATGACCAAAAGTGCTTGCATCTGAGCCAGACTCCATGTCACCATGTCGTGTACTTGTACTGGTATCGGAATCTCTGGCCTCTTCGACAGAAGCCGGGGCCTCGTCGAGCTTTCTCTTGATCCATGTCGCTTTGAAAACGGTAATTTCTTTCTCGTTTGACAGCAGGTCCGCCCTGAGCTTTGCCGCGACGCCAGCATAACTGCGAATCCCCGGGCTCGCGACGAGGAGGATGCCGAAATGCAGGATCGTGAAGTACAGAAAGCGGATCAGCTCGCGGAGATGCTCCCTGTCATCTGAGGGATGCTCGGGGATGAGTCGTGCTAGGCGAACGTAATAGCCCATTCTGCTGATGATGCGCGCGAGGAGGCTGCGGATATTTCGCTTTGCTTTTTTGGACTTTGAGAGGAACTATACGGGTTTAGGTCAGCGAGTGCTCTTTTGTATGAAGGGATTGAGATTTGGATTTTTGGTGCTTGCTTGAAAACCATAGCAGATGCATGTCCACGGCAGCGGATGTTGCATCATATCCCACGACCTTTCCAGATGGTGCCTCAGAGCCACCATAGTTTCGTCCGAGTTGACAAAGTCCGTGGTCTCGAGCCACCTGTACAACAAATGGCCCATCTGCTCAAACCTGACCCCCCAGTTGCTCGAAATCTGCGGGAGCATCCCAGCGGGCGTGGCTATCCGCGGCGCTTCATTCATGCGCTCCAGGTCCTTGTCCAGTATCGCCTCGTACCGCGTGACCAAGTATGGATACATGTCCTTGACCTGGTCGTAGGCTTCGTCCTATAGCTGCCTACAGTGCAGTGATACCACGGACATTGTATAATGCGGATGAGGCGATGGTGGGAGAATCTTTTACGGGCGGCGGCGCTGTTTTGATATGGTCTTTGTTTCGCTTCGAGTTTGTTGTGATGCTTGTATGATTGATGTTTGGAGAGAAATGATCACAGGGATGGCTGGAAGTGTAAGTGTTGCGCTGAAGATTGATGTCTTGGTGTTTATGTTTCACAGTTGAATGGTACGTATTAGGCGATGATATTTCCTGCCGCATTAGATGGTTGCTCCGATATTGATGGCATGGATATACAGAGGCAAGAGCAGCCTGAATTTTGTCACGACTTGTCACGCTGAGGCATTGCAAAATGTATCGTAAAGAGAACAAGAGCAATTTATTCCATTCTACATAAGAAATTATTAGAGAAAGACTGAGTTAAATCTACCTACACGAGTATTGTGTATGAGATCCTGCCCGTAAGCGGCTTCAGTTCGGTGGTTCTACATTTGGGCGAAACCTAAACAGCAACACCTTGCCCGACTTGGTCCCGATAGCCACAGTGTTGCCCTGCACCCATGACGCCGTAGGTCGATACATATCCGGGATGGGGATGATCTCTCTGCCATTCCAAGTGATCCAGTCACCGGCTATCGATATGCCATACCGTTTGCCCTTGAAAGACTCTTGGCTAAAAAAGGCAGAAGAGCCGAGGGTAGAAGGATCAGCTCCAAACTCAGTCAAGAAGTATTCTGGCATCCCGATGTCAAACCCAACGGAACGCTCTGTTTCTTGAGTCCTTATGGGACCTTGAATGCAAACTCCAGTTCCTGCATTCCAGACTCGGATACTTTTATCACTGGAACGCGACACAACTTTAGAAGAGTCGTGAGAGAACACAATGCTTTCAATGCCACCCGAGTAATCAAAAGCTTCCCACTTCAGCTGCAGGGACGCGAGGTCCCACATCATCAGCCTTGAATCGTCACCCCCTGAAGCTAGGAACTTTCCATTGGGCGAGAAAGCGACAGTGGTAACAAATTTACTGTGGCCCAGAAGAATCGTTTCTCGGTCTTCCTCCTCATTCTGTTCCTTTTCTTTTTCTACTTCTGCAAGGCATTTCCAGATTCGTACAGAACAGTCATCGGATGCTGAGGCTACTTGGTTACCATCGGGAGAGAAGGTGGCAGACGTAACATAATCTGAGTGACCCCGGAATTTGTGGCATAGCATTCCGCTAGCTACATCCCAAACTGTCACAGTGCCGTATTTTGAAGATGAAACCAGTCGTCCCCCGTCAAGTGAGAACGAGATGGACAATACCCCTCCTTCCAGAAGTTCGTGAGGTTTTGTCGGTCGGCCTGTAGTCCCGTCCCAGAGACAGATATTTGTGTCGGTAGATGATGCCAGATATTTACCATCAGAAGACATGGCTATACACCTAACAGGATAACCCTTGTTGGGCTCTTTCCGAGCGTTCATACCATTGCTCATGTTGCGCTCCGAGTCCCATAGCCAGATAATCTTGTCGGTAGCCCCTGATGCAAGATGCCCCTGCCTTGAGAAGGCAACTGCTGTCACCTCCTTCGTGTGTCCCCTCATCACATAGCTGGGATCTTTGCTCTCATTAAATCTCCATAGCCAGACCTCTGTGCCAGATCCTGCGGCGATGAAGGGATCATTTGGTGAGAATGCTACCCCATTGACGATATTTCCACAGTCAAAAGACCTAACAACCTGTCCGGTTTCCAAATCCCAAATTTTGATAGTGTTGTCACGCGAGCCTGAAGCAAGGTGTTTTTCGTCCTGTGAGAATGCAACGCATTTAACATCGTCTTCATGGCCAAGTAGCGATTTCCGCAATGCATTATCGTTGAATCCATCCCGAATATTCACAGTCTTGATGCTGGAGGATGCTATCCACCTTCCCTGTTTAGAAAAGTCCACAGCACGGACAGGACCTTTGTCCTCGAGTATTTTAGGCTCCTTTGCCACAGGGCCATCCAATTTGGAAGAAACATCCCACAATAGAAGTGCCATATCTGTGCCTACTAGCAAGTGTTCGCCATCTGGTGAAAACCGAATATCCCACAATAGGCCGTATTTCTGGCATAGCAACGTCTTATGACGAGATCCTGTGTTCATGTCCCAAATGTGAATGACCCCGTCTTCTGAGCCAGACGCTAATTGGCGATTGGAGGAGAAAGTGAGACACACCACCTTTCGTCCGTGCTCTTCGAACATCAACTGCGCGGCTCCCGTTTCAGCGTCCCATACGCGAACGGCCGAATCATCGGATCCCGATGCCAAAAGTTTTCCATCTGGAGAGAAGGCAAGGCTCTCGACATCACTTCGGTTAGCCAGAGCGAGAGAGTTGTCGCTCCAATTTTGTGCTGTCTCTGGTGGCAAAACTAGCCAATCGTTATTCTCGGCCACCCAATGTTGTTTCAAAACGCTTTCTTCCGGATAAAATATGGCGCTGTTGGGGTTGGTATGGAAAACACTGTTTCCAGATTTATGAGAATAAATAATTTGGAGGGCATCCTGAATTAAAGTAAGAACGAAGCGCTGATTCCCCAGTTTTTCAGTCCATTTCGTCAACTGGTTTTTCTTTACCCCCTTCCGTCGTTTGTCCTTGCATGGCTTCTTTTGTATGCGTGGTTCTTCCCTCAATTGTATCTAAATCCACAGTTAGTTATCATTTTTAAAATTTCGACTACCTTAGCTATCTTTAGGCTAATTGGGCCACTCACGGTCCAAAATCTGTCAAGCTTCTTCATCAGGATAGCAACATCAGTATGAAGACCGGCAGAGATTACTGTATCTAGCCAGAGTAAGAAATGATTTTGCATGAAGAAAACCACCGCATTTGTTGTTTTATCATCTCTGCTAAAACACTTCACATTGAGAAGATGCATTAGCCAATGAATAGCTCCATAGTTGTTGGAAAAGTTCGCCCCATCGCTCTGATTTCTAGCAGAGTTAAGGTTGGGTACGCCCAAAGTGGCCGTGTTGAAGTATTCCGATAACCATTCAAGGGCCTTTCTAGCGATGAGAGAGTGTGCCTCGGAGAATTCAAGGGGGTTATTTCGCAGATAATTCCACGCCTCCTGCCGAGCTGTTGGATCTGCAAACCTGACCTTGCCTGATTGAACTTCCAGATATGGGCGGCACCTGTCGAGTATTCTCATTAGATCGACTTGTGGCGGTAGATCTACGAATCTTGCCAGCTCTGATATCAGAAGGGGGCGGTACGCAACGGCCATGGTTGAAAGCACTGATTTGCAAAATTCGGGATCATGGCGAGGAAGCTTCGCCATATTGACTCGTGCATATTCGTACAGCCCATTCAATTCTGCAGGCATTTCTTTGAGGACATCAACTGCATACCAGTTATCTTCTTTTCGGAGAGTTGCGCAAGCCGTAACAGCCCATAGGGCATTGTCTTTCGATTTTTCGCTGATAATTCGCGAAATTTCCGTTTTGATTTCCTCAGAATATCCCTTCTCTAGTGCCAGCTCATCAACCATGGAATTGACGCTTCGATGAAACGCTTCCTTGAGCTCGAGCACCTGATAAGCTTGCTCTAAAACGATATATCGAAAATGTCCCGCCTCTACCAAGTCGGTTTTGACGCGATGATTTATATCTGCGGATACGAGCCACCTAATTTTATCTGGAATATTTTCAGTCGCCATGATTAGCCGTAGCAAGTCGCTGAGACAGTCGCCGTCCTTTCTTTCATCGTCAGACGAACATGCATCAATGCCATCCACCACTAGATATGACCGGACAAAAGCTTGGTCTTTCAACATCTTGAATAAGACTCCCGAGAGAGCAGTAAAATCATTTGGACTGTCGAATCGATCTCTTTTGATGTTTTCTAGTGTTACAGTCAAGTGAAGGATCAACTTTGGCTGCTGTTTGAGAATTGAATTAATCAGGCCTCTCAACACCCTGGCAGAGTTGTCTATGCCATGGTTAGTGCGGCCACAAGAGTAATATATTGACGCCCATGGACCGTTTTCCGAGTCAATTCCCCCAATTTCTCTTGAAATTGAGGCATATGAATTTGATCGGTCCAAACTCGACTTGCCAGAAAGGTGTACGGCAATTGCTTCCATAAGGGCTGTCTTGTTGATGCCTAGGCCACCGCCAATTAAAAGCCTCTGGTTCCTTGTATTGTGCTTGTTGTCCGTTCTTGATTCGTCGTCCTTGATGTACGTTGCTTCCCAATCAACGACGCTCTTGAATTGCTCTGTTGCGCAAACCCATCGACATAGCTCACGCGTCAAAGATCCATTATCGTTCATTTCTACTGGGCTTGATGCCATATCAAGTTCGCCTAAGCAGGCCAGGTTCTCATCGATCCCACTTGGAGCCGTTGTTGTTATCTCTCTTATGGGTGTCGTTTGGCGAGCTTCTTCTTTTGTGCTGAGTATCCGGATTTCTTCGAGTTGTTGCAACATCGGGCCCCCAGCGAAAGTCGAAAGGTTTTCTTCGGCAGCTTTCAATGATGCCAAGCTCAATTCCCGGGTATCAAACTGATTGTCGGCCAGTTCGACGACTTCCATCAAATACGACAGAATTTCCCTGTACAAAGCAACAACTCGGTCTTGTAGAGTCTGCTTCCATTCTGGAGGCTCATCGGTGCCACTGCTGATGAGTCTCGGCAGACAATTGTACCAATGCATCTTGGTAATAATATCTATAAGCCCGAGGCAGGTGGCTTCCGTCTCCGGCCGGGGATACAAAGATATCTGCTTTTGATTAGAAAATTTATATTGTGGCTGGAGCTGCGTGCCTTACCCGTGAAGCATAGCAAAGGCATACCCAAGCAAGTGCACTGGGCGGCGCGGCACCTGTTGACATTCGTATATGGTCCCTCAATGAATGTTGAAACTGGCTGGATTGGAGACTGTCCTGACCATCAAGCCACCAGCTCAATTGACGGCACATTTGATGCCATCTCACTTCTATATCGGTTTCGGAAATGGAAGTCTCCTTAAGATTCGCTTTCGATACTCCCGAGATGGAAGTCTCAGAAGCCACATCCCTGATGTCTCGTGATAAGATCGCTTCGTACCGGGAGACTAAATCTGGACGAATCAGCCTTAGGTCGTCATATGCTTTATCCCATAGATGCTCGCGTTTGGCGGATGCCAGCGTTTCTACGTCATGCGATGGTGGGAACTTGACGACAGGCGAAGTGATAGTGGTATTTGTTCTCGCAGTAGCAGCGATGTCTGCTCCTACCTTCTTCTCCGTGGAATGACTGTGGCCGCTTGGAGAAGATTCCACGCCAGTAGCAGTGTTAGCATGTCGTGCGCGGTCCAGAGGCGCCTCGCGGCCGCCAGGCTTGGGCCTCCCGAATAATCCAGCGAGAAACCCTATTTTATCCATCGTGTGAATATTGCAGTCGTTTCAAGCTGGCGAAAATGAAGAAAAGCGTAGTGATATTCGCCACAAACCGTTGTGGAATCTCAGATTTATTATGGGCAATCATGGACTTGGAGACAGCATGTGACATGGTTCGAATGGGCATTATGCAATACCCCATTCATCGTAAAGGACAGCCTTTGTCATCCGAAGGCATTGCGTGTCTAGTTACACAAGCATAGGTGTACTGTTTGTCCTTTGTGCACAGCACGACCTCCGAACCCCTTGTGCGGCCTTTCTGCATGCCCAGATTTTCTGGCCCAATTCATTGGTGGAGAAAAGGCAAATTCACATCCTGCTCATCACAAACTACCCAAATTGTTACAGAGCACGTAACACGTTGGTGTTTGTGCTCCCGATTGGCGGGCTATTCTCAGCGTTATTTTGCTATACTCCAATCATAGTTCCGTATACGTGTAATATTATGCAACACATGATGCCCAAGTAGAACCTGAATATTGGCGCTAACATGCTGTATGAGTTACCGCATAATGGCTCAAGTATCTTCAGAATCTTCCACAACTTTAAGATGCATGATCTTGTTCCAATATTTCTCGGTCCAATTGCCTACCTACTTGCTAACTAGTATACACTGATTCCTCTAAACATGCCCTTCCATCATATAAAAACAATATCTCTTCCATACCTACCTACCTACTAGGCACCTTTGGTACGCAGGTATGTACATGTATCTACACCTACCTAAGTACTTGGTAAGGAGTAAAGGGTAGCACACAGATGGGCGCCTAGGTAGTAGGTACATGTATGTTTCATTTCCACAGCGGTGGCGGTCGGGTTCGGCCGTGCCTAAGCTCCCTCCAAAGTCCCTGTGTAACGTAGAGTACTATACTACATGTACCTACCTAGGTAGGTAGGTACCTTAAGGTACCTAATAGATGCATAATATAGGTAGTTTCGTTTCTTTGTTACTTTTCTTCCTTAATCCCAACTCGTATCCTGTTGAGTCGGATGCAGCAGCCTTTTGTAGCCTAATATCCGATTCCGATAGATGGAAGAGGACGGGCCTCATTCGCACCGGGTGGTTTGCTCCATTCACCTGCCTCTGCCTCACAATTCACAACAGATCTTTAACCCCTCAACTTCACACTCCTTTTAATCTACCTTCATGAGAGATTGTCTGATTCTACTTAACTCTTGAACTTGTCATTCACCAGCGTAAAAAAATCAAAAGGGGCTCCAAGCCGTCCCTTGCCGCATAGGTTCTCCAAAACAACCCACTTCTTGTTCTCTCCCTCCCCCATCTCTTTAAACTTTTTTGTCACCGTGTCACATCTCCAAGCTCGTATTCCGCGGTTCTCGATTATCGTATCATTGACATGAAAATTTGACGATATCCGAGCACATGCCAAAATAAGGGAAGCCAGTCCTGCAGCGATTGCAGTTGAAACCGAGCTCCCCCCAATAAATTCGGCAGATTCCAAATATGGTATTTGGCCAACCCGGACATTTTGACCAAGAAATTGGTAGTCGAAGCCGGTTTTTTGACTTTGAGGGAGCAAGTTGCCCCATCTATCGCACGCAGCGATTGATAGGACGTCATTGTTATTTTCGCCCACTGAATGAGCTCCTATGCTGCCCTCGTCTGCGGTGCTACAGAGGATGACGATATCGTCCTCTCTGGCTGATCTGATGGCCTGGACCATTTCAGCCGTAGGGTCCGAGAAGGTAACGAGACTGAGGGATATTACGTCTACCCCTTTACTTCGCGCCCAGTGGATAGCCTAGATCAGGATAGCAGTCAATTTGTATGATCTATTCCGGAATTCAGGAGTTCACAGGGACTATGTGGAAAAAAGACAATGAAGATGGAAGCAAATCTCACCTTGGCTACATTGTGTCCTGTAATTCCAGAAGCAGTAGATTCAGCCACTTTGACGACGTACAAGTCGCAGAGGGGATTGATAGAGCAAATAATGGTTGCCATCTGCGTGCCGTGTGGCTCAGAAGCTTGCCACCAATTGTACTCTTCATTGTCTCTCCTAAAATATGAGACCCCATCAATGAATCGCTGCAATAGCTCGCTGTCGTGTTCGCTGCTCGCCGCTCCAACGGCAACGACGCCACTATCGATCAAAGCTACTCTTGTCTTCCTCGTATTCTCGTTTCTTTCGTTATAATCGCGGAAACTTTTGACAAATGATGCCAAGTGTGGTCCGACAATGTCCGAAGAACTGTGAAGGTGTAAGCATCAAGTATACTTTGTATTTTAGAGCCATACATGTTATCAAAGCTTCGGTATATGATAGTTTCTTGTTGTTGAAGCCATTGTATCCGCGAAACTTTGATCTTGGGTTGGATCTCGGCGGTTTTTTTATCATTGTAATTGCTCGCTCCTTCTTCTCCAGTCGTCCACGGATAACCGCTTTTGTCATGTAGCTTGTTCAAGTCGGTTTCAAGCTGCTTGCTGACTTCTTCTACTCTATGAGGGCTGAGAACATCCTAATGAAGCCATGAGCAACGCAAGAACGAGCGCTTCCGAATGCGGCAGAAATCAGTGTTTTAGTTCCTTGACTTACCTTCACTACATACACATGCAGGTTTTTCAACTGGTATAGTAAGCATAAGCACGTTCGCGATGTCGGGGGAGAGTTTGGCAACTTACCCGCTTGAATCTCGGTATTTGATCCAGCCACTGATCATGAACAGATCGATTGCCACTGGAATAGAGATGCAGCTCCTCTACCAACTCTTTGTCAAAGTCTTTGAGGTAAATATCCAGTTTTCTCCAATTGAGAACTCTGACATTGAACTCGTTGACACATTTTGTTACATCTTCATCATTATGCGGGCATTGTAGCCGATCTTCCACAAACAGGCCCATTATGCCTTGAACATTTTGATCGGATAGCCACTGAAGAACATCATTAACTTCCCTATGATCTTGTTTCAAGTCTTCATTGCTCATGAAGGGTGCTTGACCACTCAGGTCGGGGAAGGTGACGGATTTTAGATACTTCTCATGTCGAAAGATCCTCTTGTCCATTGTTATCAGTTTCTGAATATAATCTTTAGGGCCTTCATTCTTCGTGTTCGATTTGAACTGCGGAAAAGGATAAGTCATCTCGCGGACTTGGTAAGGTATCAGCGTTTTGCATGTAGAAGAGCATGAAGCTTCTTGGTATTACTCACTTTCTACTATACCACTTGTTAATATGGGATGAAATAGTGTGTGGGGAAATGATGGATTATCAACGCACCTGAAGAGTCTGCTGAGATCTCTCGAATTCGGTTTAGATCCAAATTACGGCTCTGAATCATGGCATTCACAACTAAATCACGAATACCCAGATATGGGTCTCTGTCCTTGCGAATGCCCTGCTTTTCTAAAAGCTTGTTCAGATGCTGCAAGGGATACTTATGGCTCGTTTCTTCCAGTTCAACCTCCACTAGAGCAGGCTCTAGCTCCAAGAGTGCGGCCACCATATCGACATTTCCCAAAGATATGGCCGTATGCAGGAAATTGCAGTTAGGCTCAGATACGAACTCGCGGCGACTGGTTTCCGGAAACAGATTCCACATCTCCACGGTTCCATTTTCAACAACATATGCAGCCTTATTTTTGGTGAGGAACTCCGGGTCTCCAGACCCGATTAGAAGGCGCACCATGTCCAGTGATGTCCCTTTGATCGCGGATTTCCAAGCGTTGTCATCGATCACACTTTTGTCTCCATCGAATATCAGCTTCACAATCTCCGAAGCTTTGACTTTCATCTCGGGTGTTAAAGAGCCATAGGTGTCGCACAGTAGCTGTACAACCTCAGCCATATTCTTTTTCGCCGCTAGCTGAAATGCCGTTTTACCATCGCTATTGGCCGCTGGTGCTTGATTTACCTGTCTCTCTGTCTCGGAAGACACGGCACCCCTGCGCGAGCAGTATTTCCGGAGCTCTTCAATTATGATTTCTACTATATCTTTAAGGTTTTTTGCGAGTGCAAAATGGTATGCTGATGGTTCAGTGCTTTGGCCATTTGGACATGGCTCAAATGCTATCTTCGGATGATGGCAGCACATTGCCTCCATAATCATCCTTGCAATCTTCATTCGATTTATAACGCCTAGAGGCTTTCCGGGTTTCCTATGATTCAAATCGTAATCTTTGACTACTGCGCTGATCAACTGGATCTTCTTTGTTTTCAGTCGCACCTTTTTAGGTTCGTACGCCAGGATATCTTTCAGTTGATCGAGAATCGTGGCGTCAGTTTCTTCCGCAGCTTTGCCCGAAACCGCATTCAGGCATTTACCGATCGCTCCGCGGAAATCATCGTATGCGTTATCTTTATCCCAACTGGAAACTAGGGTGTTCCAGCAACTTTCGATGTCATGGCCTTCGCCCGCAAGTGCCTTTAGCAATAGCGGCGGTTGGGTCTCTGAAGGACCAGCCTCGACTAAGCCCATGTCGAAGCCAATTGATACCCACGAATAACAGATATTTGGTTAAAGCTTTTGAGATTCAACTGAGATATAGAAGTAAGTAACGAATGATCGAAGTCTCAGGGTAATTGAATGATTGTTGAGAGAAATCGCATATGCTTAAAGATGAGTTGCTGGAACCTATAACCAAGCCGACTGGCACTGCAGGCAATGTGATATCCTCCCTCACATCTGCCTGGGCAGGAATCCCTAAAAACAAAGACTTCCCGAGGCGCCGGTGGTACCAGTCCGAGCGTCAATCACAAGGCTCTCTACCCATGTCGCAAGGCCGGCTTGCTGCATATAGGGGAGAGGGGTTCAATTTTCGTTGGTTGCCAAATGAGCGTCCTTGTAGCACTTCGGAGAGGACTTGAGCCAATTAACACGTGCCATGTTTTTGCCATCCATGCATTTATAATATACTTGAGGCATCAATTATCGTTGTAACTACAGATACGAGCTGTTGTACTCTGTACAACAAATTAATTATCGTCACAGTGGGGTCAGGATGTTCTTGGGCTGCCATCAAAAATGCAGCACTTGGACTGATACTTCTTGTGCTATGTTGCGGCATGCCAGGCGACTGATCTTTGCACCTATATATTCCATAGCATTTCACTATTGCCAGCATCAACACCAACAAAATAAGCCTCTGCTAGTTTACTTCTGAAGCACTTTTTCACTTGAAACATTCTTGGAAACTTTTAACTTGAGAGTAGAATACCTCAAGAACATGGCACAAAGTTCCAACCTCAGTTTTCCTGTCAGAAATGTTATCTTCCGTGCAGATAACAGCCTTTACGAAGAGCTAAATCCCGATGTCAGTGCGTCACTTGGCGCGTTCAAAACATCAAATCCCCATGACGGTCGGTTCCAACGACCAAATATCCATGTTTCTTCGACTAAATCCAAGTTCAAGAAGACTGTGGAGTTAATTCTCTGCGTTCATGGTTGGGAGAATCCCGACAAAAAAGAACCCATGACTCTGATTGTCTTGGGGGTAAATCTGTCCTGCCATGATCTCAACTCTCGTTTTCAGTCAGTGACAATTAAGCTTAAATTCGACGAAGATGACACATCCCATCCAGCCAACACCGCCAAGGCGAATCCTCAAGTGGTCGCCTATGCCCCTTTCGTGCAGCAGAAACGCTGGAACCATACAACTGCTACTGTCACAGAGAATAGGGAGTCTGGAGGGGATCTAGGCGTCGACAAATATGTTCAAGCAAAAGTGAGCGCGAATAATAGCTCTGAGTTCTCGTACGTTCGCGAGTACTTCGACAGAGGATCGGCACATCCTATTTATGACAAGCAAACCAGGCGACTACGCGGTGTCGAGTGGTATTGCGAGCAGAATGAGCAGCAAGAATACGGGGTTATGCCCAACTTCCACTTGGCAGTTCTCCTCAAGCGTTCGCACGATGAGGATAGAGCCATCCCATTCAAAGCCAAATTTGAAATGCGGACGGAAGCAGGTTCCAGGTATGACTTTGAGCAGGGCCTGCGCCGTGTTTTTCGGGGTCTGAAGCCAGAGGACGATCCCGTCTACTTTGATCCCTCCAGGGATCCTGATGTAAACGGCGTTGCCGGAGTGGGGCAGAGGCTGTTTGAGAGCATCCAAATAGACAATCTGGGAGCTTTGGCTGAGGGTCAATTCCTGAGCAAGTTGGTCGATTCTGCAGGGGGTTCGTTGGGTGGCCTTGAGCCAATGGAGGCATTGTAAGGGCTTGATGGACGGTGACGGCATGGTGAGGGACTTTTTGCACTGGATATTCAACATATCACTGTGTATCATCTTCAAACAATTGTCAATTTTGCAGAGTGGGAGCTCGTTTGTTCGTTTGTCAGTTTGTTTGTCGGTTTGTTTGTTTTTATCAACGATGCAGAATCCGCAGATGTAGGGTATCTGAATCACATGTTAGCCAGAATCGGGAGAATACATGATGTTTTGTTTGCGCGGTACATTGGCAGTAATAACAACAGCTAGAATGCAGATCATTGTGGCCTTGAAGCAAAGTAGAGAATACCTTGTCCCGCAGCCAAATTCCAATCCTGTCGGCAGGTATGCAATACCAGAGCGTGATATGAGGCTTACCAATTTGGTGGCGACCCTCAGTCTAAAGCACTGCTAAAATACGGGCGTGTGCCAGCTAATACCTGTACTCTACATGTACGGAGTAGGTACCTGTAGCCTAATAGTACCTTAGTAGCAGTACCTGTCAAAAGAACAGCGCAACTCACTAATCGGCCTCGATTCGATACTAAACTTGAAGGTTAGGTTAGGCGATCAATTCAATTCAACTCAGTGACTCCACCATCGTGGACACTTGCCATCGCCATCTCCAGCTTCATCCTCAGCCGCCATTCTTTCTTTATTGATACTCCCATATTGTTTCCCACCATCTCACTCAACAACAAGTAACAAACATCTCCGCTCTCTCCACATCACTAGAGCAGCGCAGTCTCCGTCCAGCAGCAGCAACTGACAGCACAAATCGGCCCATGCCATAGGGCACCGCTCCAGCATGAGCATCCGCCATGCCCCTGCCAGCGCTGCTCTCCTCCAGCGATAGATCGTCTTCCATCGGCTTGTCTTCCAGCAAGGCGCGCTCTGTCCCGGCCGTCGACGGCGACATCCCACCCGAGTACATCCACGACGAAGCCCAGCTACCATGCATCCCACCCGAACGACCAGATCTGCGCGAGCTCAACTGCAGCCTCGAGGCCCTGGCGGCGGTATTCCCTGATATCCAGATCGAGGTCTTCCGAGAGCTGCTGGGCAACTTTGACGGCGAATCGAGGCTTGCCCTGGTGGCCGATGCTCTGCTGAAGAATCGTGCAGTATGGGTCAAAGGCCGGTGGAAGGTTGCCGGGCCCGAGAGCCACAACAGACTGCAGCCTGTGAAGGACGACAAGGACAAGGACAAGGACAAGACCGAGGCGGAGGCAGATGTGGATGGCCCTGGCAATCGGCTGGTGCCGAGAGCAGAAATATTCCGAAGCAACGAATATAAAAAGGCGGTCCAAGCGCTTGCGTGGCAGGAGTTTAAAGGCTTGTCCAAGTCGACCATCAACGCGGTGCTTGCCGAGTGCAACTACTCATACCTGGACGCTCGGAGGACTCTTGTGACGCTGTCATCTAAATCATGGCGCTTCACCATTTCGTCAATCTTCATGAGACGGAAGCCTGTCGCAACGGGCGAGGCAGACAACCATCCTCTGGTCCGCTGGCGCACAACTGGTCATGGCTCCAGCATACCTACAGTACGGTCCACGGGCAATGCCGAGCTTGATCGAGAGCTGTATGATGCGCTGATACGCCCGCTAAAGGAAAAAGAAAGAGAAGAACGGGAGATCAAGGACCGCGCGGCCGCTATACTGCTGAACAACGAGGAAGCCGAAAAGGCGGGCGCCATTCACGAGTGCACGTGCTGCTTCACTACAGGCGCCTTTGAAGAGTTTACGCACTGCAACAAGGACGCACACATGATTTGCTTCCGCTGCGTCCAGCATTCCATCAAGGAGGCGGTTTTTGGCCAGGGCTGGCAGAGCAGCATCATCCCCGAGACAGGAACACTGAGGTGCATGGCCGTCGACCGCGTCCAGTGCCCCGGCTACGTCTCATCTGAACACATGTGCAGGGCCATGTTAGAAGAGAAGAAGGGCGCCGAGATTTTGCATCAACTAGACCAGCGGCTTGCAGAGCACGCTTTGCTTGCCGCCAAACTACCGCTGGTACACTGTCCATTTTGCAATTATGCAGAGATTGACGATATATACATGCCGCATCGAACGACCAAGACACGGATTCGGATTTCCGGTGTTCTTCACTTGATGTTTCTTTTCTTCTGCTTCATCTGTGTTGTCCTTGTCCTTCCCATAGCCGTGATATCGGTTGCCACCGCTTTGGCATTCACCTCTTGGCGGTCTTTTTGGACACAGATATCAACGGAGTGGAAGCACGCCATCGCCAGACATTCCCGCCGACGACGTGGGCTCCAGTTTTCGTGCCAGAATCCCGAGTGTGGCCGAGTATCCTGTCTCTCGTGCAACAAGGTCTGGACAGATATTCATGTCTGCAATGAGTCGTCTCTGGTTGCACTGCGAACGCAGGTTGAACAGGCCATGAGCATGGCCATCAAACGGGTCTGCCCTCGATGCAACACATCGTTTGTCAAGAATGCGGGCTGCAACAAGCTCACTTGCCCCTGCGGGTACAAGATGTGCTACGTTTGCCGTGCCGACCTCACCGAAGAAGGATATCGGCACTTCTGCGACCACTTCCGGCCAGACGGCGATCCTCGGCCATGCCTTGAATGTGACCGGTGCAATTTGTGGGAGTCGGAAAACGTCGACCAAGTGCTGCAAGAAGCCCGCGAAGAAGCGGAGCGGAAGTGGAAAGACACGGAGAAGAGGGATCTGTCCGGGCCTGAGAAGGCGTTTCTAGAGACGGGCATCGCAGCACGGGCGACGGGCATGAACAGCCTGGAGCAGATCTTGGTGTCGGGACGAATGCCGTCACTGGGGGAAGTTTTGGACGTTGTGGTTGAGACGATCCTCGTGTGAGGCGGGGTGGGAGCGTGGAGAAGCAAGATCACTTTGTTTGCTTGTCAGCATTGCTAGAGAATGAGGGCTCAGGCTTTTTGCATTCTGGCGTATGTCTCTCCTCCTTGCCATTTCATGACTTGAGAATCATTTCTGCGACGGCGTCACTGGAGCTATCAAGGCTATTATACATGATCAAGATTGTGTGCGTCTGATAACGCTTTGACCAGTATGGATATCTATACCAAAACGGTGCTCAGCTTAGATTGTCCTTTTCTTCTTCTTTTTTTCCTTTTGTCTTACCAGGAGCGTGCCTATTACTCGTCAAGATCTCTGCAAGAAGGAATATCGCCACTTACAGTATAAGATGAGGATTGCTGTCTCGATCTCTCTTATTTTTCCATTTTTTTTTTCAACTCTTCTTTGCATCTGTGTGTTTTCTTTTGGTCGGGCGGATAGGATTGGGAATTGTATTTCATGGACTTGTTTTTACGAGGGACTGAGCGTCGTCGATTCATGAACGTAAACGGTCGGATAATAGCTTGATGAATGGATGGATAGACTGCTTTTTGATACATGAAATAAAAATCGTCGACTTTGAAAATTTGCATTCTAGCATTATCCCATGAAAACATTAAACTATATTACACATTCTCGCAATAACATCCCCCGTCATCATCACCCTCATACAAGCTCAGCAGCAGCTCCCGCAATGGCCATCTTGCCCGTCTCCTTCACCTTGCACTGGAAGAACACCTTCTTCCCTTCCCTCCACATCTCCGTGACAATCGTCTGTCCGGGAATCACCGGCCCGGCAAACCTCACCTTGATGTTCTTGAACGCGCCGAATCTATCGTAGACGGCCTTTCCGGCAACGCCAAAGGTGCACAGGCCGTGCAAGATGGGCGCCTTGAAGCCTCCCATCTTGGCGAAACCAGGATCAATATGCAGCGGGTTGTAATCGCCACTCAAACGATAAATCGCCGCCTGGTCCTCGCTCGTGGCCTCTTCGACGACGACATCCGGCGCCCGCTTAGGAGGCTCATTGACCGCCGTCGCGGCACCCCTGTCCTGACCCCTCTTCGCACCGCCAAATCCTCCCGCGCCACGAAGGAAGACAGTCATCTCATTGTAAAACACATCCTCACCATTCTCAGCATTGACGGTAGTAATGCCCGTCTTGACAATGGACGCAGAGCCCTTGTCGATGACCTCGAGGAGCTTCCCGCGGGAAAGGAGGCGGCCGGCGGTGGGCAGCGGGAACTTTCGGATTTCGAGGAACTGCTCGCCGTGGAGGAGCATCATGGGCGAGAAGTTTGGCACGAGGGCGTCGTAGTCGAAGGGCATGTCTGCGGAGAAGGGGGGGATCACGCCAAAGGTGGGGAGGACCTGGAAGTCTTCTGCGCCCTCACTGTTTCATTGCAGAAAAGGATTGTGTTAGATGTTGTTTTTGCTTGACGTATTCAAGGTTGAGGGTTGAAGGCATTGCTCATGTGAGATGAGAGAGCATTCAGGGGAGGGCATCACGGCTTACAAGACATATTTCAGCTCCTTTCGCTTGGCACCAACACCAAGATTGTACAGAATGGCATCACGCTCCGTGAAGCTGTACTCGGTAGGGCTGCCCTCTTTTGTGAGAGCCTCAGCAATGGCGGCGAGATGCTCATTGGTGGCAGCGGCAGCAGATCCGCCCTCGCTCTAGGAGCAGAAAACACACAAATTAGCACGGTCACTATTTTGAAACGTAGGATTCTGTTCTTTCTTTTTCTTTCTCTTTCCAATAACATTTCTTTCATCTTTAGGGACTATCCAATATGTACAGGGTTTTTTTGATAGGCCGCGGTGGTGATACAAGTCTTCTTCCACATGTTGACATGCCAAATGGAGAAACAAATAATAGTAGGAAAAAATAAAATAGGAAAAAAAAAATCATTGAAAATCGTGAACGTCACGTTCTCATACCTTGTTCTCCATGTTGGCCATGATCTTCTCCAGGCCATCCTGCGCCTTCTCGGGATGATCCGCACGGCCATCCTCAAAGTTGATAATCTCGTCCCAGTGCTTGACAACCTCTTCAGGCACCAGAGGCACGTTGACGGGGAAGCCGTGGCCGCCGGTTCGCTGCCATCGGGTCTTGCCGACCCAGCCGCTGCCGACCTCGTACAGGCCGCCAGTGGGGTTGGGGCACTTGTCGCTGCTGAGGGCGAGGACAAGGGGGGCAATGTAGTCGGGCTTGAAGGCGTCGACCATCTCCTTGGGCATGATGGTGGCGGTCATGGCAGTGCCGGCGTTGGGGGCAATGGTGTTGACGTAGATGTTGTACTTGAAGCCCTCGAGAGCAAGGGCGCGGGAGAAGCCAAGGATACCGCATTTCTGTGATTGACATGTTAGCTTTATTAAGAGACACGGATGGGAGGGGATCTTACAGCAGCGGCGTAGTTGGCCTGGCCAAAGTTGCCGTAGATACCAGAGGTCGAGGTGGTGTTAATGACACGGCCGTACTTTTGCTTGAGGAAGTAGGGCCAAGCAGCCTTGGTGACCTTGTAAGTGCCGCGCAGGTGCACGTTCATGACGGGGTTCCACAGGCTGTCGTCCATGTTAGTGAAGGCCTTGTCGCGGAGGATGCCGGCGTTGTTGACGACAATGTCGACACGGCCAAAGGCGTCAATGGCGCCCTTGACGACGGCATCACCGTCCTCGGCAGAGGCCTTGACACCGACAGCCTTGCCGCCGAGCTTCTTGATCTCCTCAACGGTGGTGTCGGGGTTGACAAGATCGTTGACGACAACGGAAGCGCCGTACTTGGCAAAGGCCAGAGCGTAAGCACGGCCAATACCCGCACCGGCACCAGTGATGAGAGCAACGCGGCCGGTGAAATCGAGCGTCTCGCCCTTGTCGCTGGGGCCCATCTTCATGGAGTCCTCCAGAAGGCTCATGAAGTCGTTGGGACCAGAGGGGTACTGAGGGTTGGAGAAGTCAATGACTTTGTTCCACTGCTTCAGAATGGCGCCAGGAGTGTATGAGTCGTCGGCCTTGAGCAGAAGACCGCTGGATCTCTCCCAGCGCAGCTTGGCGACGTGGCCAGCACCAGCCTCGAAGATGCTGCCGTTCTCGGTGTTGTTGGAGTGGACCAGGACGGCAACGAGCGGCACAATCCACTCGGGGCCGAGAGCCTTGAGGACATCGGGGGGCATGACGGTCTCAGTCATGCGGCTAGCAGCTGTTTGTTACGGTCAAGTTAGCCAACCAGTCGAGAGAAACGAAGCTGGACAGGCGAAAAACATACCAATGGGGGCAATGACGTTGGACAGGATGTTGTATTTGGCGCCCTCCTTGGCCAGCGTCTCGGTGAAGCCAACCATGGCCAGCTTGGCAGCAGAGTAGTTGGTCTGGCCAAAGCTGCCAAACAGACCGGCGGCAGAGGCGGTGTTGATGACTCGGCCGTACTTTTGCTTGCGGAAGTGAGGCCAGGCGGCGCGGGTGCACTTGTAGGCGCCGGTGACGTGGACCTTCATGATCAGGTCCCAGTCCTGGTCCTTGAGGTTCTTGAAGGCAATGTCGCGCAGGATGCCGGCATTGTTGATGAGGATGTCGACACGGCCGAAGGCCTTGATGGCCGTCTCGATGATGCGCTCGCCGAACTCGACGCTGTCGTAGTTGGCAACGGCCTTGCCGCCGGCCTTGACGATTTCGTCGACGACGACATCAGCGGCCTGGAGAAGAAAAAGCTGTCAGTTATGCTGTTGCGATTGAGACTACGGTTAAGAAGAAGGCATTCACCGACCTTTGTAGAGTTTCCCTCGCCCTTGAAGGTGCCGCCCAGGTCGTTGACGACAACGCTGGCGCCTCGAGAGCCGAAGAAGGTGGCATAGGCCTTGCCCAGACCACCACCAGCTCCGGTGATGACAACCACCTGGCCGTCGTATCTCAGTTGCTCAGCCATGACGTCGGCAATTGCTGTGTGTGTGATGGTGACGTTGTGTCGAGACAAGAAGAAACCGAAGCAATGGGGAAAAAGAGAAGAGGGGGGTATCTAGATGGTTGGACCGAGATTCAATCACGGGGGAGGGAAGAAGAGGGAAGAGAGAGAGAAAAAGGAGATGGAGAAGAAGAAGAAAAGAAGCAGGTGTTGAAGCTTGCCGACTGTTTTAAAGTGATGCGGACGGACCGGGTTTGGCACAGCAAAAGGTGTCGATGCCTCGGCTGAAGCTTCTGGGGCGGGTACTTTGTACCGCGACTTGGACCGAGTTTAGAGGAGAAAAAGGCCGGGGGAGGCGCTAGGCTGGAAGCGGGAGATGGCGGAGAACGAGGGAGAGGCTTGTTCACATGCTTTTTTTTGGAGAATCCCCTACGGAGTACGGAGAAGAAAAGTTGGGGTATTACTTGTGAGAGCGTCGACCCAAAGCTGGGGGATGACGGCGTCAAGACATTCACGTGTCCATGTCAGCCATGCTGGATGATTAAGACGTCCAGTCTGCGGTAATCTTCGGAGCAAGCATCTAGTACATGTAATGTATTGTATAGGTACCTACCTGCTAAATAAGCATGGCACATGCAATTCAATCCTCTTCTTTAACACCTAGTATTCTCCGAGCACATGGCGGGCACTAGACGGGATACTGACTGCTCTCTCCACACTTCACTCTGCTGCACCCCGTACTTTCATCGGCTTGATCTTACAGCGCTCATGGCCCTACTCTATCGTATCTAGATATTCTAATCATCCTCATCTACTTCAATCGTATCAACACATCACGTGTCTCACTCATCTCTCTTCCCTTCCCTTCCCTTCCCTCCCCCCACGCTTCATCTATCTGCCTCTCCACAAATTCGCACTCGCAGGCGGCCACTAAAAGCCAATCCAGTCGCTCAATCAATCACCCGGTGCGGCCCCGGAAACCGGCAGCCCGCCACGGAGTAGTATGGAGATATATTGCACACCACAACCACCGGTAACCGGCCTGGCCTCGTAGAAACATTGAACCATCTCAACTCATAGATAAACACACATGTCAACACACAATGGCAACTCCCTTCACAGACGATAAATCCCCAATATGCATCCCCTTCATCCTCAACCGCCTCCAACTCCACCACCAAGCCAACGCCTCCAGCAGTAACCCCCCGCCGCCTCCCCTCATCATCGGCCTCAATGGCCTCCAAGGCGTCGGCAAATCCACCCTCGTCGGGCCCCTCGCCGAGGCCCTCGAGCGCAAGGGCATCCCCACGCTCGTCTGCAGCATCGACGACTTTTACCTGACGCACGAGCAGCAGCTCGCATTGGCGCGTGAGAATCCGGAGAACGCCCTGTGGCAGGTCCGCGGGGAGCCAGGTATGTATGGTCCTTACTCGCTATCTCACTCATTCACTTACACCACTTGAATGCACACCCTTCCTTATATATCTACCTATGTCTATATATAATTCACTACTCACTTAAAATGCAACAAACCTCCTCAAACTCACAGCTCACATCCCCCCACAGGCACCCACGACATCCCCCTCCTCAAATCCGTCTTCTCCTCCCTCCTCACCCACACCCCAACCTCCATCCCCCAATACGACAAAGCCCTCTTCTCCGGCCAAGGCGGCCGTCTCCCCGCCTCCACCTGGAAACAAGTCAACCAGCAGCAGCCCCCCCAAAACCCCCTCCAAGTCGTCATCCTCGAGGGCTGGTGCATCGGCTTCCGCCCCATCTCCCCCGAAGCCATCGCCGCGAAACACTCCGCCCCCAGCCGAACTCTCCAGCAGCATCGTCTCGAGCACCTCCTCGCCATCAACGAGAAACTCGGCGAGTATGATGATGTGACGCACTTGTTTGACGCTTTTCTGCACATTGACTCGGAGGATACCGAGTATGTCTACGGTTGGCGCCAGGAACAGGAGGACTATCTTCGTCTGGCGAGGGGGGATCCCAACGCCGGAATGACCAAGGAGCAGGTTGTCAAGTTTGTCGACGCCTATTACCCGGCCTACGAGCTCTACTCCGAGGGTCTTCGGAACGGTCTCTTCACAGACAAGCCGGGTGCTCAGTTGCGGATGGTGGTTGGACGTGATAGAAAGGTGAAGCAGGTAATTGAGATTTGAACACGAGAGAGAGAGAGAGAGAGAGAGAGAGAGAGAGAGAGAGAGAGAGAGAGAGAGAGAGAGAGAATTCTAGATTGCGCAACATGAGCACATCTTAGCTAGACCCTTCCATTTATATCCCAAAAAAACAATCTCATTTCATTAGGTCATTACCCACCAACGCCATACTGTTCGTTGCGAGGCTCAAAGACGCTTCAGACCACGCCCAGCGCCACCCATCCCATTCCATCCGTCAAGCATGTTAGTGAGAACAATGCACATGAATAACCCCAACTCCAGATTCAAAACGACACAGCGCCAAGGGAAAATGCAGCTTGCTCAAGTAAAAAGACCAAGCATCACTGCTGGGCGGCCCTGGCATCGCTCGGAGTCATCATACGCTGGCCATCTTGCAACATCTGGCCCAGTTTCTTGTCAATAGCCACCCCCTGTTTCCGGACCGCCTCCTCACGAGCAGCTGCCTCATCCTCAAACTCCTCTATCACTCTGCGCCTGTTACGCCTAACCAGTCTCAGTTTATGCATAATCTCAGAGAATTGCTCAGCAAACCAGTCCCCCGCCTCTTCCCAGTCGTCAAATTCCATGTTTGCAAACATAAGACGCTGGTCCTTGTCGCTCTGGCGTTGGCCCTGCACCAGCTTTGCGGTGCGAGCGTCCGGAGTACCCAAAGTGCCTCCTGAACCGGACTGCGTGGTCGCCTTGGAGGGATCGTAGTCAAATGGTTCCTTGTGAAGGTCGTCGTAGGTCATGGCGCTAAGAGCAATGTCGTCGTAATCGAGGCTCTCACGTCTCCGTTTTTTGTCTTTCGGTGCCGACGGCTCAAAAGGTTGGACAGTTGTCGCCATGAGACGCTCCAACGCAGCTCGATGTGGTGATAAGGGATGCCCTCTTACTCTGGGGGTGGCATGTCCGTCTTCGCCGCCGCCTACAGTAGATATACCATCGTCCTGGTCCCCATTCTCCTCGTCGTAAGCTGCCCCTTGCATCCCCTCTTCATCCTCTACCTCCTCCAGCGCCCTAAATCTGGCCATAGGACGAAAGTCGTCTCCCCTATCTCTCATCGGCCGCCCTCTAGTCGTGAAAGCAGGAGACGTGCTCCGCTTTTCTCTGTCATTATACTCAAGCTGTCTTGGTCTTGGCACATGTCGAAAGTTGGCCTCGCGCACAGGCAAATTGGCTTGTTTATCTGGTGATGCGTCTGGTCGATTGTAGGTCGGTCGAGAGTTTCCAGGTGGTCTGCTGTACCCATTGAGGACGGTTCTGTTAAAACCATCGTTCATGTACGTGGAAGTGGGGTTGTGATGCCTAGCACCCGGAACGACTTTCATGAGGAGGTCTTCCCCAATCTGAAAGGCGGCACCGTCATTCGGGAAAAATCTCCTATCAAAGTTGTAGCGGGGTGCAGGTCTGGTTATGGAAGCAGCAGCGGCGCCAGGGACAGCAGGTACAGGAGCAGTAACAGCTGTATTCTTCTTGTCCAGTATTGGTTCGGGATCGGCTTCGGATGGCTCGTACTGCGGTGTTGTTAGGCCAGAATTCATAAAGCTGTCACCTAATTGGGAGCCCGTAAAGATGTCCATGTTGCGATGTTGGCTGGCTGGGGACTGCGATTGAGATCGCTGTACCGACTCGGGCGGCGGCTGGCTAAATCTCCGCTGATGTATGTTGGGCTGGCGAGCATTGGCCCCTGGGACAGGAACTCGAGCGCTGTCGGCCAATTCTCTCCGCTCCATAGCCAGCGTAAAGGCCGGGGCAGAGCTCTGATAGCGCTCTGGCTCGCGGGTCTGCTGGGCTACCGCATTGCCGTTGAAGTTTGCATTGGTGGTCACGTCGTTGTTGGACCTGGCCTTGGCATCGCTTTCGGATTTGAGGCGTGCAAACATCTGCAGCCGGCTTGATCGCTCCTTCAACGAGGCCGGCATTTTGCTGGTGATTCGTTGTGCTTTCCCTCCCAACTCAAGATTGCATGTGGTTCAGGTCTTTGCGCCAGCACAAATGAATTGAATTGGAATCGCTCGTCGTGGTGGGGAATAAAAGCCTCGCACCAGTGAGGGGCTGCGAAGATGAAGAAGAAGAAAATTGGTTCGCGGCCAGAAGGACGAAGAGGAGGAAGGAGATGGGGTCGGTGGCAGGTTGGGCTTGGGAAGCAAGGCGCGAGCGGTGACAGTGCCGCCACAAGCAGGAAAAAAAAAAGACAAGACAGGAAATAAAACCAGATGGGTATTCGGATAACAAAGAATGCTCCGGACAAGAGAAAGAGAGGGGAAATGACTGAACTGAGAGGGGGGAAATGCTGCGATTGTGCAGCCCACCCGCAAGAGAAGGGAAGAAAAGAAGAGAAGAAAAACAAAACGAGGCGCCGATGATGCCCGATCTAACTCAGATCCAGCAGATCAAGCGCCGGCGATGCTGGTTTGAAACACGGCGCCAACAGTCCAAGCGCTGCCACCACGAGCTTTTGCGCGTCTGGCTGGAGCAAGAACAGGCGCGCGCAGTCAGGTGACGTGGTAGAAGATGGAGGAGATGGACAAGAATGGTACAAACTACATGTACAAAGACAGGCCCAGAGTCGATGCCGTCATGAACAAGAACGATTCGAGATAAGCTCGGCCTGAAATTGCTGCTAATACGACTCCGCCAGGTTTAGGTAGCTGGTAGTCCCGCCTGCTGCCAAGTACCGCGGCATTGCTACAGTACTCAGGTGTGCGAATACTCCGAGTCCATGGCGTCGTAGCGAGTATTACCTCGTATATACCTGTGTGCATGTCCCGTTGCTTCGTATTATCAAACCCATAGGGGCACTGTGCACAGACAGGTAGATATCTCATCTACCTATTACGGCAGTATAACATCAACAGCCTCTATCTCTCTCTCTCCTCTCACCAACATCAATGCCCTGTAATATGTACTCGTACCCGCTCGGGACTCGGAACCTGGATCGTCCCAACTGTGGCACTAACTTTTCCCCGGTTCTTCCAGCGCCTCTCTATTTTTTTTCTCCCTCCTCCCTCCCTACCTACGTAAGTTATGGAGCACTGCCTGCACTCCGGCTCAGCTGCAGCCAAGGTCTCAGCTCGTCCCAGGATTGTCTTTTAAGCTCCAGGCGATGCACGCAGCTCACGCCTATCGCCCAGGGCTCCGTTGGAGACTTTTGAAGCCCTTTTGACTTTTGAGCCCCCTGGAAAGCTGGCTCAGGTTCGAATAAACAAGGTTCAAGGCTCCCTGGCCTGCCCTCTCCACCCGCCCAAGCCTTGGCAGAACTCGTGCATGCTCTTACCAGATTCTGCCTCGAAGCGTGTGACCATGGGCTCAGCATCTCTCCAGCCTGTCGACCCACCTCGTGCTTCCACTTCTCTTCAAGTTTCACACCCATTCATCCCTAGCTGCGGCATGCGGATGCTGTAGCTGTTCAGTCTTGGAGATTGCAGACCCGTGACGGCAGGCTGTTGGCTCCATCCGAACACATACTTATACCTTCAAGTCCGTGTCCGCGACGGCCCATCGACCCTCACGCAAGTTTTTCCTAGCATCCAGCCCGGGGGGATAGACGCAGATAGAGATCGCACTTTCGTTCGATGGCGTCACCTACGCCAGAAGCTGGGTCGTCGACATTGACTCCCAGCTCTCCCACCCCAGCCTCGGCCTCAACATCGTCCTCATCCAGGCCAGCCGGATCCGACGCTCGCCAACGCCCAGTGAGAACAATCCCTCGTAAGGACATGCAAGCAGTCTGTTGTGCCGGCGGCTCCGGCCTGAAGCAGGAAATGCTAATCTTGTCTCTTCAACGCCATAGCTTGGGTTGCCATCCGTGATGACCGGAATATCCCCATCCCCGAAGAGCAGCTCCGGTTGCTAAATCCTCCTCAGCCTTCTGCCGTACCACAGCGCAATGGCATCCCCCAGCCGCCCCAACGGCGGCTTTCCAAAGATGGATACGCTTGGGAAGAAGACCCTAAGCTGGGCTCTCCCCAAGACCAGCACGGCCGGATACCGCACTTGTTCAAGTACGGACGAGCCTCAGCACGAGGAAGAAAGTGGGATCACCTTCGATCTGCCGAGCCCGTCATAGTATCCGCGCAACAACCGGCGTACGGACAGCCGTCGACTTCGTGGGCAGAATTCATACGATCATCGGCATGGGGGCGCCCGCAAGAGAGCCATATAGTCGACATTGAGGCCCTCAACCATCTGCAGCCGGGCTACGCCAGGCCCCTCGACGAGATGCTTTTGCACCTACCGGACAACAAGCACGACCGGCGGGACAAATCCGCACTCTCCAAACGCTTGTGGAACCGCTTTATGCGCAGTTCTCTCTCCCCATTGCTCTTCCGACTGACTGTTATAGTCATGTCTGTGATAGCCCTAGGAATTGCCGCAAGGATGTTTGATCTCGAAGACAAGGCGCTAGGCGAGAGCGCTGAGCGGACACAGTCCATCTTTGCCATTGCAGTGGACTCGGTGGCCATTCCCTTCAACGGGTACATGATATATGATGAGTACACGGGGAAGCCACTTGGTCTGCGCTCGGCCCGCTCGAAAATGTCTCTTATCCTGCTGGATCTGTTCTTTATCATATTCAAATCGGCAGGCACCGCTCTCGCCTTTGAGCATGTCGTCTATCACACCTTTGGCGACCACATCGTTCGGGGCCTGGCCAAGGGTCTCGCGACGTTTATGCTTCTCGGCCTTCTCGCATGGACCGCCAATCTCTGCGTCAACATCTTCCGGGTGGTAGAGCGGTTGGGCGGTGGTGATGACGAGCGCATGTGACCGAACCAAGCGCGGGAAAAGCGCAAACAGCGTGATTTAATTGTTAATTTCTAATTCTTTGAGCGTTTGTCAAGTCAGGGATCCATACGGCGTCAATCGGTGGTCTTACGAGGCATTACGAAATGAATGAAGCTTATGAATGGTTCCAGCCGTCTGATTCAAGACGATTCTGTATATACCCTCAGCCAGTACTATATCTCTCTATATCAATATACAATGTACATAACAAACAAGAAAAATATGCAGCTTTGCGAGGTGCCCTCATATTTTAGGCAGCATGAGGCTCTTCAAGTTACAGTGGAGCTGAGTGCCGTTTGAATCATACGTGGGCAGTGAGTAATACTGCGGGTAGATGCAGAACGCTCCTATCCTGTACCTAAACTTGCCAGTAGTACCTAGTATTAGTAGACGAGGGAGAGCTGCCTGCGGCTGGAAGTTTAGCAGCTCTGCTTAGTGCTAGCTTGCCTAGCAGCCCACAGCAGTACAGGGAGGGAGGTACAGCTGGGCAGGGAGCAATTCGATTCTACCAAGGGATTCACCCTTTGTCTTTGCTCTAGGAGACTCTGGCCAAATTGTGCAAAAAGGTGTATACCTTTGACAAGAATAGTACTAGTACTAGTATAAGAATGAAACAAAGAAACGGCCTTTGAACCATTCAACGCGTCTACCATCTCATAGTAAGTACAACCAACTCAGCAGCATAAGCCAAAAGGCGGTTGAGCAGGGCAGAAAGCGGCGCTAAACCCCTTGTGGCTGCAGGCCTGCCTTGCCAAGGAGCCTTGCCTCAGCAACTCGAGCTTTGGGTTTGACTGCCTGATCCCTCATCATTACGTCTGTTTGTCTACTCCTCAGCCTCCCTTTTCCTTCATTCTCCCCCCCGACTTTCTCTTCTTTTCTTCCTGCATCTCTTCGCAGCGAACTGGCCGAGGGACTTCCAAACTCCTCCCTCGCCTTCCATTTGCTCGCGTCGAGCTCGCTGGCCCGTGGTTTTGCTTGCAATCGAGTGACCCACTGCCCGTCCGGCTGGTGCGTGAGCATCACCGCTGACTTCCGCTGCCTGAGGGCTCTCCCCAAGGCTTCCAAGGCTTCCAAGGTTTCTTGCAACGCCCAGTGCAGCACATCAACCACGGCGACTTCCTCGGTCCTCGCCGCCGCAGCTCTCGTCCGCCTCATCCGCCGCGGTAATCCCGAGCCAACACAGGCGATCCGTCCGCTGCGTGCGTCGTCGACCAATCCGCCCACGCGAGCCGCAGGAGCATAGCATCACCCTTCACCCCGCCTTGCCGCTTCTCGACAGCGCTCGCTCCACACGCTCCATGATGGTGGCCAGAATGGGAATGCCTGCGGTTCCAAACCGTGAGGACATCAAAGCAACGTGAGTCGCCGCCCATGCAGCACCCATGGTAACGTCGCTGCCGTGACATGACATTAACGGCCCCTGCAGATGGAAGTACCTAGAGGATGGCATCACCCGCATCATGAACGATCTCGAACAGGGCATGGACATGCAAATGTACATGGGAGTCTATACGTACGTTGTGTCTTTTTGCGCCCTCGCACGCCCACGCCTGAATGCTCACATGGTCGCAGCGCCGTTCATAACTTCTGTACCTCGCAGAAAGCCGTTGGCCTCAGTGGCCCTACCATGACTACAAGTCATCGTGGAGGTTCGTTTGCATCCCCATCCCTCTCCCCCCCAAGCTGGACGCTTGCTAACTTGTTCCTCTCCCTTCTCGTCGACTGAACAGCTCACTTGCTGGGTGAAGATCTCTACAACCACTTGATCAAGTATCTCCAGCGTCATTTAGCGGACCTGGTCCAGGCGTCCAAATCCCACACAGACGAGGCCTTGCTGGCCTACTACATCAAAGAATGGAATCGGTACACCGTCGCTGCTAAATACATTCACCACTTGTTCCAGTATCTTAATAGGCACTGGGTCAAGCGCGAAATCGACGAAGGCAAGAAGAACATCTACGATGTCTATACTCTGCACCTTGTTCAGTGGCGCAAAGTCCTGTTCGAACAGGTGTCGGAGAAGGTGATGGATGCTGTCCTAAAGCTTGTGGAGAAGCAGAGGAACGGCGAGACTATCGAGTACGGCCAGATAAAACAGGTCGTTGACTCGTTTGTGTCGCTTGGCCTGGACGAGGCTGATCCATCCAAGTCAACGCTCGATGTTTACAGATACCACTTTGAGCGCCCCTTTTTATCCGCGACCAAGGAATTCTACCAGGCTGAATCCAAGCAGTTTGTCGCCGAGAACACCGTGGTTGAGTACATGAAGAAGGCGGAGGCACGATTGGCAGAGGAAGAAGAGCGCGTCAACATGTACCTGCACCAAGACATTGCGCTTCCTCTCAAGAGATGCTGTAACCAAGCCCTTATTGCCGATCATTCCCTGTCGCTGAGAGAGGAATTCCAGGTCCTCTTGGACAACGATCGCGAGGATGACATGGCCAGAATGTATAACCTTCTATCTCGCATTCCCGACGGTCTAGATCCGCTACGCACCAGATTCGAGACCCATGTCCGGAAAGCAGGGTTGGCCGCCGTCCAAAAGGTCCAGTCCTCCGAGGGAGACAAGCTGGAGCCCAAGGTCTACGTCGACGCCCTGCTGGAGATCCATACCCAGTACCAGGGCTTGGTGAAGAGAGCCTTTACTGATGAGCCCGAATTTACGCGGTCTTTGGATAACGCCTGCCGTGAGTTCGTCAACCGGAACGAGGTGTGCAAGTCCGGCTCCAACAAGTCACCCGAGCTGTTGGCCAAGTATACAGATGTCCTCTTGCGCAAGAGCACCACGAGCATCGAAGAGGCCGACCTGGAGCGAACCCTGACCCAGATCATGACCGTCTTCAAGTACATCGAGGACAAGGACGTTTTCCAAAAGTTTTACTCCCGAATGCTGGCCAGGAGACTGGTGCACAGCAACTCATCCTCGGACGATGCCGAGACAAGCATGATTAGCAAGCTAAAGGAAGCCTGTGGCTTTGAGTATACCAACAAGCTTCAGCGCATGTTCCAGGACATGCAAATCTCAAAGGATCTGAACAAGGAGTTCCGAGATCACCTAGAGACTGTCGGCAATACAAAGGCTGTCGACTCTACCTTTTCCATCCTGGGAACAGGCTTCTGGCCGTTGACACCACCAAGCACCAACTTTATCCCTCCTTCGGAGATTTCCGCTGAAATTGACCGATTTGTTCGATTTTATAAGCACAAGCATGATGGCCGCAAGCTGACATGGTTGTGGCACCTGTGCAAGGGTGAGATCAAGGCCGGCTATTGCAAGAATAGCAAGACACCCTACACTTTCCAGGTTTCAATCTACCAAATGTCCATTCTCCTCTTGTTCAACGAGAAGGACAGCTACAGCTATGATGACATCTCCGGCGCCACGGAGCTGAGCTCCGAGGTGCTTGACCAAGCCCTTGCCGTAATACTCAAGGCAAAGGTGTTGTTGATGGATGGCGGCGATAAGCCCGGGCCCGGCAAGACTTTCCGCCTCAACTACGATTTCAAGAGCAAGAAGATCAGGGTGAACCTGAACCTTGGTGGTGTCAAGGAGGCGAAGCAGGAGGAAGTCGAGACGAACAAGACCATTGAGGAGGACCGCAAATTGGTATTGCAGGTACGTTTTGAATCTACATCTAACCTCCCAGAAAGCACAAGTCATGACAAATGCTAACCTACCACCCCCACAGTCTGCAATTGTTCGTATAATGAAGGCGCGAAAGAAGATGAAGCACACGCAGCTCGTGAGCGAGACCATTAACCAGATCCGGTCTCGGTTTGTCCCCAAGGTCGGCGACATTAAAAAGTGCATAGAAATTCTCCTGGACAAGGAGTATCTTGAGCGTCTGGACGATGATGAATTGGGCTACTTAGCATAAAATATTCTTCTTTAACCTCCGGTAGAATTCACGGAGCTTGTCAACGATTCTCCTTCCCCCCCTTTTTTTTTCCTTTTCTCCTCGATACAGGCATGTCTATCCACACGTTTTCTTCACTCAGTCGGTCATTCATGCGTAGATTCAGGTCATACTGGGATTGGGATTAGCTGGAGTGGGTATGGTTGGTTGGGTTGCTTTGTTTTTCTTTTTCTTTCCTCTGTTTACACGCTTGACTTTTTTTCATATTTGGCGATATGCCTAGCTAAACAGAGAATTATGTGGCCCAGCAGAGTCTAGACGTGGGGGTTTCTCGTTGCAAGTCCCAGATTGCGCGAGTTGTCTCTGTTGTGTTTTTGAGGTTCTCGTGTCTGGAGGTTTTGGCTTTTGGTTTCTTTGTGGTAGAACTGCATTTGCAAGTTCGACTGACTGGGTGTGTGATGTTATGAAAAGGAGTAGTTAGGCAGCTTAAGGAAATAAATGGATGGTATTATTATATCTTCTTGAACAAACACAGTAAGTCAAAAGTGAATTGAATGTATGCTTGTGTATATATATAACTGCAAATCCCAACCTCTCCTTTTTATCCAAGTCAGTCATCTCCCATTACCGCCCATACATTCATTACAAGAAAGAAAATGTATGATAAGCCTCCTTGGGTTCTTTTTATCTGTTTGACATTGCTTTCTTGCTTGACTGTGTGCGAATCTTTCCTTGCATTTGGCGGGTTATATTTTCATTTCTGTTTTGTTTTGTTTCCCCAAGCGCAGCACCATCTTGTAATATCCATCCATTCATCCATCCATCCATTGCATCCCGTCTTCATTCGTCAATGTCCTGTTTCCCTTATCCCATATACATCTTCTCACCTCTTGTCTCTATTTGTCCAAGTCATGTTTCTCTTTAATTTGTCATGTAGATATATATAAAAAAACCACCAGATAAAAAAAATTATCCCGCTCAATCAGCTCTTTTGGTCCCGCCATTGCCAACCAGCGTCTCCTCGTGAAAGCCATCGTCATACTCCCTCGGATACTGCGTCAAAGGAGCCGCGGCATCGGCGCCCGAAGACCCCGTGCCGGGCCGATCACTGTCCGCAGCAGAGAGGATGCTCTCGCTGAAGCTGCCCTGCGTCATGGGCCGGTAGTCTTCGGTTGAATTGCCGCGCGAAGTCAGCATGCTGACAAACTGGTAGTCCCTCTCGATGGGGCTCGTCGGCATCGAGGCTGTTTCGTCGACTTTCTTCTTGCCCCAGCCAGCGCCCCATCCGCCGTTTTTGCGCTTCTCGCCGGCCCACGACGCCCAGCTTGCCATGTAGGCGCTGGCTCTGCTGCTGACCGTCTCCTGCGGCTTTGCCGTGTCAACGCTAATACCGTTCATGCTGTTTCTTTTGCTTCCGTTGCCTTCGGTGAGTCTGGTGGTCTCTTCAGTACGACGGCGTTGCGCCTCACGCATCTGCTCCATGTCGTTGTACAGCCTGTTGAGCATTGTCGACGCCTTCTCCCGCCCAGCGGCAAAGTTGCGCCCGAGGATGTCACGGCCCTGAGCAAAGCGTTCGTCGAGATGAAGCTCCTTTACCTGCTCTGCTATGCGTCTCTGGACATCCTCGATGGAGAGACCGCCAGCCATGGGGTGCCTTGGCTCGGAGACGGCAAACAGGTTTGTATCGGTGTACGAGTTCCACATGCGGTAGTTTTCTGTTCGCATCCACGCCTCAACCCACTCAAGCCCAAAGTCGACGGCGGGATCACTCTCTGCCGTGTTGCGGCCGGCATTGGAGTTGCTGGTGAGATAGTTGTGGAACTTGACGGAGGATATCAGACCAATGATGTAGGCTTCAAACTGGGCTCTGATATATTCTTCGCTTCCCGCGTACTGCATCGTCTTTGGCGTGCTAGGATTGGACTCGTCCCAAGTGTCATTGACCTCCTGGGTCAAGAAGTCGATCCATCTCCTATCCGCCGCAGTCAAGGACAATGCCGTTCTCAGAGAAGGTGACGTGATATTAATAGTGTTGTCATCGAGATTAATGATGATGTCGCTGTAACGGTCCTTTTGTTGGAGAAGTAGGGAGTTGGTGCTGCCGACGAGGTAGGATTTTGTGCCGACATCGGCCAGGAGATCGAGTTGCTGCAACGGAGTATATGGGCCAAAGATGCTTCCCTAAAGTTGTTTGGCATGTGAGAAGTGAGCTTCTTTAAGGAGTGTACAAGTGATGTCACATACTTTACCAAAGATCTGTAGCGGGAGGCCCATAAAGGTCAGAAGCGAGTTGCGGTTACTACTCTGCAGACTCGTCGGCTGCGCAAGTTTCTTTTCGTGACTGTTGAGCTCGGGATCTGCGCAATCTTGGAGGTTACGAATGAGTCCGGGTATCAGTGAAATGAGAGAAAATTGGACCATGCATAACCGATCACATCGCGATCCGAAGAAGAGCATCTAGGTTGGCCTTTAGCAAGTCTGGTCTTCTAACGAAACTCAAACACCATTTTTTTTTTGAAGGGAGTTTGTAGGGGGAGTGGCTACTACCAACCTTGGGCTGAAGAAGGCAGCATTTGAGCAGTACCAGAGCCTGCCACTTGAACTCGTGAATGAGCTCGCGCAGACTCATACCCAGATACTGGTCCCGCTGCGCCTCTTCTTGCAAGAGGCCTCGAGCTTTTTCATCTGCAAGACTGTCCTGGAACCCCCGCAGAATGTCGACGTCTGTAAACTCGCGCTGGGCAAACCATGCTTGGGTGACTATGCTGAGGCGCTGTCTCAGCATGCCAAAGAACTGGGGGCTATCTGCGATGACGACAACCGCTTTCTGCACGGTTGAGCGAGTCACATCGGCAGGCCGGTTGATGAGCTGCGAGGAATCGAGCTGGCGAGTGCATGATATGCCGAACAGGGACGTTGCCGGCCCGTCGTCGGTCTCGGGCCGCAGCAAGGTAAAGTAGGAAAAGTCCTCCTCGGAGCTAATCAACAAACTTCAAGTCAGCAAACGACTCTCCAACAGGGACACAAAAGACAGAAACGTACGCATGCGCTCCGTCACTCAGAGCCATGAACGGCAGCAGAGTCCATCCATACTTGGCGGCGGGATCAACGCCCTCCTCGGCCCCAAACCAGCTCTCAACCTCGGGACCCCGCGCATGATGGAAGCCGACGACTGTCACCAGCGGCGTGAAGCCAGACACAAACGGGGTGGTGGGTATCGTCGGGGTAATTGGCGACAGGACACTCTTGAATTCGAGCCCATTGGGCGGGACCTTGATTCTGTCGGCGGTCATGGTTCAGGCCCCGTGTGAAGTGAATATTGCTGCAGCTCGGCGCCGCTACAGCGATGCCATGCGCTTCCGGGGAAGCTCAGTCACCGACTCGGGGGCGTCGTTCGAGTTCGAGTTCGGAGAGACTCGGCCGTTTTGTCGAAGTCGTTTGCTGGGAATGGATCGAGCGGGCGGCGGGCAGAAGCAAGTCGGTGTGGCGAAAAGGCGGGATTCCAAGATTGACACAGGCCGGCGTCGTGCCCAGTAAGCGGGCTCGCAAACCTCAGACTTGCTTCGGCTATTGCTCTGTGACGTGATGGAAAGCCTGGTGCAAAAAGGACAGGATCAATTCGGCTTTTGCAACAGGTCCAGGGGGGGCTCCAAACGGTCGCGCGTCCGTCTTGCTGCAAGGTGAATTGGCAATGGCGGGGGATCCCTGGCCGCCTCAGAGCACGACTAGGGTGGAGGAGGAGGAGATGCAGTGATGGAACTGCTGAGAATCAACTGCAATTGCGCTCTGCTCAGCCAAGACGGAGGATATCAGAGGAGGCGAGGGCCTCTATATGCGTCTGTGCAAGTACAGCACAGCGGGTTTATGGCTGATGGAGAGGTTGAGAGGCGAGTGGCTAGCGACGGGCCGCATAAGTTGAAGTTTATTGCCAAAGTCTCTTCGCTGGTGAGAATGAAGCGCTGACTTGAATGCTAAGGCCTGCCATGCAGAGCTGGTACAGCGCCTTAGTGCTGGCACTGACAAGAGACGATCCGCTGCGGTGGTCCACTAACAAAGATACATGGAGACGCCAACTGAACTGCCGGGCGTTGATGTCGCCTAGGGTAGGTGGACGCACATGTCAAAGTGTAGGATTGAAGATTCTTTCTCTCAGCCCGGCATCAGGCCAAAGATCAGCATTGCCTTGTGTCTGATTAGATTCATTAGGTGCTACAGTAGAGCAGGCGATGATGACGTTGCAGCTATAAACACCGTCAGATACGTCTCTTATAGTGCTTGCGAAACCCATCACCGACCCATCCCCGAGCAAAGAACATAGCAACAGCACAAACACCAAAAAAATAATAATTACATACATAAAAGGCATTGGATACCACACCACACCCACGCACACGCACACGCACAAAACACACAAAAGACTCATCTTACAGGCCGACATGATTCCACGTCAACAGCAGCCTGCCATCCCAAAGCCTTCCTTTTCCTGCACGATCTCTCTTGGCTGCAGCCCGTGCAGGGATGTGCCAGCGAATGGCAGGCCCGCATGCTGGTCTGCCAGCGTGTCTTGCATTGCATTGGCAAGCATATCCGCCTCTCTTCTGCTTCTTTGCCCTTCCCTGACTTTCTGTTTGCTTTTTGCTTTTTTTCCTGCTTCGATTCCTTTTTGCCACTATCGATATGTTGTGCTTGGGACTGGTCTAATGGGGTTCATGGGCAGCGTGATATCATGTAAGTGAGGTATCGTCATGTAGAGCCGCTTGTCGTACATAAAATAGGTAGTAGCATCTACCTCCATACGGGAGGGCACCCAGCTAGACCGCATTTTTGGGCTGTATGTCTCCGAAACTACCCAGGCATCTGCTGCATTAGAGAAGCAGATGTAGAAACCCCCAGTCAGGCTCAAAATCCAGCTCTCTCGTCCCGACATCGCGGATCCGATCACGTAACCAAAACGAGCCAGATACATGTAGCTAAGCCTAGGTGTGTTTTTGGCCACCAGAAACGCAGGCAGCAACAAGGCCAAACACATCTACATGGGCGATACAGGACAAGAGAAGCAAATTGATTCATCACATCGTCGGCGAGGTGCGTCACACGTGTAACCCAAGAAAGTCCTGCTCCCTAGGTGATGATGTAACACGGCCATATCGTAGTCTCTCTGTGTCCAATCTCGATGAAACAATCAACCAAATAGCTACCTACAACGGGATGGAAAAAGCCGCAGCGGCATCATAGGTGTGAAATACAAGGTGCAGGCATAATATCCTGGTTTTACTTTTCAGGAAAATGTAGTCTCATCTGATAATAGGGTAGTAATACATGACTCGAAGCTCGGATCCAAGCGTCTATTCCAGCATTAACATTTGTGTGGACCAAAATGAATATCGTCATATTATACCAGTGCACTCGAGCGTCGTACCAAGATACCAACAAAGGGAAATCCATCCGCCATTAGCAACTAAAAAGCAAATATCTTCTACACAAAACTAAAAATATGGCGGCCCGCACAGATTTGAAACAAAATAGTCGGGACACACGGGCAGGAAAGCAAACACAGCTCCCATGGCTGATGAAACTGCACCTAGCCACGAAGAGGTGAACAGGGGTCCGGGGAGTGGCCGTGAGAGAGGACAAAGACAAAGAGCCGGAATGAGCGGATAGATTCCGCGTTGGCTGTCCTTGTATGACAGGGAAATATACCGGAGCAAATTGGCTATGAATAGCCTCTGTGGGAAATGGATATGCGGAATATTATGCGGTATCCGTGCTCAGGATGACAGGGCAGCTGTGTAAAGACGCATTTACCAGCATCACAGTAATACAATAATACAATAATACAGTCATACAGTCATACCAGATTCGACGGGCTTCAAGATCAGATCCTTGCGTAGGATGACCATTGCCCCAACCAAATACAAGTACAAGTAGTCCATCGCCGGAACTATATACGAGGCAATTTCCTCTTTCTAAGCTCTTAGACGCAGCCAAGCAGACAGGCAGGCATTCCCGGAACGACTCCCAGAAAGCACAACCTGGATAAGGCCACGAGAGGCATCCCGGCACGTGGGAAGGATAAGCAAAAAGTGGAGGAAAGCCCGAGGAAGCAACCCTATAAAGTTTCCATCATGCACGATGAACCGTGCGCGCAGGGCAAATCCCTAATGCTAGTTGAAAGTCGTCGGGAGCAATCGTCAATAGCTCTCTGTGCGAGAATAGAGTAGGCAACCCTAGGGGTGATTTGCAGCGCCAACTCACCGAGCTCCCGATCTGCTTTGGCTCGCCTCTGTTCAAGACGATGCCCAGCAGCACTAATATGAACAAGGGGCTCTGTCCCTGTCCAGCATGATTATTGTCATTCCATTAGAGAGAGAGAGGCGTTGGTGCTGTTACTTGTAATTTTCGAGGCCAAAAGCTCCATTCCGCGGTGATACTAGCCTACGGGCCAGCGGAGGCCAGAGTAGCAAACTGCCGCTAAATGAGCTAAATGAGAGGCCAAGTCTCCTTGGCTTGTTGGCTGCATGTTTGCGACATGCCAAAATGGAGGTCTGCAGGCAGGGATAATCTGAGACTTTGTTAGCACTCGTAGGTCAACGCCTCTTGGATGGAGCCGAGCGGCAATTCTGGAACGCTTCCACGCTCTCGCACAGCATGGCCCCAGTCTAGTGTCAGAGGGCAATTGGAAGCCAGAAGCAGAAGGGTGGCTTTTTGATGCGGGATTTGCCAGTGAATGTGGATGTGGATGTGGATGAGGCGTCGTGCTTCCATACTGTACATCTCCACCGGGCTGGTGTAATCCGTGACCAAAGACGCCAAGCCACGAGCGCCTCGTTTTTTTGGCATTGTCTCAAGGGGGGCGAGTTCTGCCAGGCGAACCGGCGCCTCTTGTTGCAAGGCTGAGATTGCCCAAATCACGGCAGCCTGAATCCTTCACATGTCATTGGCCCATCTTGGCCAGATAAACACACCACCCCGTCAATACAAGACGAGCTATCGAAAGGCCCGTCACATCGAACGGATGGCAGAGTCGAATCTGGTTGGGTGAAGATGGCTGATTGGAGAAGGCAGATGGTGAAGACATCACCACGTGCGTTCCCTGTCGGTGCTGGATCCAGGGGGCTCCCCTGAGGTTGCTTGCTTTTAGAAACCGCCCCAAAACAAGCCACCGAATTCGATCCGGCAGCGTCGTACCATGGGCGTATAGCATTGCAGCCAAGAAGCCATCCATCGGTGACGACGATCGGCGGCGGACCAACTGCTGCACTCCCACTCCTTGCCCAGACTACTAAGAAATACTTGCTCAGGACCCGTCCTTGTCTGAGGCGCTGTCGTAAGCTGCTTAAGTTGCCGGCGGGCGCGGGCCAGGAGAGGTGGGCAAGGAGGGGAGGAGCCATGTCGAGGGATGGTGTGAGGCATTGACTCGAAGATCGCCATCTAAACGGATCAATCTTGGGGATGCCGCGAAGGGGTTTGGAGAGTACATGTAAGCTGGTACGAGGTACGAGATTACGTGCCTTGAAAGGTCGAAAAGGCATCAATCGACCATCAAGGATCCAGGGTTTGAAGTGGTGAGGCTGAAGTAATCTTGTCTCCGAATGAACCAGGGTCTTTTCATAACGACGATTATCATCCAGCATTAAATATGGAGCCCCTTTGTGATCCGAAATGAAGACAATATGCTAAGCTTTTTTGCTGCACTTGACGGTTAACGGGAAGCGGCAACACCAAGCACGCATATGGACGATTTCCAGCGAGTATATGGCTAGGGATGGGGCCTTCAGCCCTGTGCGGGCTTGTGCTTTGTACGAGCAATCATTTCCATGAGCCGGAAGCGCCGTGCTGCGAGTATTATAGAGTAGCAAGCAACTTCGGTGTCCCGAGAAAAGCTGAGATTGCGGCGCCCTCATGGTAGCGGCCTGGGATTATTTTAGAACACGCAAGGATAGCTCTACAGACCATGGAGAGGTCCGTCCTGACCCTGTCCTCCCGAGGACCGTGACGCTGGTACTGCTTAATTATTCTGGTACCGACACGCTGGCAGATGTCAGACAATGGGGGCCGGCAAGGTTGACGTGTGCATCACGGGGGAGAGAAGATGACGCCTGCGAAGAGCAACAAACATCAAGTGCAAATTAGAAGTTTGGTGTTGGATGTTGGGACTTGTACGAGTACAGGTACATGGACATTTTGGGCGCACGTGGCCTCGGCAATTTCTGTATCAGCCACGTTGGAAAGAGGGAGGCAGCTAACAAGCTGGAGCCTGTGACTGCGTCAATCACAGGCAATAGTTGAGTTTGATATGAGGCTGGTAGCCAATACATGTGAAGTCTGTACCGAGATAATCTTAACGCGAATATCATCACACCTCTCTCTCTATATATATATACTCCATATACTAGTATGTACATAGTATGCAACGCCGCAAACGAAAGCACTTTATTAGTGCTGGCAACGCAGCGAATTGAATCAAATCGCTTCGAGGCCTCTCCTGCATCGAAACGACGCCGCTGCACGCTGGTTGGTCGCCGCTGAAGGAATTTGCTGGGGTACTGGGTCGGCTTGTGGGGTTGCAATGCCCTTTAGCGCCTCTCGCACAGGCCTATCCAAAGCAGCTTAGGGCTGGCCTCTCAGTGGTTTTGGCGAGCTGCGCGCTGATGCTCAAGCCGGACAGCGGCGAGTAGCCGGCAAGGGCATGGCGCTGTGGGGACGAGGAAATGGGGGAAGCGAACATACATAGCGCTACGAGTACAGTGCAGTGCTAGAGTAGCGTTGATAAGGCACAAGGCAATCGGATCAGGTGTCGAAGACTCGGTGACCCGAGAAATGAAATTGGATTATGGATGTGAATGGGCGCCGCAGTGATCCATCACCCCCTGTGGGCCTTGGCCTCTGGGCGCTATTCGCCGCCCGAGCTGCGATGCTGCAGTCGAGACACTTGACGCGGGAATCGGATGGACTGGCTGCTGCTGCTGCTGCCACGCGCCGTGTGATACTGTATGTGGATGTACACGCAGGTGTTTGGCACCTCGTGCCGCGCAGGCTGTCGGGTACCTTGGATGAGGCAAGGCAAGGGAACATCGTCGAACGGCTGCAAATGCGAGGCGCTGAGACTGCGTCAGGCACACGCAGCCGCGCAACGGTCGGCCGGCGCATGACATCAAAGGAGCATAGCCTGGCCTGGAGAGAGAGTTTGACACCACCTGCGATTGCCCAGCGCGGACCGACGCAGCTGAGGCCGACGAGGAATGCAAAGTAAAAAATTCAATGGGCTCAACGGTGTAGAAGTGGGTGTGAGTGAGCTTTGGAGGCGGTCGAGACGCGATAGCCGGGTACCTGCTCCGCCGGCGCAGATGCTGCAGGGCGCATGTATGCACAAACATGTGGGCTAACACCGGTGTTCCGTAGCAGTGCCGGCGATAACTCGACATTGGCACCATGACTCTTGTCCATCCAATTGTTGGTGCTACTCTGCTGCTACTGTACAAAGAGGTCCCATTTTACTCCGTATTCCAGATGAATGGTAGCGATACAGTACCAAGTATACAAGATGGGATGGGGGGGCCTCAATAGCCTGGAAGCGTGTGTGGACGGCCAACACCCCATGCCCTTTGGCCACAGCGGCATCAGGCGGCATGAGAATTGCGCTCCCAGCTGCTCCTTTGGTTCGATTTTTGTCATTTGCTTATACAACGCACACAGTAGTACCGAGTACTTTTGCATCGCCAATACGAAAACGCACCACAACGAATGTAATATGTATAATGTCATTCCCTACAGAGAGCTATGCTGGCTTGAACCCAGTCGCCCCTTGTCCTGGTCAGAGCAGCGTTGGTAGCTGTACTTGGCGTTGACGGGCCTGCGCACATCTGCGCCGTCATCTCTTCTGCCTCGCCGGTACCAGGTACTCGTATGAGCACAATCCTCGCGCGCACCTTGGCACTCGAGTCGGTAGCCAGAACGGCCCGGCTCTTGCATCGAATCCTCATTAGGCAAACACCAGACCAGCAAAGCCTTCAGGCGAATCCCCTCCTTGCTGCTTCGAGCCATCCTTCGTGGCCGCCCTGCCACAAAAAATCGCTCCTGTGCCACCTTGAAGCCTTGCTGGTGAATGAATCATCCGCCCACTGCCAGATGATGCGGCTCGTATCTGTACCTGTACCTGTGCCTGTACCTGTACCTGCACTCTGCTCTCGCTGACGTTGAGAAAAAACACGGCTGGGGGTTCCAGGCTCTCTCGCCCTCCCCCCAGCATCACCGCTCGACGCCAGCAGGTGCCACTTGTTCCGCCCGACCTGTCATCATTTGGCCTGCTACAGCCACGCCCTAGGCTGTATCCACCGCCTGAAGCTTGGATTGGATTGGATCCCATGCTTTCTGCTGCGAGCTTGTGCTTGTACATACATCCAGGCACTCGCACATGTACGGGGTAGCGCTCACTTTCACACGCCTCAAGCCTGGTGTGCACGGTCAAAGCCTCAGCTCCTCCCGGCACCTCACAGCAGGAGTCCAAATCTCCTCGTTCACGAGGCTGCTTCCGCGCGCCGAAACCTGGACCGTCCTTTGTCGCCCCGGCCCGGACATCTGACGCCTTTCATCATTGGCAGCCTACTCTACCGAATACTCGTACTCTTCTCCGGCGTCATCATCAACCCTTCGCCCTCTCCATCACCATCTACTCCCCGCAACCTGCTGCAGCTGGTTCTGCTACTGCGCTGACCCTTCCAACGACATTTGCCGCCTCCGCCGCCGCCATTTTCTGCCGAACACTCCGCTAAACGCCAGCCCCCAGCTCAAGCGACTCTATCAGAAGCATCCCGACTTTTTGTTCCCCTTTCGACCAGCAGCAACTATCCAAGGAAAGACGAGAGGCAGAAAAGAAAAAATCCACTGCTCGCGTCGCCAACGTTTCTCCCACTGTCCGCTGCTTATGCGTGTGTAATTGGCTGCATGGCAAACCCACCTTTTGGATCCAAATCGCTTCGCCTACCGATTCGTCAAGTCCTTAGAGAACGCCGACAATCACGTCAAACACCGAAGAGTGCTGAATCGCCCACCATGGGCGGATGCATGAGCTCCAACAATGATGAGGTAGAGCAGAAAAAGAGGAGTCAGGCTATAGACAAGGAGTTGGACGAGGACTCAAAAAGATTACGGAAAGAATGCAAGATTCTCTTGTTAGGTATGCTCTCCCCCCCAAGACTGGCGGTTCATTCGTGTGGTTGCGTTCCAATCAATCGCTCACCCCTTCTCTTTTTCTCGCTTCTCTAGGTTCTGGTGAGAGTGGCAAGTCGACAATTGTCAAGCAGATGAAAATTATCCACCTAAAGGGATACTCAGAAGAAGAGCTGTACAACTACCGACCGACCGTCTTCAAGAATCTGGTAGAATGTGCCAAAGCCGTCATAACCGCCATGCAGCAGTTCAACATTGAGCTTGTGCACGAGGACAACAAAATACACGCCGACTTTTTAATAGACTACCAGGCGGAATCTGGGCCGCAAGCTCACATCGACCCCCAGGTGGGCCTTGCCGTGCAGGCAATATGGAGCGACCCAGCCAAAGACCAGTTGATGGAGCACCAGACGGAATTCTACCTGATGGACTCTGCCGAGTAGTAAGTCGCAATGATGCATGGCCGGCGACGCGCCAGCCGGGTTCTGCTTGGATTCTAACCATGCCGTCTCTTTTTAGCTTTTTCCAAGAAGCAGGGCGCATCGTCGCGCCGGATTACTTACCTAACGAGATGGACGTATTACGCGCCCGTACAAAAACCACTGGTATCTACGAAACGCGTTTCCAGATGGGCCAGCTTAGCATCCAGTACGTTGACGCAGCAGTTATTTTTCTTTTCTTTTTCTTTTCTCTTTTCCCATCTTCTTTCTCCTTTAAGCTTATCCGCGAGCTCCATATTTGAATTGTTTAAACAACGGGGCTGATGTTTTCTCTAGCATGTTTGATGTCGGCGGGCAAAGGAGTGAGCGAAAGAAGTGGATACACTGCTTCGAGAACGTTACATCAATCATTTTTTGTGTTGCGCTCAGCGAGTACGATCAAGTTCTCCTTGAAGAGAGCAGTCAGGTAAGCCGCGAGCGAGCGCTGGTTCCTGTCGATGGTATTGGCGGAGAGGCTAACTTGACCGAATGCAGAATCGCATGATGGAGAGTTTACTACTCTTTGATTCAGTTGTCAACTCACGTTGGTTTATGAGAACGAGCATCATTCTATTCTTGAACAAGGTGGACATATTCAAGCAGAAACTAGGCCGATCACCTCTATCAAACTACTTCCCCGACTACACCGGCGGCATTGACGTCAACAAAGCTGCCAAGTATCTGCTATGGCGGTTCAACCAAGTCAACAGGGCGCATCTCAACCTCTATCCACAGTGAGTAAA